ATAGCCGGTGACCTTTCTTATCTGGACACCCGGTACATTGAAAATATATAAGTTTGCTAAGCCAAAATATTGGAAAGTACCTAACTAAATGCTTTTCTATAAATTATTGAACAAACCTAGGGGACACAAGAATAAATAAAACTAAAAATGATTTGCATGCTAACACAACAATATTTAAACCTATATACTGAGCTGTGAGCTTGGTCAAGTTAGAGTTGAAATGTTGGTTCCGAATTGCCTAATAACTACTTCATTGATATTTTCAATTAAATTAGCTGAAACGTATGTGATTTAACCATTTTGCGAAATGAAATTTAATTTCAATTTTGGTGAATAAATATAAACGTTTTTGTTTTTATAGTATTTGAAAGTTAGACATCAAAAAATTAATTTCAAATGAAGTATTTTCACATGTAGGCAAATAACATTTTCGGATTCGTTTACATAATATCATGGTTCTGCAAATTGTAACTGTCAAAGCAATAGAAATCAAGTAAATCTAATTTTAGCTAAATGTAAATGTTTTTATCTGCGACCGCTTCTGTAAATGTAGTTTATTCACATGGCCTACCATCTATGTAAGTTGAATTTTATGGGCGAATCACAAATCCAAGCACTTTTACCTTAAACGGGAAATAAATTTGTAAACAAAACGCACTGTGAACGGTCAAATTCACAAGATAATAATTCTCCAAATATTGTGTTCAATATAGTATATCTATACCCTGGGTAAGTAGGTAGTGTATAAGTGTGATCGGTGGTCGTAGTTAAAGTGGAAAAATGAATTAATAGACCCACTAGAGAGTGCAGAAAAAGTCTGGAAGCTCGTAATGTTCTCGTTAACAGAAAAGGGGTTAAGGGACATACCAATTCCTAGTTTGCTTTTTTAACTCTTTCCAGATTGGCCATGTTTTGTGCTGTCAACTGACAACTAACGTTAATGACTATAACTACATCTTGGGTCGTATTTTCGAATATTCTCGCATACGAAATTTGATACGATTTCGAATGCTCCCTTTTAATTTACATTGCTGTCGTCAAATTTTGTGTACGAAATGTACTCGAACGAATTCGAAAATACGACCCCTTACCCTTTACGAATTTATGAAAATACATTGAGACTAAACACTAACAATGCGGATATTATCAATATCAATACATAACCTAATCAGTAAATCTAAAAGGTTTCTTAATACTACGATTGGACCTTGTATATCTCTGATACTCACGTGGTGAGCCACTGTTAAAGTTCTTTGCCCTAGTATTAGTATTCTCAATGATACAGGGCTTTGCAACAATACGTACCATAATTATTAAAAATATGCCTCATGTATTTCACTTCACGCTTTCTCAATTGCAACTTATTTTTGTTAAATCTCACACCCTTCTGTCTTGCTCTCTGTAACACCATTTTCAATGTCTTATCGTGTTCCTCAATAGTGTTACAAGCTACCAATAAATCATTAAAACATATGATTACCTACATTTTCAATATCCTCAAATTTTTAAATTTATTTTCTGAAAATACTCAGGTGCCAAATTTAAACCAAACGGTAGTCTCAAAAATTTATAACAACCAAATGGAGTAGAAAATGATGTTAAAGAACTAGATTCCTTATCAAGCTTCACTTGATAAAACCCATCTTTAAAATCAAGTACAGAAAAACATTTTCTTCCTGACATCTTAGCACTAATATCTTCCAAGCTTGGAATTTCAAAATATTGTCTTTTTATACACTTGTTTAAATCCTGTGGATCCAAACAAAGTCTTAAGGATTCATCTGGTTTTTCAATTATAACTAGGTTATCAACCCACTTGTTAGCATTATCTAATTTCTTCATAACTTCCTGCTGCTTTAATTTATCTAATTTTTACTGCAATCGCGTGCGGAAAAGTGGCACTTTCCGCTAGTTAGGAAATATACTATTAAATGTTTCAATCCGTAATGAATTATTTTTATTTTTAACCTCACCAACTTTTTTCAAAGAATGCACGAATAAGTAAGTCTTCACTCTCTGAACCCGAACTGTAATTTTTCCTGATAACCTGTTTCACTTTTACCAAGAATTTTTGTTGCCGATTTACAACGCCCCTTATTAGACATGAATTACTAAAATGATTTTCTGTTCCACACTTATAACATGTTTTTCCAAATGCTGGACATTCTGCAAATTTATGTGTTCTATTGCATTTTTTGTCTTTGATTTCACTGCATCTACTCCAGAAACACCAGCGTCCATATTTCGCACTGATTTTAGCTGATTATTAGCTCAGTATTTCTGCACATTGCCACGGCTTGATCTATTGTTAAACCCTGAATACTTGAAAGTTTTTCCGGAATAATTGGGTCATTTACCCATAGTATTATTCTATCTATTAAAATACTGTCTTCCTAAGTATCATACTTACAAATTTGAATCAATTTTTTCAGTTCACTGAAGAATTGATCAAATGGTTCTTCTGGCCCCTGACTTCGGTTATTAAATACAAATCTTTCATACGTTTTGTTTCTCCTAGGAGCACAGTACTTCCTAAATTCTGCAATCACAATATCATATTTGTCCTCTCAGTAATTTTCAATATATAATAGATCTCAACCCCCTCAGGGCCTATAAAATTTAAGAAAAGAGCAATTCTAACCTTATCTGGTTTTGTGTCTTTCTCTGTGGCCATCAAATACGTCTCAAAACTTTGGTGAAAGTTATCAAAATTCTTATTAAGATTTCCTTCTACCTTCATTGACTCTGGTAATCTTCCTTCCATTTTGCCGTTGTCACTAAACTGCAAAACTGATACTTATTTTCTGTAACCGAAAGACTCCCGTTTTTTGAAATTTTTCCACGAATGCGCCATGTATTATTATCGATATCTTCTAAATAAAGCAAACTCGCTACTGACGCTACTTATTAGTTTTTATATTTTTATCTACAAGCGTTTGGTTATGACGTTTTCACATACCTAACTATTTTTCTAGTATTTGAGTTATGTTATGAGACTCATAACAGACCTAGTGGTGTTATGGACTCGGTTATGAGTCTATAACACAACTAGTGGTGTTATGGACTAGGTTATGAATCTATAACACAACTAGTTTTTGTGATTTGACAAATGTCATAGTTGAACCTGTAAAGGAAAAATGAAGGTAGACAACTACTAATAACATGACAACAAAACTCGTGTGGTTAGAACGACTCGGTCTACGACCTCGTCGTTCTTATCTTTCACACTCGTTATTGTAATCATGTTCATAAACGCACTTGTAATGTAAATAACTATTATCTACAAGCGTTTGGTTATGAGGTTTTCACATAACTAGTTTTCTAGTATTTGAGTTATGTTATGAGACTCATAACACAACTAATGGTGTTATGGACTCGGTTATGAGTCTATAACACAACTAGTGGTGTTATGGACTAGGTTATGAATCTATAACACAACTAGTTTTTGTGATTTGACAAATGTCATAGTTAAACCTGTAAAAGTAAAATGAAGGTAGACAACTACTAATAAACGAAAATTGAAGAAAAAACATTTTGTTGTTTTTGGCTTTGTAGATAAAACGTTGTACATCACACGTGCGTTTAAACATGACTACAAAACTTGTGTGATTAGAACGACTCGGTCTACGACCTCGTCGCTCTAATCTTTCCAACTTGTTATTGTAATCATGTTCATAAACGCAATTGTAATGTAATAGTTATTTACATTACAAGTGCGTTTATGATCATGATTACAATAACGAGTGTGAAAGATTAGAACGACGAGGTCGTAGACCGTTTATTAGTAGTTGTGTACCTTCATTTTATCTTTACAGGTTCAACTTTGACATTCGTCAAATCACTAAAAATAGTTGTGTTATAGATTCATAACCTAGTCCATAACACCACCAGTTGTGTTATAAATTCATAACCTAGCCCATAACACCACTAGTTGTGTTATGAGTCTCATGACATAACTCAAATACCTACTAGAAAGATGGTTATGTAAAAACGTCATAACCAAACGCTTGTAGATAAATAATTTTTATCTACAAGCGTTGGGTTATGACGTTTTTACATAACTATTTTTCTAGTATTTAAGTTGTGTCATGAGACTCATAACACAACTAGTGGTGTTATAGACTAGGTTATGAATTCATAACACAACTAGTGGTGTTATGGACGAGGTTATGAATCTATAACACAACTATTTTTCGTGATTTGACAAATGTCAAAGGTAAACCTGTAAAGGTAAAATGAAGGTAGACAACTACTAATAAACGAAAATAATTGAAAAAACATTCTTATTTTTCGCATTGTAGATAAAACGTGGTACATCACACGTGCGTTTAAACATGACTACAAAACTCGTGTGATTAGAACGACTCGGTCTACGACCTCGTCGTTCCAATCTTTCACACTCGTTATTGTAATCATGTTCATAAACGCACTTGTAATGTAAATAACTATTATAACAACTGTCAACTGACGACTAATTTTAATGACTATTACCACAGCTATTACTACAATAGGTCTCTAATTACTTGAAATTTACTGAGATATTTTTGAACTAGGATTCAAGGATACAGAATCGAAAAAGAAAATAACATACAGGCTGTTTTATCTAAAAAACACCATTATCGAAACTTTGGCAAGGGTGCAAATGAAAAAACAAAATAATAATCAACCTTTTAAACTACCACAATTCAATTTTGAAATATTTTTGTGATTCCGATCAAGCGTTTCCAGACTTTTCTCTTATCCTAAATGTTGATAAAGATTGACCACCATGTAGGAGTACCTAGTTAGGATTGTTTCAGAGATGCCTTCTGTGATAATTTACTATAAACTTTAGAACAACTTTTATTTTTATTAACACAAATAGGTATCTGCGTTTCAGTACACTAAATCACATCACAATTTTATAATTTAGTAATACAAACTAAATAATAATAACGTAGACATTTTTTCTTAAAAATTATTCTCAAATTTCTAATCGATTTTTATCTTCTTATTTCCAGTGAAGGGGTTGAACATTGTGAGGAATGGAGTAAAAACATCACTCAACAGATCGATCTAGCCTTCAATATATTTTTTATGGTATATTTTTTTATACGAGTAAGTATTATTGATGTTTTAAAATAAAAATTCAAAATCAATGCTTATATCGTGTAAACTTGCCCAGGAAAAACTGTTAAATTGAAAAAGTTTTACAATATCCTATAGGAAACTTTGGTATCATACAATTTTAAAGTTTGATAATATTTGTCATACCTATACAAATTTTAAATTGCTTTTATATTATATTATTTTGTTTAGTAAAAGTTTTTCATTTACTTACAGTATTGTTCACTAAATATATTCCCTGAAATTGCTTTCACACATGTAGCCAATTTATTAGTTAATTAACGGAAGTGTTTTATTAGCTTTACTATAATGATGTTTATGAAGGAAATTTAACTACCCATAAACACTTACATTATTCAGGTGTAATATCGCGGCGAATTTGTGAGTTGTTTCGTCGGTTGCCAATAATTAATCACTTCTCAATAAGTGTTCAATGATGAACTTAAACATTTTTGGCAATAATTTATTATTTCAATAGACAGACTTTTTAGGGCCAAATTCCAACTCAATGAAATATTTTTTCCTCACTTTCATAGTATTGGAAAATCAGTTTATTTGTCTTGTTTCAGTTTATAGCTGCTAGTGATAAGTTATGGTTCATGCTGGAAATGTATTCCTTCGTAGATTATTTTACGATACCCCCGTCCTTTGTTTCTATTTATCTAGACCGGACTTGGATAGGTAAGATTATATACTGTAATAATACATGTTGTTTTATTATATTTTATGTTTTTTTTTAAGGTCTTCGGTTTCTTCGCGCGCTACGGCTCATGACTGTACCAGACATTTTGCAGTACCTCAATATTTTAAAGACTTCCAGTTCCATTCGTCTTGCTCAGCTAGTTTCTATATTTATATCTGTGTGGCTTACCGCTGCAGGAATCATACATTTGGTAAGGATTTAATTGCGAATGCAATGGAAATAAGCTAGACAACGGTACCATGTATAAAGAGCCAAAATAATGGAACCCAAAGCTATTTGCTTTCAAACACAAACATTCATTCCTGTTTTTCCTATATCTGAACTAGTTTTCCTCTAGTTTAATTTTTACGAAACGATTACAAGTTAATATACCTACTGTGGGACTTGTTTTCCATGTTAATTATTAAAACCAACCAGTCAACTACTAAACTACTCATTTATTAGTTCTAGTTTCAGAGCTACTATAATATACATATCGTAATTATTATACTGAAACTAGCCTAGGTCTACGGTAGCCTTCATTAATATTTTCCTCGAGTTTCGACGGTAATTTTTTGTCTGCTTTTCTAAGGGTCTAGTTAAGTTTCAAGTTAAATCAATATTTTTTTAAAGTATACCTACTCTATAATAGACCAAATACAATTAACCTATTTAACATCTATTAACAACATCGTTGAAATATTTAGGTGAGATTAAAAAGCCAACCAAAAATATTTGCATTGGAGGGGAATACTATTTTATTATTACCTACCTTATGAATAAGGCTAAAAATTGTATTATTTTTTTTTTTTTAATTTTAGCTCGAAAATTCGGGTGATCCACTAGATTTTGATAATCCTCATCCTCTACCTTACTGGACCTGCGTATACTTTCTAATCGTGACAATGTCCACTGTAGGTTACGGTGACGTCTTTTGTCACACAGTTCTGGGCCGTACTTTTTTGGTATTTTTTCTTCTGGTCGGCTTGGTAAGTGTTTCACTTTATTATGCTTAATATTTCTAGAGATAATTTACTGAAAAAAAGAGAGCTGTGTTGTTGCGACGTTAGCTTATACAGCTTTCTTTTGGTTTTCTTTTACTTTGCCTTTATTATTTTTTGTTAGTTTGTAGGGTAAACGGAAATAAATTTTCTATAACGCATGTGTTTTATCATTACTTTCCATCAAATGTCTGCTTGAATTTTAAAATAATAGATCTTCAAAAATAGATTTTATTTATACTAAGTGCACACAATGTGAGTATCATTCTATAAGAATGCCAAAACAATAGTTTGAGTTGATTGATATTCGGTTTACCCTAGAAACAAACTACGAGAGCAAAATATTTTCTAGAAACAATGTTAGATCATGAAACATTTTAAGAGAATCTAAATTTATTACAAAGAAAAATATTATTTTAGTTTTAAGGATATATACATAAAAGTTCCATTGCCTCTTCCTATTCACAAACTTATTCATCCACAAAATATTTAATATTCTCCTTTACCCAAATACTAACTCATTTTTTAATAGTAGTTCTTTTAGAGGAATATGATAGCAATCGTAGATTAGAGTTAAAATATAGTATATTAGATTTTCCAGTTGATTGCACTATATTCTATAGTATTTTGCATGTTATTTTTTACACTCCAGGAATTAGGCTGATACTTTTCCACATCCAAGAATAATTTAAAAAAAATTAATAGTGTTTGAGGAACACATTCTGAGCACAAATTTCGAGAAATTTCAGACACAGAAGCAAATTTATTTTATGATATATCCGGAGATAGACAAGTCTCTGTTATTTACGATTTGCGTTTCGTAATTATTATTCACAAGGAAATTGATTTGTAATTTAGAGCAACTGTCCATGTCTACAGGCTGGCGAATAACGTTTTTCCAACAGCAAACTACTTACTGAACTATACAAAACAAAAATTATGAATTAGAGAGGAAATAACAAAAAATCGAATTAGCATTTGTAGTTATACCTAGTGTAAAAATTAAAAATACATAATCTCTTTGTAATTTTAGTATGTTATCAAGGGATAGTTGTTGTTCTTACATTTTTTTTTGGCAATATACTTCAACAAGAAATTATTGTACCCAAGAGAAAACAAATTAATTGCAACAGAGATCAAAAAATTCTAGATCATCGTCCCTTGGGATCCCCCGAACTACATACACCAAATTATCCCGAGATTTAGAGCCGGATTCTATGAAAAAAGGCACTCAGAAAATTTTGCTCCCGCCCATTACCCGCAAATTTCTCTGACGCGATTTTTTCTCGAAACCTATAAGTCCAAATGAGCTATAATTTCCCGGGATTGTAGTCCGCCACTGGAATAAGAATCGCTGAAAATTTCAGCTTTCTATCTCTAACAGAAAAAAAGTTATGACCTTTCAAAGCTTTCCAAAATCTAAATCATAAGGTAAGCTACCTTACTACTAAAACCTCGACTAAAACGATGAAATTTCAAATTTTTTGTTGTTGAGATTTTGTGTCCTAATGGTCATTTGGGATTCCCCAAACTCCATATACTAAATTATTCTCAGATTTGAAGCCGAAATCTATGAAAAAAGGCACTCAGAAAAATTGAAAAATTAATAAATCACCCCAAAATGCTTAACATGATTTTATCTCAGGAACTATAAGTCTAACTAAGTTGAAATTTTCAGGGATTGTAATCCTCTACTGGAATAAGAATCGCTGAAAATTTCAGCTTTCTATCTCAAATAGAAAAAAAGTTATGACCTTTCAAACTTTTCCAAAATCTAAATCATAAGCTACCTTACTACTAAAACGATGAAATTTCAAAAAAAATTTTGTTGATATTTTGTGTCCTAATAGTCCTTCAGGAATCCCCAAACTCCAAACACTAAATTATTTAAGATTTGGTGCCGAATTCTATGAAAAAAGGCACTCAGAAAAATTGAAAAATTGATAAATCACCCCAAATTGCTTAACACGATTTTATTTCTCGAACTATAAGTCCAAATGAGTTGAAATTTTCTGGCATTGTAGTCCGCCACTGGGATACGAATCGCTGAAAATTTTAGCTTTCCATCTGTAACAGAAAAAAAGTTATGAACTTTCAAAGTTGTCCAAAATCTAAATCATAACCTTACTACTAAAACGATGAAATTTCAAAAATTTTGTTGTTGAGATTTTGTGTCCTAATGGTCTTTTCACCATCTTGAACCTAGAATCAGAAGTTCTTAATTATTAGGTAGGTACCCTTCAAAACTCAAACTTTTCTTTGGCAATTGAAAACAAAAAGTCGAAGACCGAAATTCCCGTGGAAATGTTAAACATAATAGAATACCCAAATCTTGAAAAAAATGCAGAACTGATACTGATACTGCTTTATAAAAACACATCATAATAGGGAAAACTACCGGCCCATTAGCCTACCGACAGATTTATAAAAGATAAAAGACGCTAGAATATATTCTAGTAGATCAATATTAACAACAGTCATTTCATAACACTTGACAGCATTGCAACCTAGGCCTTTACGCGGCTATGGATGGTTCTGGAATTGATTCCAAAAATCATCCTCCCACATAAAAATTGACGAAGTAGAGCAACAAAATATCTTTTGGCAAATGAGTTAAGGTGCGTACAGACATGCAACAGAAAGCCGTAACGTAACTTCACCGCGTATCAAGCACGCGACATGTTCTGTTGCGCGACGTTGTTACGTTGCGATGAGGAAAGTGGGTTTAGTTTGGTGCAACAGAACATCGCCGCGCAACATCGGCGCGGAACATTTAGGCGTCCCAGCTTTTTAGCAACGTTTTTAGTTAGTTGGTATCTACGTTCAAGCAAGATGGACATTGCTGCTGCAGCTTACATAGTTATGCACTATTTAGTGCATAAGAGAAAACGCAGACCAAGACGCTGGTGGCAGACTCAATTATACACCAGTAGAACTGTGTACAGTGGTCGTCATTTATTGAGAGACCTAAACTTCCAGTCTGTGAGTGGTCTATACAAAAACTTTACCAGAATGTCGCCAACTGATTTTGAATTTTTGATTAACCTAATCGGTCCAAAAGTATCAAGAAGAGACACTAATTGGAGACAAGCTATTTCGGTTCAGGAAAGATTGGCAGTAACAATGCGTTTTCTGGCGACTGGAGATTCCTTCACGAGTCTGCAATATCTGTTCAAAATTTCGAAACAATCGATAAGCGCTATAGTACCAGAAGTGTGTGAAGCTCTCATAGAAGGGTTGAAGGAGAATATACAGGTATGTTGATTTATTTATTGCTCAAAATTCTTTATTATAAAACATTTTTCTATAAAATTTTGTTCTTGAATATCATTTAATTATCTGGCAAGTTTAAATCAGTTAGTAATGTTGCACTGGTAAATGGGGGTGGATTGCTGGTAGAAGCGGAATAATTTGTCATACCCGAGCATTGTGAACTTGCTGATGCTGGAGATATTAGTGGCAGTGGTACCGGTGAAAACTGAGGCGCTTGGGATGATGCGTCAGTTGCAAAATCCCAATGAGCTGCGGGACGGGGTGAATATGGGGATTGTATCAACTGAGTATCTTGGTAAACCGAATCACGTTGTACAAGTTCGCTTTGGATTGTGGAATAATTGTTTGATTGATAACCTCTTGGAGCGGGATATTGATTATAATACCCCTTGTCTGCCGCAAATAAAATATTCATGATGGCTTCTTGTACTGCCGTTTGTGCTACGTTCGAATATTTACTAAGTTTCTTGGCTACAAGATTTCCAAATATTTGACATTCGCTTGGATCCTGCGGTGGTTCCTTATTCGATGCCTTTGTTAGAATTTCGAAAGCAGCATCCAATTTTTCAACTGCACGTTTTTTGTTCGGGATACTATGAGTCATCTGAGGGGGTTTTCTTTCCTTGTTACTGACTCTAATCCGAGTCTTTGGAGTCTGCTGAGACTCGTTGGGCTCCTGGGTCACGCGAAGCTCATGAGTCTCGTGAGACTGCTGAGTCCCGTGAGGCTTCTGAATCTCATGATGCTCTTCAGTCTCGTCAGGCTCTTGTATGTCGTTAGTCTTCTGGGGCTCCTCAGAGTCCGGATTCATATCTTGCAAAGCGGTATCATCATCTACATCATTACTTTCGTCTGTTTCTTTATCAATCTGCAACCAAATAAAAAGTTCTGTTGATATTTTTTCGATAATATGACAAAATAGTTTTCTGGGTTGGGAAAGAAATGTCTTGTAGATCAGGTCATAAATTCAAGGTTTTTTAGTTAGTAGAATCATTATTCTTTGAAGTTTCTGAAAACGATATTTTTTACAGATACCAACAACATCAGAGGGGTGGTTACAAGTAGCAAAACAATACAACGATATTTGGAACTTTCCGCACTGCCTAGGGGCAATCGATGGAAAACACGTCGTTTTGCAAGCACCTATTAATACAGGAAGCGATTTTTTTAACTACAAATCGACATTCAGCATAGTTCTTTTTGCAGTAGTAGATGCTCATTACAACTTTTTGTATGTTGATGCTGGAGGCCAAGGAAGAATTTCTGATGGTGGCATTTTCAAAAATTGTTCCCTGTTCAAAAAACTAGAAAAAAATGAGTTAAGATTGCCACTAGCTGAAGCTTTGGATGGTAGACAACGCGAAATTCCCTATTTTTTCATTGGAGATGAGGCGTTTGCTCTCACTGATACATTAATGAAACCGTTTTCGGGAATTCACCCCAAAGGATCATTACAAAGGGTTTATAATTATAGATTATCTCGCGCGCGAAGAGTCGTAGAGAATGTATTTGGTATTGCTTCAGCAGTATTTAGAGCACTCCGGAAACCCATGCTGCTAAGTCCTGAAAAGGCTGAGCTCATTGTAATGGCAATAGCTCACTTACATAATTTCTTAAGGAAAAGTTCCTCCTCCTGTCACTTGTATACACCAAACGGAACATTCGATACGGAAGTAGAGGGAAAACTTGTCGATGGAGCGAGAGCTTCAAGTAATGAACCAACTACTTCGCTACTTCCTCTCAGAAATATTCCCAGAAAACCATCCATACAGGCTAAAGCAATTCGAGAAGAATTGGCTGATTTCTTTCAAAATGAAGGGCGGATTTTGTGGCAAGATAAATATACTTAAATAATATTGAAAAAAATAAATAAATAAATAAATAAACACTTACAGAGCTTTGAGTATTGCGTACTTTGTTTTTGTCCCACAGGAATAGCAAGCTCTTGAATGCGAACCAAGAACTTTCATACACATCGGAACGCCCTACAATTGAAATAATAGTATATTAATCAATTCATATTATACTATTACAAAAGTCAATTGGAACAAGGTACCAACTGGTGGCTGACTGATGGTCACTGGAAAGTTCCATAAGAAATGCACTGCCGCCACTGCCACTAGTCAGCCGGCCACCAGTATGATTTATGTTTACCTTGTTCCAATTGACTTTGGAAAAACTATACCAGTAGTAACAACCCAAGGACATTGATAATTGTTCGAAAACATTTTTTTAACAGGTTTCGAAAGCTTGTTGAAGGCAACAAGCTTGAGAAAGTTGTTAAAAAAATTGGCTGTTAGAAGTGTCAAAAAAATTTAATTAATTAATAAATCTTTACCTGTTCCGGTGCCCATGCTTTTTTTAATTTTTGACTTTTCCCGCCTCAGCGCTGACTGCAACGCACTAATTTTCTTCTTGCACTCGTCAATCGTAGCACCTACACTTCTTGCGACATCTTCCCACGCATCATTTTTCTGAATTTTATTAAAATATCTCGGATGTTTGTTATTCCATAAAATTTCCTTCCCTCTATAAATTTCGATAAACTCAAGCACACTGTCTTCCGTCCACTCCATTTCTATCGAAATCAAAATAGCAACTGAATTTGACTGGAAATAGTGGAAATACAAAAGGGCAAAACCAAAACAACGGCACCGGGTTCGCAAGCACGTCCAGACTAAAAAAATCAAGTGCAACATCGCCGCGAACATTTCTTTGATGCGGTGTCGATTTACCGACAACCGATGGGACGCTGCGATGTTACGGTGTTACGCGGTTGCTGTACTGCTACGATGTTGCAGAGTACGGTCCAGATATGTCGCGTACTTGTTACGCGGTGAAGTTACGTTACGGCGTTCTGTTGCATGTCTGTACGCACCTTTTTAGAGAACGACCATGTATTATGTAAACTGTTTACAATGGAAAACCTCATTAAAGCGCTTTTCCGATATGAAGTTCAAATTTATGTGTTCAGAATGCTTCCCTAAACCACTTTAAAAAATAAAATAAAGCACGATGTTTTATAGAGTCAATTATATCCACCTAATACCTGGAGGATTAGTATTGCACTGCTCTGTAGCTTTGAAAGCTTGGCTGTAGAATTATGCTTTTAAAAGTTTCTCTCTATTTACACAAATTTAATCACACGATACTCTTTCTACAGACCAATATAAATTGACTTTATTGTTGAATATTATGTGTTTATATATTTTGCAAATAACAACTTTACAATAAATATTAACTTGTATTCGGTCTGTAGTTAACAAAGTTACTTGGAATCCTTGCAATAACCCAAAGTTGAAGTAATGCATTTGGGAATGATTTTCAGGCTATTTTTGCTAGTAGCATTCCCGAAATCATAGATCTAGTAGGTACTAGGTCCAAGTACGGTGGCGAGTACAAGAGAGAACACGGAAAGAGGTATTGAAATCACAATAAAACTAATAAAAAGAAAATCTGGTTATATCATAATTTATATAATTTATTTGGCTGGTTTTGTAGCTTACAACACACCACTTTAGCATTGTTATAACCATATTTCCTTGTTTAATAATTAAACGATGTACATTATTATAAATATTTTTCTACAATAGGAAATGATATTTACTATGTGTAAACTTGTACTTTAGCCGAGACCTAATAAATGCATGCAAATTGTTTTATGATTAAAAACTAATAAAATTTTCTCTGATTTTTATCTTCTCACAGCCAGCCCGCACAATATTAGTTTTGTTTGGTAATTACACAACACCTACAACTAATACATAACAATAAACCTGATATTTTTCATCTAAAATTGATACACAGAAAAAAAACAACTACTACAAAAAAGTCTTAAATGTATTTGAGACTTGACAAGTCTCTGAGGACAAGTTTTATTAAAATATTTTGGTCTATTTATTGGCATTTGAATAGTCCGAGTCATTTTTTCCAGAGAGACATTTTTGTAACTGCCCCCATTATAGTCCAGTTACAATATACCAAACTTCCTTTCTTTCCATCTTCAGTTCAGAATTCTACCATCAACAAAATGGATCAGTTATTTTTATTCTTCTACATACTTTAAACTGCCAGTGTTGGGATACCCAAAGGTTTCCAAGACTCTTTCTTGGTTACTTTTCTGTATTTGTAGATGTATTCGCTGACTTTTTCTAAAGAGAAATGTTTAATGGTGACTCTCCTTTCTTCAGTGGCTCTCTTTCATTGCTTTTGTTTTCCCCGTATTCATCTTCAGGTCAATTTTTTTCCAATGTTCATTTCTTGATCTCTCTCCTTTTGTTATAAAAGTTGTTGGGTCAATCTTTGATATACTACTTCTATGGTTCTTATTCCATGACTTTTTCCAGTGAGTTTTAAAATTTTCATCCACCCACTTTAATAATTGATGGTAGTCAAAAACTTCAGCTCAGCTCAGAACCCTATAATCACTGCCTGTGGGAAATCTGTTAATAATTTCCAAGATGTACCTATCTCTTTTTACTCAGAAAATAGACTCGAGACCTTAATATTTAGTGTACCTCCTGTTTTCTGTAGATGACAATAATGGTTCTTAGTGAAAGCACCCAACAATTTTCCTATAGGTGAAAATAAATTTAATCGCCGGGTTTTTATTCAATGTTCCATTTCCCTGAAAAAATTACTACATTAGATAATCTGCAAATGGTAAAATCACAAGTAGTTTAGTGTAGAGTTTGGCAAAAGTTAAAGTAGAAAAATATCAGGTAGCACTAAATTAACAACCAGTAAAATTTTATTGCAGAGTTTTGGTTTGTAGTTACATGAAATTTCGAATGAATCGTTAGAAAGCACAATCGGAATGATTCTGTTATTTTATTATTATTAATTCCTATTACTTAACACTTAATTCATAAAAATAATAGGCAAAAATTACCTAGCATCATATTTTATCCTGAATCATTTATCCATGCCAAAATTCCTTTTTTCACTTGACAGAACACTATACACATATTAAGGCATAAATATTTAAAAATGCTTTTTTTACATATCAGAAACTCTTTTATTTATTTATGCCTACTGAGTAAGCTATTTAAGTTATATTATTGGAAAATTGAGGAATACATTTTAAAATTGAGCAAAATCAATCAGATTGGTATTTTTGTACTCAATTTTCCCATAAAATTTCCAGTATATTATCGTGGCCTTACTCTGTTCTCACACAATTTATGACATAAAACACTTGGCCAATAATAATTAACGCCTGAAATTTTTCGAACTAACAAAAATTTAGTATTTAGTTAAGAGTAATTTTGTTAATTGGGGAGCCTGATTGGGGATATGTGGGTTCTCTGGTAGGCTGTTTTTGCCAGCTGGATTCCGGAGATCACAGAGTTAGCGGCCAATCGATCGAAATATGGTGGAAAATACAGCAAAGATATCAGGCGCAGGTATTCGAAGCAGTCACAAGATCAAGCCTGGCACCTTAGTATAGGAAAAATTAAGAAATTATAGGATACGATTTTTTTTTTATTCAATTATTCAGCTTCATTATGTAACCTACTGATTTTATGTTTTGTGTATACCTATATATTTACACCTACACGCTTCAATTGCAGCGGAACACTTTCATTTTGTTGGAATTAGTTGGACGCTTTTGAATGTATTGTCTATAATCTGTATATCGTTATTTAGTCTTTGAAGATATGTAGCCAGCCAATAAAAATGTATAAGGAAATGCCTTTTCGGACTGATAAAAATGAGAGACAGCTCTAGAAACATCAAAATTGATATGTTGAGCATCAACAAGCATATACAAATAACTTTTAGACATGGAAAGAATATTCAAAGTAAATCTCATTATAAGAGGATATACAGGGTGAGTCCGGAATAAGTGCGCATTTTGACTTTTTGCCTTCAGATTCGAAATGCCTTGAGCGATTTTGTTCCAATTTTCAAAGAGTCTTTGCAATATAATATGACCTAAATTGTTTTTAACTTTGTTAAGTTTCCGGTGTCATGTGAACAAAGTGGAGTATATCGAGCAACGAGATTTCCAAACATTACATTGATTTTTATTTCTTATCTCGTAAACGTCGCATCGAACAAGAAAAGCTCGGCCTTCTTTGTTTAAAATTGAACAAGGAATCAAAAAATAATTTTTAATTTGTACCACCTTTTTCTTTAGAAAAAATAAGAGTCGCTCTAGGTCCGGTCCTGGAACAGTGGAGTTCAAATGGATTTTTTATAAAGATGCTTGAGAACATTGCAAACACTCTCTGAAAATTTGAACAAAATCGCTAATGGCATTTCGAATCTAAAGACGAAAATAAGTCAAAACTTTCTGAAAATTTCAACACTCTGTATTTTCTTACCGAGTTGTTTGCGGACCCATGTACCTATGCAAAAAGTGATTGTCCTACTACCATAAAAAAAATGCGCACTTATTTCGGACTCACCCTGTATATCAACTATTCTGGGTGTTATTAGTGAATCAATAGTTAATATCGAAGAGATAACTTCTAGAAACAACTAAACGAAGAAATAGCTTAAACTGCAAACTGGTAGGAACTTAACCAGACAGCACGGGGTATCTTAATGACAATCCTAATAAAATGTTCACAAATGACAATCGAGACGTCTTTTTACGTGTTCAAGGCGTCTTAAAGATATCTCAAAAACGTCGTATGTTACAAAATCTGCCTAAAGACGTCTTCAGGAATATTTCATTATTATATTACTATTAAATTCTTGATTTCTTTTAGATGAGAACATACACAAAATTCATTTTGGGAGAAAAACATTAGATGATTAAAAATTAAAAATCACATCAAGAGATTGAAATTCTAAAATATGGACATAATGGGCTTTCAAGAACTTAGAATAAAGAAATAAGGAAATCAATAGCCTGGAATAAAAAAAAAAATTATAAACATTTTCTTGCTAATATTTCCTTATTATTACTCACTTTATAACTTTCATTATTTGCCTATTCCAGGCGCTAGGGTCTCTGAAACAATTCTGAGGATTTTAAGTTGTTCTGAAGCTTTTCAAAATGCTGCTGAAAAGTGTTTTGGAACGTTCTAAATAGCATATTGAAGTTCTAAGGTGTTCTAACTTGGCTTGAAGAGTTCTGGAGCATTCAAGAACTTATTCAGTAATTTCTAAACTATTCTGAAGTGTTTTAGAGCTCTAAATTGGTTCAAGAGTGTTCTAAAAGGTTTCTACCACTAAATTGGTTCCTAATTGTTCTGAAATAATTCTGAAGTTTCTCAATTGTTCCAAAATGCTCCTGAAAATTCTGATTTGGATTTGAACTATTTTGGATACTTATTAAAGGTATAAAGTTCTACAGCAATCTAAATTCGCTCTCAAAAGCTTTCTGAAATTTGTAACTTCTAACCTGAATCCTAAGATTCTGGTGCTTTTCAGAATGTTTTTGGAGTGTTTGAGTGTTTTTGGAACGTCCTAAAATGCTTATGGAAGTTTTAAAGTGTTCTGTAGTATTTTAAATGTAGTAACTTCTAAATTGACTGAGATACGAATTATGTGGGAAATTTTTGTAGGCATTTTAAAGACATCCCTGAGATGTCCACAAACAACATTCAAGACCCCTTGCTTACGTCTTCAAGCCGTCTTAAAGACTTCTTGTAGATGTCGTATGTCACAAAATCCAACGTCTTTCAGACGTCTTTAGGACTATGACTTTTTGAAGGCGTCTTCAACGAGATGTCTCAAAGAAGCCTTCGAATCTCTCTTCAATACATAGACCATTATTCACTTTACGTCTTATAGACGTCTTTTTTTAGTCTTCGCACGTTCAGCCGTAAGGCAGATCTAAAAAAGACGTCTTTATTAAAACCTTGTATGCTGTCTGGGTATTCTGCTCGAAGATTTCATCACTCAGATGGAAAAAAGAAATGGGGACCGAATAGTAAAAAAATTTGGAGAAAGGAGTCAACAATAAAGGAGAAAGGCTATTATCAAAATACACTAGGAATCCCAAATAGGTTTTTCTAACACAAAAATATAAATAAGTACACAGGAACACAAGAAAAAACAAGATTAAAATCCATTATCAACTATATAATAAGGGAAAACGAACTTGAAGCCGAAGGATGTTCAAGTGGCCATTATCCCAGTGACATAATATTACCTGGAAGAACTAACAAAACTCAAATCAAAAATATAAATGAATGATCTGTGAAGCGAAAAAACCTAAAAAGTTTAGACGAGGATGGTACTGAAATGTTGAATCAAAACCACTTGAATTATGGACTAGGTACTGGAAAAACAACAATACGAATAATACATAAAACAGAGTGCCTATGAGGCACCTTTCAAAGCCTAAAAACAAACAAACAAAAACAAAAAACTATATAGCACTAGAAGTAACAACAAAAAAGAAAACATATGAGATGAAATTTCAATGTGAGAAACACATTTTGCAGAAATAAAAATGAAGCATGGGAGATTTACAGTTTACAGTTTGAAGAATGTCGAGAACAGATCATGGACTAAGGGTAGACCAAATAATGTTTGCAAAAAAATGGAAAGTTTCCAGGCTCAGGTGAAGACCTAGGTGAACTCTCCAAAAACTTTTGGAAAATTTCATGAAAAGAAAAGACTAGGAAGACTAGGGTAAAGCTGGAGATCAAGCATTGATAAAGAAGGAAACCTTGAAAAAGACTAATGAAACGACTAAGATGGTTGGAGGTTAAGAAAGGAATCCTGTTGTTCCGACCATAAGCCATTAATTGCTTTCCTATTCAGACACTAATTTAAGTTGTAACTCTGATACTTCAAATATGCAATAAAGTGTTCCACTCCAAATGACGCAAATAAGTACTGCAAATAAATCAATTCACACACAAAATCACTTGTACATATCAAAAAATTAAGCTCACAAGAACACTTTTGTAAAGAAATTTACACATTTTCACTATCTGCAATCAAATTGATCTGTTTTCAAGAAAAATGAAAATTTGTTATAATTGGGAAAGTACCTATACATCTCAAACTACCTTTTTTTTTGAAAATAGATATCTAGGTTACATTAAGATACGCTGCTACATAATTATAGTTAATCGTTCAAATATCGTATTCTATAATTCAAAATTTTTCTTTAAATTGGAATGACGCTCTAACTAATTTTTTTTTTTTTTCACCGAATTTTCAAGATATCTTGTAGTTTGACGCTAATAACAAAAATCAATGTTTAAGCTCGACAAAATCTGTATCAGAAAGAAAATAATAAGAAAAATCTCAATCCTTGCTGAGCTTAAATATTCAGGGCACTTTCCTAAAACGCTTATTTTTAAAAAATTAATAAAACTTTAAGTCGCTCTAGCCCATAAAACGGCATGTTTTTTTTTCTGTAATATTACTTATGTATTATCCTTAGGGTGCCTTGATTTTAGATATTTGAAATTTTCTCAAAATAAAACGAAAATACTACTTGGAATGTTTCAAGTAATATTTTTCTGAGTAATTATTTTCACTTTAGATTTTGAAATTTTTTGGCATGCTGTGCTAGGCTATAGCTGCCGAAAGTAAAAGGTTTTTCATTTTGTATGCTTTGTTTACTTAAAACGTAATAATAATGCCTAATTAGACTAACATTGATTGGAGCATACAGAATGGGACACGTTAATAGTGATCCAGATACAATAATCAATTTAAAACAAATTCGTCGAAAACAAAATTACAAGGTTTGGACCACTACCACTAGTACCAACTGCCTTTTTTCTTAGAACCCATAGTTAGAACAAGTAGGTAGCGAATTAGAAGCATTTTTCAATTGCCTGCACAGCCTTACTGAGCCACGCACGGGTCAAAATTTCATCCAGAAAAAAAAAGTGCCAATAAAACCAAAATGACCAATAATCAGTGAGCGCCAACAAAAAATAATATTAAATCCCATCATGTATGTTTAAAAGTTTATTGAAGGAACCGGAGTAAAATTTAAATATATTATTTGGCATGAAAATGATAATGACAGCTGTATTGAAATTTGAAAAAATTGTTTTAGCAAATTTATGTAAAAGTAAGTTTAGTGACTAACTTTAATTTAATTATTATTAATTTAGTACTTATATAAATTAATTATTACTAGAGTTGTGGCTGCATATTTTTGCGATTATCCAAAATCTTTTAACTGATAAATTTTATTTCAAAAAAAAAGAGCTTAACTAACACATTCACCTATAAGGCTCCTCAATTATTAGTCCTATGTTTGTGGTTTTTAAAATTTTCTAGTTAGTAAACGGCATTTCTAATCCTTTCAAGTCCCCTTTTTCCTGTACTTCCTTTTGTTTACCAAAAGTTACGCTTACACTAAACGTTAAAAAAAAAAATTGTGTTTCTGTCCATTTTTGTTTCGTTTCATCACAAAAAAAATGGATGCATCTTGCATAAAATAAATTTTACCCGATGAATTAAATCAATTTACATTTTATGCAAGACGTAAACCAAAAGCCTTTTTCGAAAAATAATTATTATGCAAATTGTTTATTTGTCTGTGGCTATAGGCGATATTCGCCAGTTGTATCCCAGAAATCATTGACTTGATCGGGACTAGACCAAAATATGGCGGCACCTTGAAGAACGAACGTGGGCGAAGGTGAGAAAATTCTAGAATTTGTTTTTGCATTCGGACCAAATAAATGAACTGAAAAACGTATATTTATTACCAAATACGATAATATGTGAATAATTGTTTGATAAACGAATAAACATTGCTTGAAAATTGCTTTGATATAGTTCATTTGAAAAAAGCAATGTTTAGTTGTTGATTGTTATATGAAAATGGGGAAATTTTCTTTGCCCATTTAATTATAAATCATTAAATTTTAGTATTTGTTATTCGATGTGTGCTCATGTCGTAGTCTTAATTTGCTCAGTGGCTATAATATCTTCCTGCACGCTTAATATTCGTCCTTAATGTTATTGTCGTTTATTATTTTATTTATTGTGTTAGATGTGTCTCGAATTTTATTTGTTTCTCGTGTTAAGCCTGATCCTAGAAAATTCTTACTTGAAATACTTTTTGTAGTAAAACTTATATACAACCAGAGAATTATTTTTGCTGGTTCAAGTTATGCCATAAATAAATTCAGTGTTTAGTTGTGATTTGCATGAACATGACATGATGTGGCGTTATGAAAAATTATAATATAGAATTTACCTAAAAAATAATCTCAAATTGGAATCTACAATGTGCGTGGCCAGGCTGTGGTTAGGTTTCCACTTTTTTTAGATGTAAATATTGAAATTATACCAAATATATTTTTTTAATTCCATTTTACAATAATTTGTACATTCATTTAACGTGCACAGTAAATTTTAAAAATTAATCATATTAATTATTTATCCAAACAGTTCGAAATTTTTTGGCTAGTTGCATGTGATTTGCGCGTAACGTTTATTAACAATACTAACCCGAAAGTTTTTTGTCCTAGACATATTCACAAAAATAGAATTCAGAAAGCTAACTAGTAATCTTAGTTTTTTTTTTCAAAGTTATACAAACTAATTAATTTTTATGTATATAGGCATATAGTCGTTTGCGGGCACATTACATATGAATCTGTGTCGCATTTCTTAAAAGACTTTCTCCATGAGGATAGAGAAGACGTAGACGTGGAAGTTGTTTTTCTTCATAGGTAAGATGCAATTCAACTAATAGTTATGTAATATAATTTTATTAGAATGGTTCTTGGTGAAAAGTCTTTGTGAGTAACTTAAAATACAAGGTTAAAACAAAACCTGGCTTAAAGTGTATGATACATGAAATGCAAAACATAATTTTACCGCTAACTATTTTCCAAAATAGACTATGAGCTAACGACTGATTTACAAATAATATCTCATGCCAGGCTGCCTTCTGAGGTAGGTACACTTTAGGTTAATATTTTACTAATAGGGCAATGAAACGCAACTCAGGACACAAGATTTATCCACAGATACCAGCAAAGATAAACTTTTGTGGGTAGTTTTCCCAAAATGAGGATCATTAACTCACAGTAATAAAGAAATAACTGACGAAATAAATATGAATTAGAGTTAAAATGGATATCGATAAAGTAAAGGTGAAGCCTGTAGCAAATGACATGATCATGATGACATACATGCCTTAACCCAATAAAATGTATTTGATGGTCTGGCTTATAATCCCACTATTTGAAATCATATTGCTGGTTTTTCAACGAAAAGTTTAAATTTAATATTTTTTTTAAAATGGCTTTAATCTCTTGTGCGTTGATATCACTTTCTCAAAATCAAGATCAGCAAAAGGGCAGAAGTTAATTCACTGCTGTTCATTCTCATATAGATTTTTCATTAAAAAAAAAAACAGATATTCACCATGAGGGTTCCATGAATCGGTAGCTTCAAAAATGTCCTCCTATCCCCTTTGGCAGCATTTATTTTGAGATATACAGTTTTGAGAGGTTATATTATATAACAGTAAATAATCTGCCAACCTAGTCTGGCATGATATATTATGTTAAATCTTCGTCAGATCTTAATCTATAAGATGCCTCGTGCATTATGTTTAATGTTCAATAAAATATTATCATAAAACTGATATGTATATGATGGATGTTCTTTGACATACTTACATATCGTAGACAGAATAAAGCTTACTGTTTTCTTACTCAACGACCGTTTGCTACCTAAATTATATTCCCCGACGTGTAAGTTAGAATTGGAGCGCAATATTCGATTGACAAAATACATTGTGTCAATCAAATCATCAAGAATTATGAGCCGACATCAGAATTAATTTCGCGCAAGTGATACTCAATCAAGAAGCTGACAATCAGATCATTAAGAATTATGATCCCACAGATCCCACGTCAGAATGAATTTCGCGCAAGTGATACTCAATCAGAAAGCTGACAATCAGATCATGAATAATTACTTACCAGTTTTAATTGTGATACTTCCGTTGTGATACAGTTGATGTTTCATGGTACAATAGGTAGATTTTTTTTTATCTTCTATTGCATCTGCGGTACGATTTCAATGTGGAAAGAGTAGAGTCAATATTTTAAGCGAGATAACTGAGGTAGCTGTCTTGTATTCTGAAAACTCAATAAAGGTTGTTTACCTCCATCAGTTTCATAACATCAGAAGTAAATTCGAAAAACAGCTAAGACACGTCAAATAATCTCTTTGGAAGGGAGTAGAGTGTTTTCACAGCTATCAGGCCACATACCCACCTCCACCACGTAAAACCCCCCTCCAGCACAGCCATCATACCACTACCCACCACTGTAAACCTCCTTCCGTGATGCCCCTGAGTACTTTTTTGACTCAAGTGCCCCCCAGCTATCAACACCCACCTCTTCTACGTGAATGGTTCACCAGATTCACAAATTTTGGGGTTGGTTCCCAATATTTCGGATCAAAGGCGCCGATTTTCCCACGGTATCGAAAAAGTTCTCACGGTTGGCCCGGGTCCAATTCCCGAAATTTCAGATCAAAGGCGCCAATTTTCCCACGGTATCGAAAAAGTTCCCACGGTTGGCCCGGGTCAAATTCCCAAAATTCCAGATCAAAGGCAACCGACTTTCCCACGGTATCGAAAAAGTTCTCACGGTTGGCCCGGGTCAAATCCCCAAAATTTCAGTTTTGCGGTTCTCAATACTTTTGAGTGGAAGCAAGTGGTGAAAAACCTTGCTAATTTATTGATACATCTTCGGAAAATATGGTTTGATTTTTCATTGCAACACAATAAAACAATAAATCAAGTTATCATTTTATTAAAAAAGTTATACAAATTGGAATTTTGAAAATCTTTTTCTTTCCTGTTGCCTAAATTTTTTTTGCTCATCTGCTCATTTTTGGCGGGGGACAACGGATTATGGGTTGGATACAACATCTGCTTCTGAGTTATTGCTATCTACCACAAAGTTCTTATCTCAAGAATCGTCGATTGACCTGGGCCAAACGTGGGAACTTTTTCGATACCGTGGGAAGATCGGTGCCTTTGATCTGAAATTTTGGGAATTTGACCAGGCTAACCGTGGGGACTTTTTCGATACCGTGGGAAAATCGGCGCCTTTGATCTGAAATTTTGGGAATTTGACCCGGGCCAACCGTGGGAAATTTTTCGATACCGTGGGAACTTTTTTGATACCGTGGGAAAATCGGCGCATTTGATATGGAATTTTGGGAATTTGACCCGGGCCAACCTCAAAATCAGTGGCGTAGCTAGGCGTCGGCGATGTCGGCGACTGCCGACGGCCTCGCGCCCTAAGGGGCCTCGCTAAAAATAAATTACCGAACCTTAAAATTGGCACTTTTCTCTGGGGGGGGGGGGGGTGATTACCCCCATTACCCCCATCCTTCGTGGATCCGCCACTACCACCCTACATAAAAAGGGCCTCGCCATTCGGATGCCGCCGACGTCCGAATTTAGTTTGGCTACGCCACTGCCCAAAATTTGTGAATGTAGTAAACCATTTACGTAGAAGAGGTGGGTATTGATGACTGGGGGCACTTGAGTCAAAAAAGTGCTCAGGAGCTTCACAAAAGGGGGTTTACAGTGGAGGTGGGTAGTGGTATGATAACTGTGCTGGAGGGGGGTTTTGCGTGGTAGAGGTGGGTATGTGGTCTGATAGCTGTGAAAACACTCTACTGAAGGGACAACTTTTTAGGCCAAAATCTCAACCGCTTCAAAAATCTTTGATGAGCAAAGGGGACGAGTAGATATCATTTTAATAGAACTTTGATTAACCAACATTTTGACTCTATGGCATAATATGTAGGTAGCAACGGTCGATGCGCGAAATTCCAACAACTGCAATAAATCTGTAAATGTTTGTATTATAATTTTTTTTTTCAGGTATTACTTCTCGGGATATTAAGTTTTCTCAATAGTAATATAACTAGTGCAATGTAAATTATTGATAATTTTTGGGAAATTTGCCCGAATGCATTTTTAGTTGAAAAAGAGCACGAGTGCACGTAGTGCACGAGTGCCTTTTTCAGTTAAAAACGCATGAGTGCAAATTTGTCGAAAATTATAAATAGATTTCCATTGCACGAGTTGTATTTAATGAGAGAATTTCATAAATCAAAAATTTAAATTTTTTGTCAAAAAATGTCAAAACACCAGTTTTCGCAGCAGTTAGTATGCAATTATCTGATAATTTGCATTAATGCAAATTATCGCGTAATTACAATCTGATTGGTTCAAATCAACAATCAAAACATGTCAATTTATTGTTGGAATACCAGTTTTGACAGATGTATGAAATTCTCTAGATAATACAATACCAGCACATTAGAATTTATTAATTTTTACCATAAAAATAGAAACTTTTCATTAAGGGCGTTCTCTCGTGATAACGGTTGCGAAGGTAAGACTTGCAATTTGTTACATGTCGTGCTTCTAACCTTCCTGTATCTATTTTTCAATCCCAAACCGTTTTGGAGAAGAGAAAATCCAACTTCATTTTAGGTAATTTTTGAAATGTTTCATATGTAGTAGAAATCAAAGTTACTTTTCTATTTCTCAATTTTGATTTTTCAATGGTTTGACTTGCAATTCCACTCTGCCACGCTCCTAACCTTCCTCTAACTACTGTCTAAAGTTCATTCGTTTTTGAAGAAATCTTTTTTCATATTTCATTTACATGGGAGCCGATACCCTGTAAACCTTCCTAAATTTATTCATACAATCATCAAAATTACTTAAAATTTGGTATATTGATATACAAAACTGGAATCATATCAATCGAAAAATGGAAACTTCAGAATTTTGTTTCTTTGAGAGCAATATGGGACAGTAATTTCTCAAATGCCAATTTTTCACATAAGCAATAATAATTCAGTTACCCTCGGTGTCACTACACTGCATTATCACGAGAGAACATCCTCAATCTACAATTATACAAATTCGAAAAAGATCCGCACAATTTGGGGTGGTAGATGATCACTCTTTAGAGGCCTCTCTTTTTGCTCTACAGGGTAATCAGTTGTCCAAAAGATTAGCAATTCATGAAATCTTTCACAGAATTTTGATCAATATTGATCTGATTGATAGATTAATAATTGACATTTCATTGTTAATTTATAATTTGTAGAAAGGAACCTGACTTGGAATTGGAGGGATTACTAAAACGGCATTACACAACAGTGGAGTTTTTTCAGGGAACCATGATGAACGCGGTTGACCTTGAAAGAGTCAAGGTATCGAATCATTTGGGGGTTTTCAAAAAAATTAAGCTTTTATACATATTTTACTATTTAATTTTGAATTGTGCACACTGCCTATTTATATATTTTTTAAGTTTTTGCAGAATATTATGTAGTAGCTGCATGGTAATACTCAGAAATTCCAAGTTACTAGAGTGACTTTCGGTTAATCTGGTTTATTTTTTTCGTTTGCCTTATTTTTTACGTTTTGTATCTTTTGGGAATGTATAGGAAGCCGCCCGATCTAGAACTGGAAGGTCTGTTCAAGCGACATTTTACCACCGTCGAATTCTTCCAAGGTACCATTATGAATCCAATTGACCTACAAAGGGTTAAGGTAAGTTTACGGCGATACAAAGAAAAAATGAATATTAGTCTATTTTTCGAATCGATATTCTTCCTTTATACAATACAAATTGCTTAAACTAACAAGTCTAAATAAATTCAACTCAAATAAGGTTTAGGTCACAAAATAGCTCAATTATAGAAATAGGCAAAATTGCACTGTTTCAAAAATTTAACTATACTGAACGGCAGAAAAAGTATGAAAGTTTTGAAATTTTTTGATAAATTTTTCGCAGGCAAGTCCTGTAATTGCTATCAAAATAACGTTACAGACGTACAATGTGGAATTGTGAAACATTTCAGTTCTTTGCTCCCAACTATAAGGATATCAGATATCAGACATCATGTCTTTTGAAAATGTCGACCTTCTGCTGGAAGATATTTCACGTATTTAACAATCTGCCAGATTCGATTCACAGTTTAGTGTCCCTTTTTTTTGCTGCTCGGTTGTGTCCAATTTTTTTTCTTCATATTTATAATTTTTTTTTTATGTTCTGTGATTAGATAAGTACTGGCACAATTTTTATACATCCCGAATGAAATACATTTCAGCACATACATTAAATTTTTACACAAAATGCTGGAATCCTGTACTGCATTATTTTCAGTTTAGGCATTTTATTCAATTGTTCATTAATTAGGAATAGGAATAGCAGATATTAGGTACTACTGTTAGTCCATTCTATGTAATATCATCAGTCAGTACCCTTTATAAGACGAGTGAAACTGATTTTCAATTGATTTTATTTGAACATTCATTAGAACACATTATATTTTCCAAACTTAGTTAGGTATTTGCACTCTAGAATAAGATAATTTATTGTATGATTTGAAAAATAGACTTATACACCTAAGTTTTTTTTGCGTTAAACTAAATAATCAAAATAACAAATTGAACAAAGTCAAAATTAAAGTAAAAAAAATCGATCAATAAGGAAAAAAAAGGCAATAGGGTGAATGATTCCGGGTAAGTTACGTCATCCCTTCAGCAACGTTAAAAATCCAGCGTTTTGAGTCTACAAAATACCTAGATCTATAAATTTTATGCTTGCATGTCAATAGATTATTCCACTAGAACCGTTTTGAGAAACACTTTAAACGCACATGTTCGACTTTTACCTTTTACGATGCTCCCACAGAAACTACAACAACGTGTGTTTTAAATTGTTTTCGAATTATTTACTTATTACCTAAATAGGGAATGTTAGAAGTTTTAGCATGCCTTTTTTTATTACAGTTAAATAATGGATAATTTTTGCCAAGGTTGGTTTAGAAGGTGGTTTTCGTGTAAACTCTAACCGAAAATAGGCATTATTATAAATTATTAATGAAGAAAATCTCATTATTGTTGATGCCCTTACATGTTATATGTTGGATTTGGATCATATTAGGATTATTTGCTGTTTTTTTCGCATTTTCTCAACTGCTTTAAAATAAACATTGCTCGAAATTCAATTACTTTCGTTGAAACAGCAAAAGCAGGCTTTTCTGTTTGACACACAAATGTTTTTGATTTTTGTCCAAATTCTGTTGGACGCATCAGTTTTCTAATTTGCATCATCAATAACAATTATGTTGTTCCAAATTTAGTGCATAACTTTCAAGGATGTTATTCACATATTATTACTATTAAAACAAATTAGACCGAATGGGCTAATTCATCCAGAGTATATTATCGTCTCCGGATTCTATTTCCCCGGGCGATGTTTTCATTTTTAATCATGTATCTTTCACACTTTAAAAAAAAAAAATCTTGTCTGTATGTAGGTCGGTTCCAACAACTTCCATGTATTTTGTAAGGTCACATTATTAACGAACTCCCGACGTTGTAAGACTGCAAAAGTCATGGAGCGACAGGTGGAAATGTATTATTTGACCTCCTCAGCACTCTTGCTTTTTACAACATCTCATGAATAAAAAGTCTCGAGAGAAAAACTAGAAGTGGATGATATACCTAAACATCATTGATTTATTAAACGAAAAACTTCGGAATGAGATGCGAATAATTCTTCTGACAATTCGCAGTTTATAAACCACGTTTCCTCTTCTATACCAACCAAATTTTAAATTAGTTATGTCTTATACACTGATTCGTTCTAGAAACTTGTTCTATAGAGTTTTTTTCTGTCACCAGCAGATCATTTTGCCTAATAAAAATTAATTATAATAAGTATATAAATATTGAAATCGGCTTTTAAAAACTTCATTCGAATAATAAAACTTGTTTTTTCAAGTTAAAATTAAAGTCGATTTCAATAAAATATTCTACTAAAGTAGCTATAGATTATACTTTCTCGCAAATAAAGCTAGAAGATCCATTTTAGAAATGGTTGACCATAGAAATGTCTTTTAGGTACACGAAGCTGACGCATGCCTTGTATTGGCCAACAAATACTGTCAAGATCCGGACGCCGAAGACGCAGCAAATATTATGAGGGTTATTTCGATTAAAAATTATAGCGATGACATTCGAGTGATTATTCAATTAATGCAGTACCATAATAAGGTGAAAATATTTAAATAATGTAGAATTTAATTTACAATTCAAACTACAATGTTTCAGGCTTACCTATTAAACATTCCATCTTGGGACTGGAAACAGGGTGACGATGTCATATGCTTGGCGGAATTAAAATTAGGATTTATTGCTCAGTCGTGTTTGGCTCCTGGATTTTCCACTATGATGGCAAATTTGTTTGCTATGCGTTCGTTTAAGACTGTAAGTGCTTTTAATTAATATTAAAGTTAGAAATTAATAATATTTTAGACCGAGGCGAAATATTAAAATTATGTTTTCAATAACTCAACAGCAGAAAATATAATTATCAACAAAATATTATAACTGAAAGTACAGGGAGTTACACTGATTTCATTTTAAAGGCGTTGCCTTTTGTGGCTTTATTGATTTGGAACTTATTTTATCTTTTCTTAACATTTTCCATTTAGAGGCTTTGGTTATTTCAGTGGACAAAGGCCATTCTAAATGAAATGTTACACAAATGTATGGATAAAATCGTCTAGCACACAATAATACATGTGGCTTCCGTAGAAACCACATGACTGAATAGAATTGCTTTGATTTAATTACAATAGATTCTATTAAAATGCGTTTTCTATTTGCTCAAGCCAAATTGAATTCCTAGATTGGAATTCAATTGATTTTATAGTTCCGTGCCTCACTTATAATTTGTTTTGAGCAAAGGCGATTATTTTGAGACCTGATATCATTTTCAATTTGTTAGCAAAAGGCGATTATTTTGAGTCGACTCGATATAGAATATTGTTTCTTAAAATGCCGAATACTTTTCGCAAAAGTTGAACAGGAGAGTTGCACCAATACTTCTTTTGATCTTCTTACCTCTTTTGAATATAATGTGGCCCAAGTAAGTAGGTAGTTAGATTCTTGAGTGTGTTAACAATCTTCTCACAGATATTTAAAGACTAATATTATCACATCGAAATGTTAAGTAAAGCTAAAATAAGATCTTATCTAGGATTTATAGGCTGATGCAAATCATGCACCCAATAAAATATTTTGGAATTTGACGCAGTAGGTCTGGGAAAGTTTAAAACCGAAAACTTTACACGAAATTTCGCTTGAAATTGGATGCCATCGGGAGTTTATAACACTTCGCTAGGGGCAAGTTTAGTTTTTTGCCAATAACACTGACATTTTTGATATGAGCGACAAAATTGGATGATGTTTGGTTTAATTAAGTTTGATCATAGTGTTCTTTGATAGGAGGGATCAACCTTGGAGGTCAAGTCTGAAAACAACTCTTCGACAGAAGGTTAACTATAGAAGTAGGTACTTACGTAGAAAAGAATTTCGAAGTTCACTGGAAAAAGGCATAGAAGATGAATCAGAAATATTGTTAATATTGTTACCACCGCCACCTGATTGTGACGGTTGGGTAAGGAAGACTTTGTTTTAGCTGGTAAAGGCCTTTTTTGTGCTGCGGTAGCATGCCACCAGGGACTTTGTTTAAAGTCCCACTGAAAACCTAGGTAACTTTGAACGGATACTTTTTAGTAAACTGATTAGATCACCTCTTCCAGTGCGGGTTCTTGCTACCTGAGCTGTACGCAGTTAGTTGGAATGCTATCTCGGGGTTTTCCAACGGAAATAAAAGAATCAGTTTTTCTTACTAAACTCTAACAATGGTTTATTGAACAAATTGTAAATCTTGGTAAAAAAAAATGGAAGAAAAGCAAAAAATATACAGTAAGTTAATAACAATGTTTACTGAAATGAAATGAAAGAAAATACATACGGAGATTTGGAATGATAGGGAGTGAAATTTATCATCATAATCAATAATAATTGAGCGTCCTGTATAAGGCGTTTCTCGATGGTACAAGTTACATGAGAAATTAAGTATTAAGATACAGAAAATAAAGTATAGGTTATAATTCTTAATGGGTGAAAAAGTCACGGGTGTCCTCGACAAGGGAATGACAAAACAGCCTTGTTATTCAGGGTAAGATACATGTTGGAAAAGAGATTTGAGTTGTGAAGCTAACCCACCGGTTTTGTTCTATACACAGGGGAGAAAATAAATAATAGACAGAAAACAACAATCATGACATATAAATTAAAATACTTGAAATTGAAACATTACCTAAGGTCTCGGAAAGAAAGTCAGCAGAATGACGTCAACACTTAACACCAGAACTTTGTTACACAACTGAATCAATTTAGGAGGCTAACAGGCCTATTTATATTGGCAGCCTGATGACGTTTTTGGGATTCTTATCGGTCGCAAAACAAGTGATTTGTTCATGGAACCAAGAGTCGAGAGTCGCGTTTTAAGACACAATCATAACACTCTTTCAGAAACCGACTGATAACCCTTGGCTCTTGACACGGTTTCGTCAGAAATTTAGCGACGTAATCTAGCTGGGTAAAAAAGTCAATTAATTGTATTACGAAGCAAAAAAAAAATGATTTTTAGGCCATTTTGTTACAATCTATGATATAAACAAGAACAATGACAGATTAAACGGACAACTTCAAGAGGAGGGAAATAAACTAGAAAAAAAGAAAAACAAAAACGCTGAAACAAGAAAATTGATGGAAAAGAAAAGTTTTGTAACTGATAGGAAACGAAACACAACCGAATACAGCGAAATCAATAAAATAATACAAGCAACTCGCAAAGAAGATAAAAAGACAAACAACGGAACAGTCATAGAAGAGAATGGATGCCCAAAAAGCCAAGACTCCAAGCGAAAGGAAACAACAGAAAAGACAAAAACTAAATGGCGGAAATTTCAGTGAACTAGCTTGTTAATATTCTAGAGTTGGACATTTACAAAGAAGAATGTCGACAGACCATTCAAGAGCCAAAGGTATAATACAAAACTATGATTGGCCAAAGTGGATTATAGTTCAAACTCAGATCTAATGGAATTGAGCAGTTCAAGAGGCAGACCATAGATGAGATGAATCGACCACCTCCAATTTACAGCCAGGAGACAAGTGGCCTAAAATAGGGCGAGAATTGGAACAGGGTTACATTCGAAGATGTATGATGGCTAGCTAAAGAAGAAGAAGAAAATTCTTATTACTGATTTTTAACCATCAAATTGTTGTTTCGATTTAACTCGAACTTAATTATTATACCTAAAGATTCTGTCTTGTAGTTGTTGTTGACCACCAAATGTCAACAGCATCTGGTCGGATTTCGCTGTAATAGACCTTTTGCTCCTAAATTCAAAAAAAGCCAACTTCAAGCGAAATTTTGACTTCCAGTTTCATTAACCTACTTTCCGAGACGTTTATACCTGAATCATTTTATTCGGTTTATGATTTGTCTCGGTTTGTAGATCCTAGACTTCGCACAATATCAAATTTAAGTTCACTCAAAGTCCTTCTAGTTTAACAAATAGGGTAAAAATTCATAATATCTCTGATACATTTGTCTAAATGTGGTTCTAGTCGCCCGGAATGCAAATATGGACCAATGATTACTTACGCGGCACCGGTATGGAAATGTACACAGAGACACTGAGCCCGTCGTTTATCGGCATACCATTTGCACACGCGGCTGAGTAAGTCATCGGATCAGAAGAACCAAAAAAAAAGAGTTTCAGACTTGCACTTTTATTATTTTATTTTACTGTGCGTTCTCTGCTGAACCCGTCTCTCTTAACTATTGAAATTTTGTCTTATTTTTTGTTGTTTGTGTACCGAGATAATATTGTACCCATCACGAAACTTAACATTTTATTACAGTTTGCTATATGACTGAAATACTGTAACTCAATCTCTATATCAGCTTTTATGACATTAATAATTTGCTTTTAATAGCTGATTATACCTAACAAGTAGAAGAAGATTTTGTTTTAGCATTTTAACATTTTTAGTTTCCAGTTGGACAAGTGGAAGAAACTTTTCGTTAGTATTTTATAACAATATTCTGTTGTGATATTAGGTCTATGAATGTACGAAGTATATGATAAGGTACATGTTACGCGTACATTGTACGGTTTTCTGATGTGTAGGAACAAAGCTATTATAACCCAAATTAAACATTGAAATCCTACTTTTTCTACAGATTATAGCAAATTGTAATAAAATTTCCATTCTTGCCGTTTTCAACTAAAAAAAAATGTTGTAGTAGTTTTTCATATTATTGTAAATAGTCCAAAGTCCAATCTTTGTCCGTACTAATCCAAAACGATGATGTTTCGTGAAAAAAAAAAAAGATAACACGCAAACACAGAATTTTTCCTTTCTCAGCGACGCTATCTGACATTTAATTATTTCCAGCAAGCTTTTGTGATATATCTGCTGTTGGTGTTTATTTATTTGATTTTGGTTAAGGTTTCTCTTTGTATTTTTATGCCCGATGATCTATACAGAGTAAGGTGTAATATTTTGTAGGAAAAATACCTTACTAAACTCTATTTACTTCCAAGATAGGCTTGCTTGAAATAACCCTAATGATGGAACTAAAATACCTACTCAGAACTTAGAATGGAATAATAGTAAATGTAACATGCAGCAACAATATTCAACAGTTCACCTTTGAACATCTAATCTGTAAATTGTAGGTTTTGGCTAGTTAACCATTAAATCTGAAAACACACATTTGAAAAACTGGAGAGTTTTACTTCTGTACTTATTGTCATACGACATACCTTTTGCTAATAACTTTGGTGATTATTACATTATGCTTTTACCAAAACTACCATTTAGAAATACCCATGTCTGCTGGCTAAAACCCAGACCACTTGCAGATAGTTACGTTTCATTTTGCACACCAAATTTGAGTAAGCATGCCTCAAGCTGCTTCCAATATTTCTGACAACCTGCTGAAACATACCTATTAACAGTATATTTTGTGCCTCAACTTTTCATCTTTACCACAAAAATTAGTAAAAATGGAACTAAATGTTTGGACATCTGAGGAGAGCCATCTATAGTAATGTTCAATCAATAATCCAATTCTTTGAAAGATCCGGAATGAATTTCATAGAAGTTTAAAATCGTAAAAATGTTGCAATATAAAACTCTAGTCAATTTTCCTCGAGACAAATTGGAATGCAATAACGACATTTTTCCAATTTGAAATTGGACATAAACGAGCTGAAGTTGGAGGATGATACTGTCGATTTTTATTATATTGAAACTGTCAATAGGAATAGGATGCGATATCTTGGAAGTAAATAGAACAAATATTTACGAAAAACGTTTTTCCACTACATATACAGAATTGAAATTCATTACATAATAAAAAGGGAAAAATGTTTTTACTATTATAAACGTTGTGCTATTGATCACGAAACTGGAGACTCGATGGTTTTTTCCAGTCTCCCGATACTCAAGTATGGCAGAACGATTATCTACAAGGAACGGGGTGCGAGATGTATACTGAGACTCTGTCCCCCTCGTTCACGGGCATGACTTTTCCCCAGGCTAGCGAGTAAGACTTCCCCATCACTTAAAAACATGACATAATTCACAAACACTAACAATTCAAGAAAAGAAACTAACAACAATGAAAAATATAACGATGCTTGATTATACTAAAGTTTAGTATAAATTTTTTATTTGTATTGGGGTAATTATCAAGGGACTTCTAATAACACTCGTAACTTATAACTCAATTTAACCTACTTTGTATTAATATTTTGCACTACTCTTTTGTAACTGACACACATTTTATAATCGACTTGATATTTCCCAATAGAAGCAACTTGCAGCATTACAAAAATGTTGCCCAAATTGCATTGTTCTATTTTTCCGTATCATTAAACAAGTCTTAAGAAAAATAGTTGAAATAATCAATTCATTTTTCATTGACACAGTGTTGTGAATTGTAATTAAAACTAAACGTAGAATTTTAGATACTTGCTACCTTGCATTAAACGTAGAGTAGATGTACGATTTCTATAATACGGTTAATTTTCAAAGGATGTCGGGGATGGAGTATATTTTTGTTTTAACTTTTACTAAATTTATCAGAATATAGAATTTAGCAAAAGTTTATCCCAGTAGCTTGCAAAAAGCCTCTTATTAACTTGCTTTTTTAGTTAACCTACACAATTATTTGCTTTACCATGTATGTTGCATGTAAGTGTTTATTATTTTTATATTTAATATTATGATAAGAATTATTGTATAGACCACCCATCATGAAACATTTATAATAATTATAATAATAATAATAAGGTATGCATAATAATAACATCATGGCTGGTTTATCTAGGCAACTAAATATATAAGTCAAAATTAAACAACTAGAGATACTTTTAGATGTTGTGTCCCTTTTAAAACGCCTGAGTGAAAATCATCTGCTAACTTTTCTATTTAAAGTTTTTAAGGGATGACTTCGAAAGTGATTCAAAACTTTACTTAGAAGTTAGAGTTTTTAGCTTGAGCTATGAACTGTATACTGCCTAGTGTCAGCTTTTTCTTATACAATCAGAAAATAGGTCATATTTGAAATAAAATAGATTATATTTTTTTCAACCCTAGTTGCCTATAGGATTCTAGATTCAACCCCGCTAGGCCGCTATATAGTTTTTCTATTCACTAGTCCCATCTCCTAATTTTTTATTCTAAACCAGGTTATGTTTCACCAAACTAAAACTGCTTCTATTGGCGATAGAAGTAAAGGGCGTGGAAGGAGCCGACACTAAAATCTCCATCAATCCTAAGGGAGCCAAAATCGTCGCGAACACGCAAGGATTTTTTATAGCTCAATCGGCTGATGAAGTTAAAAGGTAAGTTTTTATCAGTCGTTTTTGGCAGGGTTTATAAATAACTTTTTTTTCTGGCAAACAATTAGCTGGATAAGTTTTATTTATTGTATTTTTAGGCTTAATAGGCCACAACCTGTGAAATTTACTTTTAACAAATAGGTAATTAGTCGAAAAAACAGCAAATAGGAGAACTTTATAATGAAAATTTTGGTCACGGACTCTTGATAGGAATACTCAAAAGATATCCTCTTTGAATGGATGAATATATGAATTAGGGGTATTGTTACACTGCTACCTGCATAGATCTATTGTGCCCCCTGTTCATTTAATGTTGAATTTCGATTTATCTTTATAATAAGAGCCGCGGGACTGTAAACACGTTGATTCATCTAAATTTTTACCGAAAAATAAAAACTATGATATTTGAACCCGAGCCATACAAGAACAAAAGTTTTCTTTTCCTGCAACCAATTTTTCGACGAATACAATCCCATAAAATAGGTTTAAAATATCTTCTAAAACTATGAGGTTGATTTTCTAACAGAATTTTTAACTGAATTTCAAAGGATCGGTTTGAGGGTTCTGAAAACTCAACTGACAAGTTCAGATCTCTGCCTTAATGTGCTTGGTGCGCTGATTTCTGGGAAGCGCATCGAATCTTCTCGTGCCATATAAAACTTGAAATTGTATGGCGCCAACATTTAAAATCAAGTATACGAATAAAATTAGTTTGGAAATTAAGCTATGCGCGAACACCCCCCTTCTGGGTGTTTTTCTTGATTCTTCTTCATAATGAATTTTTCAAAAACTAAGTTATAGTCTATAGTCGACAACAATATCTACTATGCCCTCTCCCTAGTGAGAATACACTTATTCTCCACTAAGTATTGTTATGAATCATACAGAATACGATTTCTTCAAGATATGGATATGAATATAGCCTAATGTGGTTTAAATATCGTAGTCGTAAACATTATGAATAACTTTTTCCCAAAGTATCGATGATCTACGAATAAAATGAAACCAGGTCAGGTTACCTTAAGGCGTGATTTTTGTTGAAGCAAAAACTGAATTTCTTACTGAAAGCATAAGAGTTCGTGACCCTAATCTAATATGAAAATTTTACTGATTATTTCTTCTGAAAAAAAAATAATAATTTGTAATAAATAATCCATTAATATTTTAGAGCATGGTTTTATTGCAAGGCGTGCCACGATCACATAAAAGACGAAACCTTAATAAAGAAATGCAAGTGTAAGAATTGTAAGTACATACTATTTAAAAAAAAATCTTGTCTGTCCTTTTTAAGCGAAAAAATTAAAAGATAATCATTATTAAGTATGGTACTCTTTTTTCTTATCATTCCTATTACACAGACGCATTTTGTAGATGATACTGTTTCTCTTTAAAATCTCTATGCGTTTTTATATCAATTATTATTGTAAGAAAAGACAAATTAATTAAACAATTTCTACAACTAAATACAAAGTTATTCTTTTCTTATGAAAATGATTGCAATATTTGATACCTAACAAAAAAATAAATTTCGTTTCTAATGACTTCTAGTGGCACAACAACGTAACTGGTCCCACGATCTAGGTAAATTGTTGGTCTATATATTGACTCTAGATCGATCTAGATCTTGCCTGTGGATCAGCTCCATTTTGTTTTATTGTTTCTCGATTTATTACACCCTTTTATTAGACTTTATAAATACACCCCGAATAAAATAAGTTCTAAATAATTCACTTATTATTGACTAGACGAAAAAGGCCTTCGGGTTTTACATATTTTATTTGGGGTCAATTTTGCTACATTGAAACTTACTGTTACCTCTTAAAATGCATTCTAACGACACAATGTTTATAATACTTCTCCTCACTAATGTAGTCCTCTCGTATAATTAAAGTTGTGTAGTATACCATTACGATATTGATTTAAATTTTTTCTTATAAATTTTTTGTAGATTTATTCACGAATTGCACATTCCGATAAATTTTTTTCTGATAAAATAATTTTTATATTCTTTCTCTTATAGGCTGTGAAATCGCTGAAAATATTTTTGCCTGTATACACGGAATGTACATTGACACACATTCTGTACCCTTTTGCACATTTAATGCATGGCTAAGTTTATAACATCTATTTCTTGTTGATAATTTTTCTCTTTTAAAAATTACATTCATTTATATAAAATCAACAACAAACAAACATTTTCCAAACTTCTCAAGTCATTGCCTCACTTCATATCGCTCAACTCTCCTCATTTCCCTCAGACATGTGTATAAAATCTTTCATTTTCATCTATTGGTAAATATTGTAATTTTTTATTTAACCAAGCTATTGTGTCTTAAATGGAATGCTCCATCATGTATAAATAATTTTATTTTTTTATTTTTTTTTGACATCCTTAAAATGAGAACACCCGAAGGCCATTATGCGTACATTTAATAACTCATATATTTTAAAAGAAAGATTATGGACAGACTTCATTTTTGTTTTTGAGTTTTTACACAAGAAACACATTTTTGTTTTGTTTTTTGAATTTTATTCCAGATGTCGGAATGATGATGATGCAATCGGGTATGGTCAAACAAGGCCTTAACTACCAAAGATACTTTGATGGTAGGCCACCGTTAAAAATTCCTTGCTTTGATGCTTAATCGGTGTTATTTTTATTTATTTTTTGTTACTGTGACGGTATAATTGTTTCTAATATGGAATGAGAAAAATAACACAAATTTACTAATGCGCGGTAAAAGAATTAACGATTGTGTAATTGATCATGTTTTTGGTGTTGTATTCAAAAAAAAAAAATCACATAATTGCAATTCAATTAATTGCGTCACATACAAATTTCACATTTCATCCCCTACAACAACAAGAGCTTGGTGGTAGCCCCGAATCAATTTATATGCGACGTTGCAATTTTTGGCATTTTCATGTTTGGACTGGAATCAGCGCCACGCCACGCCACCACAGTTGTTTATTATTATTATCCCGGCCTTTTGAGTGGACACAGAATATAATAATCTTTCATAATTTGATTATACTGCATATGATTGAATAAATTGAAAATTGAATAAAATTGAAACTACAAATTTTGTATTTTGAAGCACTGCCTTTTGGTTGAAGTGGAACTGGAAACTCGTTTGTTCTAAGGGCGGATAATTTTTTCATATCAAATTCGGAAAAAAATAGTTATTTTTCTAACAAGCGCGGGAAATACCATTTCTCGCAAGTGTTAAGTCTAGTACTCATAACAGCGAAATTGGCTCTTTTTTGACATACCTTCGACAATTTGGCGTTCTATGCGTGAATCAAACGTCAAATTATCGAAGCAATGTCGAAAAAGAGCTGTTATGAGTACCAGGCTTAAGGAACACAATTTTTCTCAAGGGTGTGCAGAAAGATTACTCTTTGTGCATGCCAACAGTTTTTTTTCCGCACATTCGTAGGAAAAAAACGGATCATCTTAGTTTCAGGTGTCCAGAAAATGGCAGAAATTATCCTGTTTTCAATCCCTAGTAGGACTGCTTATTGAGCTGAAAATGTTTGCCAATGGCTATGTCAGCTGCATGGGTACTTCAACTCTTGGAGTAAAATGCATTATTCGAGTTTAGAGCACACAAAAAAATGAATTCTTAAACGTTAAAATCTTGTTAAAATCACCTTTTCTATATTTAAAATCGACGAAAAAATCAAATAACGAGCACAGCCTGAATCGCAAGCCTTCCATCGAGGTCTGCGGGTGACGTCATCACTATTAGCAGCTGTGGCGACGTCACCTGCACACCCTGCCTGCTCAATAATTGGTGAACGTACGCCTTATTAGGACGAGCAATCCTGTTTACGATTGTTGTATAAAAATGTCGAAAATCCCAACAAAATCCTAATCTTTGATTGCACAAACAAACTAGCATCTGCAAAAAGTTTTTCTGACCATTGAAAAATAAACAATTCTCGTCAAGAATCATTTTCTGTAACTTGAAAACATTACTTACATATTTTAAAAACTGCTGTTTTCGTCACTCGTTAAACAATAAACAATTTGTCCGCACCTGTTAGGAAAATCTAACCCAAACAAAATAATATACTTTGACGTCAATTTGGCAACGCAGCACTCCTTGCCTTAACCTTTTAAAATTGTTTTGGCGCTACCACCAAGCTCTTGTCCTACAACATTCTCATATTAATAGGGTAGTGGACAAGGTATAATTTCAATGCAATCGATGATCTATTCTTTACCTACGTCCGATATTCGACACAAACTTCCTCTTTAGTGCAAAAAAGAGAGATATATCAGCGTATGTCGGGTAATATTACATTTAGGCGCACCCTCAACATAACCCCACTTTTTGAAAGAATTCTATTTGTCAATCAGTGCGCACTAAGTTTATCGGCATCTTTTTCTAAAAGCATGTAAAATATAAGGACGCGCTATTGGACATACATAACAGCTATGACGTAATTTCTTGGCGGTAAATTATAGCGTTTGAAATAAGTACAAATTTGTTAATTTTTTTTTACGTATATTTTTGTTTTCTAAAATCAAAGAATCATCAACGATTGTTTATTTTGTTGTGAAGATTAATAAAAAAAATATTTCAAAAAATTGTCCACTACCCTATTGTTTGAGTTTTAAAACATCAAACAAATCAGTAAGAGCAAAAATAATTACAAGCAAAAAAGATGTGAGAAAGTTCAACACAAGTACAGTTACGTGAGTGATGAGAAAATGAGAGCATGAAGGTTCTCAAAATACAAACAACTGGAACAGAATAAATATCTATGAAATGAAGAACAGAGACGAAAGCGCAACTACAAATAAGAACAAAATACTGACCATTGTCTTAGGAGAATCGAGGGTTGGAAGATATTCCAGCGATAATAATAAGATAGACGATATATTCTCCACCCATCGGTCCATGAGCCTACTTTCCTTCATTGAACAGGGTGTTTTCAAATTTTGTTTCTGACCATGGTTTCTAAAAATTCAGCGAAAACTATACAACTTTTGTATTAACACCTTTTTTCTACCTGTGAAGGTAAAGGCTGTAGGTGGGATGTCAATACATAAAAAAACACCCTGTACAAATAAGTGGATTATTGCGGAACTTATGGGTGGACCTCTGCGGGACGAGCGCACCGAGTTCCGCAGCCATCTACTCACCAATTGTTGAACTGTTCAAATAAGGCATTTACCTGAAACGGGTAATTTTTAAACTAATGAGAATAACTCATATTTGACATATTGGTGAATAGATGGCTGGGTCCACCCCATAAGTCCCGCAACAATCCACTCGTTTGTACTTGAATAACTTTTCACAATATATTACTAGTTTGGGTTAGTTGGGCAAATTGACAAAAAGTGGATAATCTTACAAATTTTGACTTTATAACTTATTGTTCAAGTACAAATAAGTGGATTATTGCAGAACTTATGGGTGGACCTCTGCGGGACGAGCGCAGCGAGTTCCGCAGCCATTTACTCACCAATATACTGTTGAACTGTTCAAGTAAGGCAACTCACATTTGAGTGAGTCAGGTTAGTATCGTTATTAAACAACATATTGATGAATAGATGGCTGCGGAACTCGCTTCGCTCGTCCCGCAGAGGTCCACCCATAATTTCCGTGAGAATTCACTCATTTGTACTTGAATAACTTGTCACATTATGTTACTAGTTTAGTAAAGTAACATTACTAATTCCTGTTGAAAGGCAAATTGACAAAAAGTGGATAATCTCACAAATTTTGACTTTATATAATAAGCTATTGTTCAAGTACAAATAAGTGGATTATTGCAGAACTTATGGGTGGACCTCTGCGGGACGAGCGCAGCGAGTTCCGCAGCCGTTTACTCACCAATATACTGTTGAACTGTTCAAGTAAGGCAACTCACATTTGAGTGAGTCAGGTTAGTATCGTTATTAAACAACATATTTATGAATAGATGGCTGCGGAACTCGCTGCGCTCGTCCCGCAGAGGTCCACCCATAAGTTCCGTGAGAATTCACTCATTTGTACTTGAATAACTTGTCACATTATGTTACTAGTTTAGTAAAGTAACATTACTAATTCCTGTTGAAAGGCAAATTGACAAAAAGTGGATAATCTCACAAATTTTGACTTTATATAATAAGTTATTGTTCAAGTACAAATAAGTGGATTATTGCAGAACTTATGGGTGGACCTCTGCGGGACGAGCGCAGCGAGTTCCGCAGCCATTTACTCACCAATATACTGTTGAACTGTTCAAGTAAGGCAACTCACATTTGAGTGAGTCAGGTTAGTATCGTTATTAAACAACATATTGATGAATAGATGGCTGCGGAACTCGTTGCGCTCGTCCCGCAGAGGTCCACCCATAAGTTCCGTGAGAATTCACTCATTTGTACTTGAATAACTTGTCACATTATGTTACTAGTTTAGTAAAGTAACATTACTAATTCCTGTTGAAAGGCAAATTGACAAAAAGTGGATAATCTTACAAAATTTGACTTTATATAATAAGTTATTGTTCAAGTACAATTAAGTGGATTATTGCAGAACTTATGAGTGGACTTCTGTGGGACGAGGGCAGCGAGTTCCGCAGCCATCAACTCACCAATATACTGTTGAACTATTCAAATAAGACATTCACCTGAAACGTGTTGTTTTTAAACTAATGAGAATAACTCACATTTGAGTTAGCATCGTAATTAAACAACATATTGATGAATAGATAGCTGCGAAACTCGCTGCGCTCGTCCCACAGAGGTCCATCTATAAGTTCCGCAACAATCCACCCTTTTGTACTTGAATAACTTGTCACATGATATTACTAGTTTGGTAAAGTAAATTACTAATTCTTGTTGAAAAGCAAATTGACAAAAAGTGGACAATCTTACAAATTCTGACTTTATATAATAAGTTATTATTCAAATACAGGGTTTTTTTTCATATATTTACACCCCATCTACAGCCTTCACTCTTACAAGTAAATGAAAGTTGTAAATACAAAAATTGTACAGTATTGGCTAAATTTTTAGAAACCATGGTTAGAAACAAAAATTGAATGTCAGAAATGTGAAATGTTGCATGCTTTCAGCTTTTTTCAAATGGGATGCCCTATATTTGGTTCCATATTTTTGAAGAGCACAATTTCCCGATTTCAAAACTATATAGTTTGTATTAGGTTGAGCCGTCTCCAACATATTTGGTTCTAAAAATTTTAAAAATACTATCGGAGAAATCAAATACCTCAAATTTTACCTGCAGCTTTCATCTGTACAGGTAGAATGGTTCATAAAATCAGTAATAAGATAATATTTTTACAATTTTTGGAGCCGAATATATGAGAGACTTTTCAATGAAATATAGATTATATATTTTTGGAATCAGAACATTGTGCTCTTCAAGAATATAGAATGAAATATAGGGCATCCTATTTGAAAAAAACGGGAAGTATGCAAAATTTCACATTTCTGACATTCAAATTTTGTTTCTGACCATCATGGTTTCTAAAAATTCAGCCAAAATTGTACATCTTTTGTATTTACATTTTTCTTCTACCTGTGAAGGTAAAGGCTGTAGGTGGGGTGTCAATATATAAAAAAACAGCCTGTACAAACTCTTCATGTGTACATTATCAGCTCAATTCCCACCAAAATCAAAATTTTATCAAGCTTTCTCAAAATCAGATCATGTAGGCCTCTTCAAAATTCTCTCAAGACCCTAGAGTAGACAAAAAAATGAGAGAAAAGGATGCCTGGATTTGCAGAGATAATTGGAGATCAAAAATCAGAAGCCGTGGAACATTATAGACTGATAATTATGTATAGAAAGAAGGACGAATCAATCGAGAGAACCAACGTTATCGAGTAACCTGGAAATTGAAATGCTTTATCATGGACTCCTATCCATATAAATGACTCAAGACAACGATCCTGCATAAGCTAAGTAAGCGGCGTATCGTATATTCTGATATTATGTTCTAGTAAGAATAGCTTGTAAAGATGCAGTTCTTTTTTATGTTCTCTCTTGACCATTCTGGGGATTTCACCTGTTTCTGATCACCGGAATAATACATTTTCCTAATCATTTATTATGGTTTCTCCTCTCTCAGTTGATACATGATCAGTTAATGTGGATCGAATTATTTGTGATCTCACATCTTTTTTAATGCTGTTTCTATTTCAATTTACAAATTTAAATATTCTGTGTAGTATTAGGTAATTTTTACACATTGGTTTTGGGGAGTTTGGATTTATTATTCGCCCCTGAAGCCAAATACATATTTTTGTAAGTTTGATCACCATTCAAATATTGAAATAAGACAAAATACAAAATTATGAGATGTTGTAGAAGCCAGGTTGTTACTTTTTCAACTAAACATTTTCTATAACTTATCTGGAAGACAGTTTTGTGATATTTTTTATGAAATGACTTCAAAACAAGATCGCGACAAACATTTCCGTCAGTAACACTGCTTGCAAAGTTATAATCGGCTAGGCTCGACATGATACCAACAATTTGACACTACCAAAAATAGACTATTTAGCACCGCTATATCTATACTTAAGAGCCTTCAATAAAGCTAAAAATGCAATTATTTAGGTAAAAACACCTTACTGCTGAAAATTCCACCCTATAAAAAGCATTTCATCGATGAGTAATTGTTGTGCCATATATTCCTCTTACCACCAACCCCTTATATAAAAATGTGTATAATCCTCTAATACTCCAAGTAATAATAATAATAATTTCATTCTGATTCGTTGTCTACAGTGGCGACATTTAGGAAGGGCGTCCGAGCCATCCAATTGGTTGGCCGAACAAGTACGTATTAATTTCACGATTTTGTTTTTATTTTTATTTTTTTCGAAAATTCCTATACCTTCGCATCAATAAGCGGAAGTATATTAATTTTTTTTTAAAAACCACCAAAAAACTTTGCTTACGAGAAAAAATACACCAAATTTATGTATATCACTTGTTTTTGGGCACTTCCGGGGTGTAAATATCAATTATTAGTTTGAAAGATTGAAGAAATAGGATGAAATTTCAAAAACAATATTTAAATGGCAAAAGTTTTGTATTTCAGTCTTTGTGTCAAAAATAATCAAAATTCTTAATGTGATTTTGTAATATACTACTGCACTTCTTTATATGTGGTGATTTTTGTTATTATAATCAGAATGAAAAACACAATTTTAAGTTATCTCAATGTGTTAGATGCAGAATGTGAAATTAAAATTGTTTATTCTAGGATGGTGTGTAGGGTATCTTGTTTTATTTATTTGTGTATGAAGGTATAGTTGGGCTAGCCTAGATTTTGTGTGGTCGTGAGTAATCGTGAAATGGTAAAAATAGTGATGATCTTTCTTCTGACAAATACTCTTGAGGATGTTCTCTATTAATAAATGTGACCTTAATACTATCAACAACAACCAACACATCAAAACAATCCCATTCATATTACGTTATAATTAATGGGTTCAATGAATATGAATCGCTCCATCAGTATGAAATCGCTCGACAGAATATCAATGAAGGTGAACTTTGATTTGTTTTATATTCACAACGGAAACTCAGACATATAGTTTACCGAAGAATCATCGAAATATCACAGGAGAACATCCTCAATTTACATTATATAGTTTTGTCTTGGTTTATGGATCACACAAGTATTCAAAAAGAAAAATCTCTTTTCTTAAATGACTTAAAAAAATATATAATGAAGTAGATAAACAAACTGTGATCCCATAAACAAACATAAACGACACGCAGGACAATTTTTTATTTAAAAATCTTCTACATTAAATTCACGCCCTTTGAAAACATTTAACAACCAAATGGAATTATCAATTATGTCGCCGGGTATAGGGATTTTATGTTTTACACCCACACCATGTGTGTTTTGTTTTAACTGTCAGCTATATTCTAACTGTAATCACTATTCACAAATTTCCCTGTTCCAATCTTATCACAGGTGAAGTGGATATCACTTTTCCGAGTAAGTCGAATAACACATTTCCTAACTTTGTTGGATATCGCCCACCATATAGCATGTCACATGAAAATTAAAAATTTCCTTCATTTATCCCTATTCCTACATAAGGTCCAATTTTGAGCACTATGTGACATTTTTTTTAACAACATTTTAACCTATTCCTCCACTATTTTCTGCATGACGTTAGATTAGGTAGGCTCCTCTCACACTATGTGCACTTTATAGTATTTGTATTTAAATATTAAGTATTTTTTATGTGAAAGGTGATATTATTTTATGAAAGCTTCAAATTTGAGCTAAATTGATAAAATAAAATTGCCAATTATTAGACGTGATGGTGCATGTTAAGTGCATCTTTCTGCATGATGTGAATTGTTTTTTTATTAAAAATTAATTAAATATTTTGCTGCATGTATTTTTATATTGAAATATTGATATTTATGTAGGTATATAGAATCTAGTTTAATTTTAAGGTAGAGTTAGTTACATTAATTGCAAATATTCTGACAATTTAGTACCTATCTAATATTTACCAAGTTCAGATTATTTTGGAATTAAAATATTAACTTTAGATTTATAGATGCGTTCTTATTTTAGGTAAATTCAATATTTGCCCAGTTAAACTGGATAGATTTCACCAATTATTATATTCAGTGTACATCTGTAAGCAAATCTCTAACTTTCTATAGACACTGCAAATTATCTATAAGCTTATAGAAAGTTATGGATTGCTCACAGATGTGCACAGAATTGACCCGTTAAAGTTCCTTAAGTATAAGATGTTATGATTCATCTAGGATCTTTGTTCAGTTTTCAAAATTAAAAATATTAGATTAGTTTACCTAAACTAAAGACGTAAGTAATAGAAGTTTAGGGGTAGGCAATAACTAGTTGAATGCGAGAACGATTTATGGTTTACAGATGACCACCATCCTCCCCCTACTTTCACACCACCAGAGTTGCCCAAGAAGGTTCATGTCAGAGGTATACTTCTTCAAAAAATCATTTTAGATGATAAACCACGCTAAGAATAGTAATTGTTTGTTTGCTTGACCAAAATTCACCTTTACTCCAAAAACAAAAATTGACGTTTAGTATCAGGACAGGAAATTATTTTTTTTGATTATGAAAAAGAGTTTCAATAAGAGAGATTTAAAGCCTTGTACTTGAGCAAATGAGTCAACTTTTTTATTAGTTACATCTATGTTTATGAACATTGCTAGCGCAATCTCCTATTGTTGTCAATGGATTAAAATTACTTTCACTTATGCTGGCTTGAAATCTCTCTTTACGTTTTTTTTTCTTTTGGTCCATGATTTGGAAAAATTGCTAAACGTCAGCCAAAAAAAATCACTAAACCTAGTAATATGCAAAAATTAATTTTATTTTTGTTTCGCACAATCCATTCATTCATCATCAACTTTTTTTTAGAATGTGTTTTGTCGTTTTATTTAAATTTTGTATCATAACACCAAAACCAGACTTATTGCTTCTTGACAAACTCTGTTATCATTTTTATCCTTAAGCCTCGTACATACTTGAGCACGAATTTGAATCAGGTAGTGTTTCGTGATGCTGCCGAATAACAGTCGTGCTGAGGTGGGTAGGAGGCTTTAGATTGATCCTTTTTTCTTTAAACCCATTGTTAAGGCAACTTCTTCCCACTGCGCGTAAATCGGCGAGGAGTATGATGACGTATAACATGCCTAACCAATGGAAATGTCGGTAAATCTGGCACGATCCAAATAGCCAGAGAAAAATAAGGTTTCATCTCAAAAAAAAAAACTGAAACCGTGAAAATCTCTGGATAATTTCAAAATTTGGTCCTTTATCGAATTTTCAGGGTTTTTTGCTTGCCCTATCTAAAATCTAAACATTTAAAGTTTCGGAAATCTTCATGTAGAGCCTACATCTTCTCAGGATTCGTTCAAGGATTTTCGAATTTTCCGATGTTTAAACTTTGTACGGGTTTAGCAAAAATGCCATTTTTCATTCTTCCCAAACATTGAACTATGGAAAGAGCCCAACCAGTGATTTCCAGGAACGACTACATTATTTTATTTGAAGTTGTAGTGTAGCTTTAGTAAAATTCTATGCCAAAGAAAAAGTGTAGCTCAAGAATCCAGCGAACTCATGAAATTGATTGCTATTTAATCAGGCAGTCATACATAACTGAAATATCATTGCCAAGCCAAGCCGAGTTTAGTCTCCCGACGTGGAAAATGATAAATTAAATTGCGCGAAATTGGGCCAGCCAAAACGTGTAGTAATAGAACGATTAGATGCTACCTGACCCTGATAAATCATCCGAAAAGTTCCGCCTTTGCATTCAAAACGATAAGCTACCTATTTATGGATAAGTCCCAGTAATTATCCTCAACCCAAAAATTTTATTTATAATTTCAAAATTTTTAATTCAGGCCACAACAACAAAACTAAATTCTAGTAGTCAACTTTCACAACCTACTTTGTCAATACACAAATTTGCATGGGCTGAAGACAATTAATTGTACGATAGGAAAAGATTGATTTTGGAAAATACAAAATGCCACTTGATGATTGATTAATCATCGTGAACTGAGAGAAGATGTTTGCAGAAGAGTAATTGAGAGTACCTACGCCTTATTCATTCGTATCCATGTTTTTCCATCTTGTGAGAAGGCTTCCTTTATTTTTAATAGAACATTTTGTCCACTGCACCACTCTCGGACTTGAGACAAATAAAGAGTTCGCGAAGGTATGTCTTTTTGAGAAGTACTTCAGAGTACCAATGTCACTCATTTCTGGTTCTACGACCTAATTTTATTCCTATACCTTTTGGTTGGCTGAGCCACTAAACTCGCCCAATCCCGCACCGTGGGAAGTAGTTTTGGCTTGATCCACATTACAACTCATAATAATTTTGTGAACAAAAAAAAAAAAACATCATCATTTCAAATCTCAAATGTGGATATTCTAAAAACGTTACCTTCCAATTAAATTCATAGGTTAGTAGAATTAGTTTGTAGTTAAATGTTTAGGTTTAGCAAATATTAATAATTACAAATTCTGGGTTTAGGTATTACATAATTATATTCAATTTCTGAAGATACTTTTATGTAAATTATTTTCTGTTTTCAGGTGACATGAACCGTCATGATGAATTACTTAGTAAGTTTTTGTTGTAAATAATTTCCTCAATGTTTAGTTGAAATTTTTAGTAGATTGTAGTACATGTCTTCCTTTATCATTACACACACACATGCACATGACGTACAAAAGGGTATTTTTAACTATTAATGAACTTCACAGGGAAAAAATATTTTTGGTAGATGTAGTAACACAAAATAAACACCAAATAACAATATAGCATGCAATAATAAATTTGTTTTTTTTTTCTCGGTTTATAATTCCCTATAAATAATATAAAATGTCTATCGTAGACTGTGAAATTTTAAATATTAAAGGAACAATAATTTTTAGTTATAGGTTTAGTGCAAACAAAAACGTCCAAAATGTATAGTTTTAAATAGAGTAGGGTACCTATAGTATTAAGTAGGATTCTTAAGGTTTCAAGCTTCTGGTAGCTATATGACCAATCCAACATTACTGTTTAAGTTAAAATTTGTAAACGAGTGAAAGTAACTTAGTTTTTTAGCCTAAACATTAACTTGATTACTTTATGATCAAATCATATACTAAAATGGTAATTCCTTGTCCTAATATTTTGTTGAAATGATTAACACATAAATAACTCAATAAAATAAAAATTTTATCAAATAAAATATAAATATTTTAGTGGCACAAAGAAACCAAAATCACCGGAACAGTACGTTGCCCAACGTAAATGTAAATATGGTCAATTCAACGAAGCAAGTGAACAAAGTGAAACCTAACATCACTAGAAATGCAACAGAAAATTTAGTCTCTCCTACTTATAATTCTCGGTAAGTGAAGCTACACATTATAGCGTACTTTTTTCAATATAATTTTGAGTTTTGTCCTGATTGTCCTCAGCATATTAAAAAGTATAGGAACTTTGGGTATTGCCGCTCATCAATTAGTTCTAAAAGAAGCTGACTAGATAGATAAATGTAAAGCCCACGAAATTAATAACTGTAAAGTTTGACGAATGAAATATATACTTCTATAAGTATATTTTGTATGTAAAACGATAAATAAACTATGCCTAATCTTGAAGGCAATTAGGTACCTGGGCTTGAATTTGTCCAGGAACAGATAGTCCGCAGTACATCGCCCCTTTTTCTTCGTTTTAATTTAACGTAAGCTACAAATTTTCATCTATTAAACTTTTTGGAAATGGACCGTTTGCATTCTGGAAAGTGTTAAACGTGTAGCAAAACGCCCCAAGTACTCTATTTAATTAGTTAGATGGTAAATGGCGAGCGGTATATTGATGGTGTTTATTTCCTTGAGCTGCTACCTGTAAAATTGTGGAGGGGTCTATTCGCAAAAGAGAGAAACAAACTATTGGGGTTTACTAAATTATATTTTATTATACTTAAGACCAAAAGTTTAAATAAGCAAAATATCTTTCTATTCTGACAGCCACTTCTATTTTTCCCAAGTCAAATTATTTCACATCCGTTCAAATGTCATTATTAGGGACCAGGAAATATCCATACACAAAAAAAAAAACGCCCTACTATTACTATTCTTAATAACTTATAAGTTTATACATTTCAACACTTCCGATTCACATTCCTATTAAACTACCCTTCACCTATATCTATAAATTCTTAAAAATTCCTAAGTCCTTCACTGACTGCTTATGCAAAATAATTATTTAAGTCATAATCCGACTCACTGGATGAAGTATATAGGTATTACTAACTATATCCTTATGAAAACCTTACAATAATTTCTACATGAAAAATAAAAACCCTAATTCAAAATTTCAGCACTTAAGGTTATCAATGTTTCTTCATGAAAAACAATTTTCAAATAAAGCTTTCCAATACTTCTCATGATTAACATCAGCAATTTTATTTCATGAAGAACAACAGTTTTTTAAACTAACCTTTTCATTACTTCTAATGATTAACGCAACAATCTTATTTCATGAACAAGTTTCCTTTCGAAACTTCCCATTTTATTTAAAGGTTTATTTATTCAGAACAATTACTATTTTCGGATTCCTAGCCAATAAACACAAATGTTTAATTAATAATTCCTACTCCAAATCGTATACAGTAACGGGCAGGCTACTAGGTATATAGGATCCAACTTGACGAATTTACCACCGTCCGCAGCCGTTTGAACCCCTGTCACTGTCGTTAGTTCAACAACTTTGACGTTTGTTTACTTCAGTACGATTTAGATACAGACTTAAGCACGGTTCAGCTTACTGATCAAAACGTTTTGTCTGCAACGTGTTTAACCTTAGAGCAGGTAATTTCTTAGGTGGGAGGAGTAGGAACATAAAGTTGGAATTTGAAGCCGTATTTTTCCAGGTATTTTGAGATCCAAAATAATGGCGGTATAGGCAATTCAATGCTTTACCTGTCATTTGGTGTACACACACCTGCTAAAAACTGGCTTCACTTTAGTCTCATAGCAGAATGGCGCGTTCCTACTCCTTATGTCCGTAGGACAGCGCTTTACCTGCTCTAAGTGTTTAACTGTATGCAGACAAAACGTTGTGCAAAACGTAGCGTCTGCGCCATGCTTTCAGATATTTTGTCAAGCTTTATTTATTTATAATTATTAAGTTTACGCGTGCAGATAGCTAAGCGTTGGTTATCAATGTAGACACTAGACACTTTAAGCAAACCCTAAATATTCCTACGTATCCGTATCCGCTTCTGTGAACGCATCGACTTACGTTGACCGCCTAAAAGTCCTTTCATGGTCATACATTACGTAAACGATCGTATGATGACACGTTTTCTAACCACAAAAAGTTTTGTTTTGATTTTGTAGCTGTGTTTGTAGGTTTTATTTTTATCCATAAGTACTGTGTTTATGTTCTTGAAGTTATTTTAGTAATAACTGACAGGTAGATCCCTCAATAGTGTCAAATGATTGAGATACGTTTTCGGGTACAGATACGAGGCTAGGCCCGTAACGATACGGACAACGTAACGCAACGAGACCACCATATTTACTATCTATCCTGCGTTAGATACCTACGTTTGAAATTCAGGACCTGCTTAAAGTGTCTACTTGCTTATCCTGAATTTTTATATGTATCCGTCTCCGCATCGATCTGCGCACGCGCAGAATAGATACGGTGGTTTCGTAGTCCGCATAGTTACGGGCCTAGTCTCGTATCCGAAAACGTATCTCAGCCATTGTGTCTTTAGCCTTAGTTTTTTGAGTGACAAGTCTTTTCACGTTTTGTTTTTACCTGGTTGTCATGAGTTAAGGGTCATTGACATCCACTTAACTTAACTTAAGGTACGGAAAATTATAACTAACGTACGAAACTGAGAAGGTGTCTGTTAACAATGAAGTAAATTATCTTACATGACGTATGCGCACTTATAACCTGAACTGTCAAGTCAAATTATATGCACAGAAATGGAAATTATTATTTATTGCACGGATTTTCTTAAGTTGGTTCAACTTTTCGTGTGTCACGTTGATTTTCTTAATTTTTAAGTGGATGTAACAACTATGTGATCTTCAAATTTTTTTTATTATTAATTTTCCGTACGTCAAGTTAAGTTAAGTGGATGTAAATGACCCTTTAGCACTAAATATATTTGACATTTTGCCTGCAAATTCGTCAAGTTATATCCTATATACCTAGTAGCCTGCCCCTCACTGTATTGTTAAGAGCATTATAACTTCCCTCCATATTTGCAAAATTAAATTAAAATGTCATTCTACTCGAAGCAATTAAAGTTATGCAATAAAGTTATTACAGTCAAAATCACTCAAGTTTTTATGCATTAAACTTCAAATTCTAATCACACAAAGTCATGTTCATCATTTATAGTCAAAATAAAACTTGTCACTAGAGTATGTACTTACATTCGTCTTTAAAACACAAAACTAATTTAATTTAATTATTTTAATTACTTAGAGCTCGCACATAACGTCGAATGAATTTAAATGTTCTTTCTTTCTCCATTTTCCGTTACTTTTCAAAGTTCAATCAAACGCGTTTTCCCCCGAGGCAATAAAAGAATCTTTTCGCGAATTTTACCCGGACTGACACATTAGGTACTGTAGACTTTAACTCAAACTAAACTGACTGCTCAACTGATGTAACCGCTGTATTTATATTATTCGATCCCCCCAAAATTTTTTTGTCCATCAATCATTAAGAGGATGATGCAATCTCTTCGAAATTTTTGTCATTTCTTTGTTTAAAACCGAATAATTATGTCGCAATTTCCTGGTTTATCGGGGTCAACAGATTTCGTATAAGAATGTCACATATAACTCAAAGAAGACCGACAAACACGTGCGGGCCATAAATCACCTATTTAATTATTTTGGCCTCGCTTTTAATATTTTTAAAAATTTTAGATGATGACACAGGCAGACACAGACGAAATAATATAATTTTGAACGTATTTGGAGTCAACGTTAATTTGTTTCATTTTCAATTTATTGATACTGATTTGAAATACAGGAAATTCAGTTTTTGATTATTTGATTACATTTAATTTTTACAGTAAAGACATTGTAATTATCGGGTCTATTTTTCCCGGGTCATTACAAACGTGTCAATTTAATGAGGTATTGGATAGGTATGAACAAACATTTACTTTCCACTTGAATCGAGAGATATTTTTTTATAAAATTTGGATCAAATGGTTATACTGGCCTACAATTTTCAAGACCTACATTTTTACATGTTTAAGGCGTAGGTCTGGAAAAACTGCCCTTGAAAATTGTAGGCCAGTATGATACACTAAAATATAGGAAAATTTAATGGAACCAGCGACAGACGCCTTATTATTTCTATATAATAATAACTGTTGAGTAAGAATGTCCAATTAAGAACTTAAATGTAATTCAACTTACTAATAAAACAAGGAAAAATTCTGAAAAATCAGAGCAATCGTGATATCAGGGCAACATAAAATACCTACATATTCAAAGGGTTGGAGCGGCAATACCAACTTCACGGTAATAATTGTAACAATACTATAATCAATGTATTGCTATGGAAATAAGGAACATGTAACATTCTTGATTTTTATAGCATAGGTACCATCGTATGCGTTTTCAAAATGTTGGTTATAAATTGCTGAATATTATATTTAGCATCCAGTCAAAAACATTTTTCAAATTAGTTTTAATGGACGATAAACACTAGAAAACATTTTTGTTTTTTGTTTTTTTTAGAACATGTATATGTTCATATTTTTTCCTTGCAGGACCAACGCTCATTACAAACCTCTAATCCTACAAGCTACGGCTTTACAGAATCACGCAAATACTTTGTCAACGTCGTGAGTTTGAATTTTTGAAAATCTTTTTTTGGTTTTACCCCTTGATTCCCTATTTATAAAATATCAAATGTTTTTGACTGTGATAATTTTATCTACTTGATATATTTGCTTTTTTCTTTAAAAAAAAAATATGTGGTGTGCTATCAGCAGTGTGCTATTTTCAGCCCGCCGGATCCATCAGAAACTACGACTTATGCCGGCTATCATCTTGCCTATGAAGTCAAAAAACTCATGTACGCTTTAGCCAGTATTAACCACTTCTTTTATTTATTGCAGCTTGAGTAGTTAGATGTTTTTATTAAGTAGGTAGTAACTAGCAATATGGAATAAAAAATATATAATCAAACTATTTTTTCTTCCATAAATAGTACGTAGTTGTAGTGTTTGTACTTTTTATGATAATTTGCAAATGTTCTTTTTTTTTGCGGCACAAATAACTTTTGCATTTTTCCAACGCAGCTTTTGTGCATTCTTTTGGATACTTTGCACTATCTAATATTTAGAATATACTCGATGGCAGGTAAGTGACACCATGGAAATATATCTGTGAAACATTTAGGTACCTACCTACCTGTCTGTAAAAGAGTAATGGTTACTGATAGGTTTCATAGGGAAGCCAAATGTCTAATCATACTTTTTGTTTCCTATGAATTTTTGCACAAAATTGTTTATTTTTTATTATTAATTTAAAAGCTTCAAATAGGACCACTAAGACACTTTAGTAGGCGTCTCATGTGTGACTAAAGTAAAACAATTCAATGCGAGAAAGAACCAGAGGCTGTATTTTGACTCCCAAATGGATCTCATTCTAGAGCACTTACCAGTACCCAATGTACTTTAAAAAGCGGAAACCCAAAGGACACATTTATTTATTCATTTATTTGATATTGACGGACAAATGTCCAGTAGGTACCCTCTCATCCCCTAAATTAAAATAATCGTTACATCGATTATTCTAAAGTTACTAGAAGAGACATCAATTTAACTTAAAAGAGTGTACACTAATGTAACTTGAGGAAGATATCAATACCAATAATGTTTCTTCAGTACCTACCTTCACCGAGAATTAATATAAGAAATTATTATTTCAAGCTTGAACTATTGCATAAAAATTATTGTTGTTTTTTTGCACAAGTAGCTTCTTTTTGTGTTGTTTGCTAGCTGCTGATAGGTCAGCCACATTTTTCACTTTTAACTTTGATTAGCCATATAAATCATGGGCATGTAGAATATAATCAATTAGTCAACAAATCTAATAATATTGGTGTTGAAATGATAATGATGTCCACTCGTGCATGCAAATGGGTTTATGATATTAATTTGAATTAGTTCTATATTGCCAATAAATGGCATTGCATTGCATTTAGGATATGCTACATAGTTTACTGTTTTAGAATTAATTTTAGTGCCAATCCAAGCCAGAGTTTATTTTGTCTTTTAAGGATATTCTTCCTGTATACCTATGCATTCCTAATAATTGTCCACAGTGATAAAAGACGCTTTAAGTTAACAATTTTGTTGTGAATTCTGGAAATGGAGAGTAATAACGACAAAGTCACATTTAAAACTCCAAGTTGCACTTTTTGAAATATTAAACATAATTTTTGTTCCTCTACATTTCCAACTTGGGTTCATTCAAATTCAATCTATATTTAAATTGTACGTACAGTTCATGGAAGAATATTCTTAATTTGACTCAGGCTGCTGAACAAAGTCAAAAATAAATTTAATTTTTTAGGCCTACGAATAGAAGTAGTGGTGGTACCAACCAGAATAACAACGGTGTAGGTTTACCTGTAGGCTTGGCCGATGATCAAGCCAAAGATTTCGACTTTGAAAAGACTGAAATGAAATACGATAGCACGGGGATGTTCCATTGGGGTCCAGCTAGAAATTTAGAAGAGTGTATTTTGGTAGGAACTATTATGGACTTTTTTGCAAATATTATTTGGATTTTGCTTATAGGACCGCAACCAAGCGGCTATGACTGTCCTGAATGGTCACGTAGTTGTTTGCCTGTTTGCCGATCCAGATTCACCCCTCATAGGACTCAGGAATTTGGTTATGCCTCTGAGAGCCAGCAACTTTCACTATCACGAGCTAAAGCATGTGGTTATTGTCGGATCTGTTGATTATATCCGTAGAGAGTGGAAGATGTTACAGAACTTACCAAAAATTTCTGTTCTAAATGTAAGAATTAGGAATTACCTATTTAGGGCAAATATGTTTCAATTTCCCACTTACAGGGTTCTCCTTTGAGCAGAGCTGATCTCCGTGCTGTGAACGTAAACTTATGTGATATGTGCTGCATTCTATCAGCCAAAGTGCCAAGCAACGACGACCCCACGTTAGCTGATAAGGAGGCCATCCTGGCCTCGCTTAATATTAAAGCCATGACTTTTGACGATACGATAGGTGTTCTCAGTCAGAATACCGAAAATACTGAAAATGGTACGCCAGTTGGTAGTCCTATCATTTTGCAAAGACGCGGGAGTGTTTATGGAGCCAACGTACCCATGATTACAGGTAATTTATTGTAGTTTTTGGTGGTCATGAAAATTGAAAATGTATTAGCTGTATAAGAATTATATATAGTGTCGAAGACAGTCCACTAGCCCATGAGATCATTTGCCCCGCGGTGTATCAAAAATTATTAATAATTCCAAAATTCAAATAAAGTAATAAACATTGGTTTTATGAAATATCAGTAATCCTGATGACTGTCAAGTCTGTGTAGATATTGTGATATCGGTTAACAAGGGAAACCTTGTCCTTTCCCTGCCTGGTAGTCCAAACACCCCCTCTTCCATATTTCACTGTATCTCAGCAAGGTAGCGAATCTGCCAAGACACACTTTAATTAACACAGAACCACAGAGAGGCCCTCCAGTCTTCCAACAAAAGTAGCAATAAGCAATATCAAGTCAGACAAGTATATGATGATAAGAATTACCAGAGATCAGGCTAACAACAGGACGAAGGACAACGACGTACAATATCGTAGAGAAGAAAAAACGATTGCCTTTTGTAGAGTAGAGTTCTTCATGCCAGAAACATTGCTGATGTCAAAAGCAAAAGGAAAAAGTGATTGTACTGGATGGAATAACTCAGAAATTTTTCAAAAACATGTCCCTTCTTCAGCCACTGAGGATTAATGAGGAAAGCAAAATGAAAATCATGGGTAATTTTAACGGCAAAGTACGTCGGGGCAGGTAGCACACATTGGAAGCAAGATCTTTAGGATGCACCTCTGCTTGTGCTGCTTTGTCCTGCTTCAAAACGCAACCCAGCAACACCCACCGTTTCCGAAACATATCGATTTCCATTTTGGTTGGGTAACTTCATCCTTGGCAACACATTGGGAGAAGGATCGCTGAAACAGGTTCCTGCTTGTGCTGCTATGATCCAGCCTTATCCTGCTTCATCTTGAGATACACACTGGTAGCATTACAAAAGTCTAGTCGTAGCAATATGGCGAGCTCGAGACACCGTTGCCAAATGTATCGTAATGTAGTGACTACAGAAATTTTAATCAAAAATAACAAGAACTTACCAAACAACCATCCCAGGAGAGATCATCACTTAGACAGCACAACCAGAAACTTCAATTAAAATTTACCTGAACATCGATATCCAGAAATTATTGAAAGCCGATACCCTATATTGACTAATACATTGGAATGTGAATAGAGCAAGAGTTCATGGACCTTTCAACAATTAACATTCCAAAGGAGCCGAAAAATGATGATACCCACTTAACAAACCACTTATCGACGCCCATGATAATTAATTAAAAGGGGACCAAATACACTAATTGATCGGATGATTCAACCACAAAAATCGAGGTCAGAAAAAATAAAGAAATTCTAGACAATGGAGGGACCAATGATATAATAAGGCAACTTTGGCAGGAGAAAATTAGTGTTCGAGAAAACAGTGTTCGAGAAAGAGCGCGTAAACGGGCAGAACTACGGCGTGAAAGACCAGTGTCGGTTGAGTAATCAAGAAACCATTAGTAATCGAGAATCGAGAGACCTGTGTCCAGAAAGTCAAAACTACGGCGTGAAAGAGTTGTCGAATTAACCGAGAGAAGAAGCACGACGTGAAATAATAGCGCGAAAATATTCGAGTTTTTATTAATTGTTCATAATTAAAGTATCATATAAATTTTCCTTAACAGTTAATTGATGCTTATTACAGATTGAATACTTTTATTGTAAGATTATTTATTACCGACGCCTGTTATTTAATAACAAGCATTATTTATTTTAATAAAATAAACTTTATTTTAATTGACCACAATATTTCTGTGTTTTACTCTCCACCCGCAAATAGGACCCACTTTAAACTGTGTCTCCACTCAGAAACTAAAGTCACCGCTCGCCAATCTAACATCTTGCCAAGTTTCTGAATTTGGGGTCTCACAGTAATGAATGCTTGTGTCTGTATGTTGGATTTTCGACGAGAAGATCTAATCCAAACTAACTCGAACTAACCGGTACTTTTGTAATGAATGCTAGTCTTTGTATGTTGGTATTTTAGACGATAAGGGCTAATCCAAGCTAACCCGTCCTTATACTAAGTGCTAGTTTTTTTTATGTTAATATTTGAGACGAAAAGAGCTATTCCAAAGTAACCCGTCCTCATACTAAATGCTAGTCTTTGTATGTTGGTATTTTAGACGAAAAGAGCTATTCCAAACTAACCCGTCCTCGTAATGAATGCTATTCTTTGTATGTTGGTAATTTACATGAAAAGAGCTGATCCAAAACTAACCCGCCCTCCTAATAATCTTTAAGAAAAAAATAAAAATAGAAACCCTACGGAAGCGCAGAGAGGCTGCCTATCTCAGGAGGGGTTAGTCAATTCAATCCTTGGATTAGCTCTTTTCATCTAAAATACCAAGATACAGAGGCTCGCATTCATTACAGAGAGACGGGTTAGTTTGGATTAGCTCTTTTCGTCTAAAATACCAATATACAGAGACAAGCACTCATTAAGATATATTTGGAAACGGTATCTCGAGCTCTACCTATTCCTACGACTAGACTCTTGAAATGCTACCAGTGTGTATCTCAAAAATATTAGGTGTTGCTGGGGTGAAAATTGAAGCAGAATGAGGCAGGATAATAGCAGTGAACAGCAACACAAGCAGGAACATGTTTGAGCGATCCTGCTTCGAATGTGTTCCCAAGCCAAAGGTGAAGTTACGAACTATAATGAAAATCCCTGTATCTCGAAAATAGTACGTGTTGCCAAAGTGTGATTTAAAGCAGGATGAGGCAGGACCATTACAACACAAGAAGGAAAATTATTTAGCAATCCTGCTTCTAGTGTGTTGCCAAGGGTGAAGACGGTGAAGTTAGCAACCAAAATAAAAATCGCTGTATCTCGAATATAGTAAGTTTTGCCGAAGTCAGATTTGAAGCAGGATGAGGCAGGACCATAGCAGGACAAGCAGGAACATGTTTTAGCGATCCTGTTTTGAATGTGTTGCTAACTTCCCCGACATCGGCAAAGATGACTTTGAAACAGTGATGGGCATATAATAATGATAAAAGATCCTTGATTGAATTCCCACGATCTGGAAAACAAGAAATCAGCAGGAGAAGATGGAGGGACAGCTGAAAAGACGGCTTCCCATCCACATTAAAGAAACCATTCAACCTATATGCGGAGCTTTATTTCTACTTTTCTAAAAAGGGATTTAAACTATCAGTCTCAGACTATTGCTACTGAAATAGATAATTTTCCTCATTTCATCTGTGATAAATATCGATGACTGATTTCTTCTTCTTTTTCAGAATTAGTAAATGATAGTAACGTTCAGTTTCTTGATCAAGACGACGACGATGATCCTGATACTGAATTGTATCTGACACAACCTTTCGCTTGCGGTACTGCCTTTGCTGTTAGTGTACTAGACTCTCTAATGTCGACGGTAAGTTAGACATGTATATATACTTTACCCCTACTTGAAAGTAGGGAAAGGAGAATTTTGATCTCCAAAAATCTATTTGGATTTGATGATTTAAATTTGTATCGTTACAGACATATTTCAACCAAAATGCCTTAACACTTATACGTTCACTAATAACGGGAGGTGCAACACCAGAACTCGAACTAATTCTGGCAGAAGGAGCAGGCCTAAGAGGCGGTTACAGGTGAAGACTTTTCTATACCTACATTTTATTCCCAAAAAAAATCGATAAGTACAAATAAACTCTTGTTTCTTTAGCACTCCTGAAAGTTTATCCAACAGAGATAGATGTCGTGTAGGGCAAATATCTTTGTACGACGGGCCTCTAGCTCAATTCGGAGAAACAGGGAAATATGGTGACTTGTTTGTCGCCGCACTGAAACAATTCGGTATGCTTTGCATAGGATTGTACCGATTCAGAGATACCAGTTCATCTTGCGACGCCAGCAGCAAAAGATACGTCATCACTAATCCACCTGATGATTTTCAATTATTGCCCACTGATCAAGTAAAAAATTTTACATGTACTTTATTAAAATTAATGGAAATTAATTTTAGGTATTTGTCTTGATGCAATTTGATCCAGGTTTAGAATATAAACAAGTTAGGGGTGGTCGACAGGGTACGGGACAGGGAAGCGGAACAGGCGGAGGCGGAACGAACAAAGACGAAAATTCTTGACTATTGTTGTGTAGCGCCCTCACTGACGGACCATATTCATATATTTAAGATTTGGTTCGACATAAGTAATAAAAAAGAGTTCCCACCATTCCAATGCGTTTTCCATTAAGTATACTTTTTAAGTCATTATTTTACAGACTTTAAATGCACTTTTTTTTAAATTTTGTTTTAGTTATAATAATACATGTTTTATTTGTTTCGTATTATAGCTTCTTTGTTTAGTTTTGTGGGTAACTAACTGACTAACTCAACGCTGAAGGCGCTACACTAACAATAAAATAAGGATTTTTATGTAAGACAAAAATTATATGCGATTGCGGTGACACTTATACAACGGGATTGAGATTAAATAGTTGTATAGGTGTTGAGTAGGTAGGTAATTAATATAAATTGTTTTAAACATTGCCTGCTTGAGTTTGGATTTTATAGATTTTGTTTCAAGATATTTTTCTAAGCCAGTTTCAATTTTATCATAGTCTATGTCTACAGTGTCTCAAAAGTTGGGAACTTTTGATTTTCATAAAAATAGATTTACCTATTTTTTTCAAATTGGAAAAATCATCAATTTGACTTTTTCTGAATTTTTAACATTCATCTCCAAACTGTATAAGGTACCTATCTGCAATGTTTTAACCAATTTCAACAGTCAAGCATACTAATTTGAATATGACTTTTTAAACAATTCCATGTTTTATATATTCCAGTGTTTAAATTGTAAGAAAATATAATACATGTAATATTTTGTAAATTGCTACCCTGGTGCCATTCGCAATTAAAATAAGTATACATTATATAGAACAAACGGATTTTAAAAATGTTAATTTTTTTATCAGAATGTAAATTATGTAAATAGAATTTATATATTTAATAAAGGCAACATGAAGAAGTCTAATCGGAAAAAGAGTGGATTATATCTAATTACAGTATTACAGTCAGTACATGACATGGAAAATTGAATGTTCGAGTAGCTAAAAAAAAATGATAATTTACCTATATCACGAAATAAATGTCGATACTAGATTTGTCTGAAAAAAAATTAGCAAAAATGTTAGTAGTTTTCGCTATTGTGTCACATAAACAGCAAATTGCCAATTTCACAAATATGTATTATTATTTTTTACTTGATAAACATTCTATAAGCATACAGGGTGATTTTACATAGTGGTAATGCAATGAATTTTAAATACAAAGGCATAAGCATATAACACTTTATTATGTGTGAAAAAATTATACAGGATGATCATTTGCTAAGACCTATCAAATTTTGTTTTGAGGAGAACAGTTTTCGTGAACAGCACATCAGCTTCAAATTCTTCTGTGTTATAGATTAATTTAAATATAAACAAACTGTTAATTAGAAAACGCCGAAAAATTTCTAAATTTGTTTCATGACATGCAACAATTTTCCATTTTTGTTTTTGTGGATTTTCTATAATTTGAGAAATATTCTCGCTAAATACCGCTGCACTTGTGGTATTATCCCATAAAATGTTGTAGAAACACAGTGTCAGATTTAAGATTTAATATTTTCCAATAAAATTTAAAAAAAAAAATATTCTTACACATCTTACCCCTATACAGTGTGATTTTTTAAGTGTGCAACATATGGGGATTTTTTTTAGTAATAGCACAACCCAAATACAAACAAGGTCAAAAGTTGGTGCATGTCTGATAATCATATTAGGTGCACTTAGAATGGTTGCAAGTCAAACAGCATACAGGGTAGCTCAAACAATAGCAAAGCTGTACCGTAAAGTACCCTTATTTTAGAAAATTCAGCAAAATGTTATAGAGAAAAGTCGTTTGGAATTAAAAGTTATGCCTAAATACCAAAACATAGCCTCCTAAGATTTTTTTTTATTTTCTTTCGAAAAAAATCTATAATTTCTATATTTTTTTTATTTTTCATTTCCGCCCTTAATACTTTCAAAAATTAATTGAAATCAAATCAATTTTACATAACTTTGTTCAAATTCAAGCATATTTGTAAAATTAACTTGGATTTTTAATTTTATATGGAATCACGAAATTCATGTTTGTTGCAATAATGATATTCAACATAACTTTAAAATGTCGCAATTTTTTCTTTAACAAGTTAAAACATTACTAATGATAATAGCCATATTAAAAAAACTCTCCTTAAAGTGCAAAAGTTTTATTTTATTTAAGTAAATATTAGTAGAATTTTGATATTTTTTGAGCCACCCTATATGCTGTTTGACTTGCAACCATTCTAAGTGCACCTAATATGATTATCAGACATGCACCAACTTTTGGCGTTGTTTGTATTTTGATTGTGCTATTACTAAAAAAAAAATCCCATATGTTGCACACTTAAGTAATGACACTGTACAATAAACAACCCTGTATTTCGTCTAAAAACATTCATATTGTCCATTTTAAGTACATGTAAGTTACTTTTGGCTGGAATAATAATTAAGCCCACAGAAAACTTTAATCAATTATAAAAAAGTGCTTCTGTTCTAGTAGCACTTAAAGTTGGTGTTTTTGAAATTTGTGCACTGTTTTTTGGTATCTGTGGGCGTTGTTTAATTAGTAGAAACGCTTCATGTGAGCATAAACATAGTTTATCAGACTGTTTGCAAATTACATGGTAGAACACACTCGATATTAAAAAGCTTTTCAATAAAAACTAATTCTTGTAAAAGTATAAAAACTGCTAAAAGTTTGTAAGATATGTAAAGCTGCAAAATCATTAATTTAAAATTGAATTGTGATATTGTAAATAAAAATATGATGTTTGTTAGGTTTTTAATTATTGTACATAGAATTTATGTATTATAGAAACTTATTTATTAGCAATATTGACTGTGAAAACAAAATTGTTATATCTACACCAAAATTCTTTTTATATATTGTGCATTTTAAGCAACTTCATTGAAATGTATTAATCACCTCAGCAGATGAAAAGGTAGCAATACATAATATAGCGAATCTGATTTAAATATTAAGTTTGTTAAAGTTTGTGATTGTTTCCGCATAGTTTTTGTTATGTTTTCAAAAGTTTGTTTCGGATATTTTAAGTTTGAACTTGCAACTCCTCACGAGGCAATTGATTATTAATGGTTATTCCAAATTCACCTAAAATACGTTTTTGTAGTTGTATTGTTGATTCAATTTTATAAAGGTTATAATAATTTTGAAAATGATGTTTTATTTGTTCTGTTTCTTTTTAGAGGGTTGATTTTGCCGCAGAACTTTATTAAGCTTCATTCTATTGCTACAGGGTAATCCAATTTGGACACTTTTGATAGAAAACGTCAATTCCTGAGCGAAATTTACGAGACGAGAGAAATCCTCAGATCGGATACAAATATGCGTGAATCGATCAAACCAAGAGAACGATTGGCCCTATCGCTGTACATTCTTGATTTTATTTGTCATAACTCCAGATACCCTGCAAAAAACTTATTAAAGCAAATGTATCTTCTTTTGATCACACACGTTTAGAGCAGTTTTAAGACAAATTTAGATTAGATGGTTTTTAGAGTAACTCAGAATTTTAGATGTTTTTGAAATGGTTTCAGACCTCTTTGAATCCAAACGATTCTTCCTAATATTGTCCCAGCTTTTTCATAAATAAATATTCTTTTCAAAGAAGCCTATTTATACAGCCGAAAACTAAAATCCATCCCTTCCCCTAGAGTTGAGTTGAAAGTAAACAACTCGAATTTGCAAGTTGGGACTAAGAAAATCTTAATGTTTAAAGCGGGAGAATTCACACAATTAATGGGTTTTCTAAATTGAATTTTTTAATTTATAGGCAATTTCCTTGGCAATTTTCTAATATTATGTGAATGTATGATAGAAAAATCATTGTTTTTCTATTACAGGCTTTTGAGTCTTCTCTAGGGATTCAAAATGGTATTTAGCTGAAATCGCTAGCGTTTACGGTATGTGAGAAAATCGAGTTTGAAGTTTTAGACAAAATGTCGACTAAATTTCAACTTTCAAGCTCAAGATCTTGGAAACCCCGAAAGTTACAAAAACCAATTTTACACAGCCTTATAGAGAATTTAATGCTCTTTCCAATAATATGTAGTTATTATTAATTTGCCTAAAAATAATCGAAGATATAAGCAATTATTCATGAGCATGTCAAGATTTCAAAAAATGTCCAGAGCGAAAAATGGGATTTTCTTTTGGGTTTTTTCTCTTATAATATTGAAATTTCCAAATGTAATTGACGTTAGAGTTGTTTCTGACTAATTTGGACTCGCTTTATCGGTTTCTAAAGTTAAAATTAAGAAAACTCCAAAAATAGAAATTTTAAATATTTTGCACATTTTTCTAAGGACACCTACTTCTTGGAAATCTTGAATATGTCGGTAACCAGAAGCGGTACTGGAACAGAAATTATAGCCCTTGATAGGGAGAGAATCTTGCAATTATGAACAGAATTAATTCAAAAACTGCCTATAAAACCACAACTTAATTATTGATTTGCTATGAAACGCCCATAATCAAAAAAAAAAAATATTTATATTTTCACATTTCGCCAATCACAAAAAGGAGATCGAAAACCAGAAAATAAAATACATCAATCACCTATTACTAATAGGAATATGATCGAACAATTTCATAAGTTCACTTTTCAATTTTGCAGTTTTTGTTTCTTGTTTACTGGAGCCTTTCGGGTAATTGAAATTCACAAACATGCTTTTGCTCGAAGCCTGTCTGGGCGTTGCAGATATTGAGCGAAAACTGGTGTCGATTGGTGGTAAAATCAGCATTTGAGGAGGCCTTGCTCTATTGTTTGGTTTACGCATTTGAGTTTTGATTGGAGTAGCAGTTATAAAAGGCAGAGAAAAATATTCTGGCGATAAGTCTAGTGGTAAGTCATTTGACGGTTGCCTGTTTACAGTAGCTTGGGGATACTTTCTTTTTCTTATATCTGAACTGTTGATGGAAGATATTTTGAGGTATTGGTCGATTTCTAAACTTCTTGGCTTCCTTGGTAATGAATTGTATCGCCTTGTAGGATTATCTTGAGGGGGCAATTCTGGAGGTCGTTTTTTGTTTGCTATTAAGTGCCTATTTGCAGCATGTTTTAGTCCTGGACTAGGTTGAATTTTTACTTGCTCATCTTCAGAGTCAACATCTGAATTAATTGGTGTATTACAACCAAGGATACTAAAAAATATAATTTTGACATAAAATTAGTTACCTAATAGAAAAGAGCTTACTAAACATTTGGAAAAAATTGCTTCCATTCTGCAATTTCATCTAAATCATAATTTGTCGTTTCATTTTCTGTTCCTTGAAAAATTCTATCGAGTTTCTCCAATTCTGATTCAACTTTTTTTGCAACCTCAGATTCATAATCCTCACTCCAGCTCAAAGAGCTACTTGAACTTAAGCCACTTAATTTAAGTCGAAGATCAAGCATATCTAAAAGCGATAGCTATTGAATTAAGGGTTTGAACCTTAGATGTTTGAAATAGGAAAAACCAAAATTACCTTCCAAGTCGCTAGTATTAGTTGATGAAGAATTGGTCGGGGTGCCTTGATCATTATTGATATTTTCCTCCAAGATGTTTAGTGAATTTTGAAGTCTCTTCTCAGTTGTAGAAGGAAGAGTAAGAACGCTTCGGCTCTTTCTTTTACTTGACATTCCAATTTAGTGGTAATTTTGAGTAATCAACTTCTTAATATTTGTGTTTGTTTTGTGTATATTCCATTAATTTTTGCTAGAGAGGAAAGCTCATCGATACGACATATCGATATATACATCGTTACGCCCTCGATGCTGTTTCATATCGATACCCAATTGATATCGATATTATATCGATAAGGATCTTGCAAAAATGCAAAATAACGTGTATCCGGTACTGAACTTGCAGAAGGACTTGGGTATGAACTTGTCATCACGTCACACATTTACATCATATGCGTTAGCGGCAAGGGAGTAACATTCCGAGGGAATAATAGCTATTATTGCGAGTAGTATACTCTACTTTATTTACGACAAATTAGTTTATTTCCAAATTATAATATTTTTCATTAAAAATTTAAATTCTAAACTACGACTGCTGGCGCAAGCTGCTGACGAGTTAATAAATGACGTCGGCAATGGTGCTCCACCAGATAACCGCGATTACTATAAAATCGAGGTCGATAAGCAATCCTGTTAATAGTGAACCGAATTTTCGCGACAATTGTCTTTGGTTTGTTTTAGGTCTGCTGCACGCACAGAAATCACAAACCAGTCAGAGCAAATTTCATGGGTTGAAAACTATCAGATAACTAAACTGCTGGACAAATGAAACGGAACAAGCGAATGTTTAGGTTAGCTTTAAATTCCAATATTACGCGAACTCAGGAAGATAACAATGAGCGGTTTGGGAGATTATGTTTTAAATTACGCAAATCGCTCATTGATTTCTTCTTTGGTTCGCGTGATATTGGAATCCAAAGTTGAACTAAAAATTCCCTTGTTCCGTTTCATTTGTCCAGCAGTTTAGTTCCAAGTTCCAACCCAAGAGTTCTTTTCACGTGGCTCCGGTTTAAACTAACCGGGTTACAAAACGGTTAGAGAAATGACATACCGTTTTCTAGCCCGGTTACAAAGTGACGTGATGGATACCCAAGGATGATACACACTACTACTACAGGATGGCCTATCCTCATAAGGCCTGTGTGTAACAAATCCCCCCCTACCCCCTCCATAACAACCAGTTGTGACGTAAGCAGCATTGCGTTTCTCGCCTTGACGTAGGCTGTTTAAACCGCTGACGACTTAGTTATGACGTCGGAAATGGTTGAAAACAGTTGAAAACCAATATGGCGCCGATTACCAAAAACGAGGCCGATAAGCACTCCTTAGGGTGGATTTTCATGCATCCGTTTGTCCGACGAAATATGTCCGAAAAATCTTCTATTTTGACATATTTTTATACGATTATGTCAGAATAGAATGTTTTTCGGACATATTTCGTCGGAAAAACGGATGCATGAAAATCCACCCTTAGTGCGCGTTCACATTGGCACCGCTCGAGCGGTGAGCGTTGCGCGATGCCGCTGTAGCGATGCCCAAAAATAATTTTAACATTATATTTCGAGTGAACATGTTAACACTGCGGGACGCGCCGCTCCAGTGTAACCATGGTCATTTGAAATATAATGTTAAAATTATTTTTGGGCATCACTACAGCGGCATCGCGCAACGCTCACCGCTCGAGCGGTGTCAATATTAACGCGCACTAAGAGTGTGTATTCTCCTTGATGGATACCTACCACTCGAATTTGAGCGGTATGTTGCGGCTTGTTAAACCGGAGCCACATGAAAAGGGTTATTGAATTATCCTTACGCTCGGTATTTTGCACAAAGAGCGTGCTAAGCGGAGCCGTAATCACGTTACCAGCGAGCGAACAGAGCAATTGAACGCTGTAGTGCCAGAAATTTTAGTAAACGAACGCGAATGAGCCTGCACCGAGTATACTTTCCAAATAAACGAACGATAAATTCAAGCTCGGAGAACTCAGTTCACAATACCAAACGCACGGTATATATGCACTACTAATAGAAAGTTCTCGTGTCTCAGACGCTACGCTAATACGGTACCGCTATCAATACGGTATTTTGAATGGTATTTTATAGTTCTCGGACATGAAGATACATAAATCCTCTAATCAGTCTAAAGCCTAGTACTCATAACTGCGAAATTCGCATTTTTTTGACATTGCTTCGACAATTTGACGTTTGATACACGCATTAAACATCAAATTGTCAACGCAATGTCAAAAAAATGCGAATTTCGCAGTTATGAGTACTAGGCTTAAGGGAGGATTTTCTTGCATCCGTTTTTCCGTCGAAATATGTCCGTTTAACATTCTATTCTGACATAATCGTATATAAATATGTCAAAATAGAATGTCAAACGGACATATTTCGTCGGAAAACGGATGCATGAAAATCCTCCCTAATCCCTTATTCTGTTGACATTTTAACAACCGAGTTGAGTGATCTAACCCAACTTTTTTTTGGTAGTTTTCTAACTTTTATTTATCTTGAAGATTTCTGAGATTGGTCTTTTATATGGAGGAATTATCACAAGTTGCTGTTTTTGCAGACATAAATGCAGCGTAAACTAGTTTTGACATAGCATAGCGTTACGGTAAGGCATCCGCTAAGTTCCATTAGATAACGGGCTCCGCTAACGCTAATACCGTAAGAACTGTCATACTTGTCAAATAGCGTTACGGTATTTGAAATTTGGACGGCACGAGAAATCTCTAATGCCTCATTCTCACTTGCACGAAGTTCGCTTTTTTCGACATTGTTTCGACAATAAACTAATAATAAATTTATGATGGAAATAAATAAATAATAAAAATAAAAATAACAATAAATTTATGATGGAAAATATTTATGTAATTTTGATTAACAGGTGGGTTCGGCTTGCTCACTCCGTGCACTCCGAGTGACTCCATTCGCACTCCAGCCGTTCGGGTATTAATTTTTGACGTATTAGGGGTGACTCCATTAGCGTTCGACTATACGGAGTGGAGTAAATGGAGCTCACTCCAAAAGTTCCACTTCGGAAAGATAATTTTTTAGAGTAAAGGCCCATCCTCAATCAATCTGGTAGCGAAGTGGCACTTCGGCACGCATGCTAGGACAATGTTGTTTAACGTTGGCATGCACGCCGACTCCGAAGTGCAAGCCTGCAAGCTGCAAGCTCTTTCGATTCGTGCCGACTTGTGTCATGCGCAGTACGGTAAACAGGTTATCTTTGCGTTCGGTATTTTGCTCGAAGAGCAGAGCGTACAAAACGGAGCTGTAATCACGTGACCAGCGAGCGCACAGAGCAGTTGAACGCTGTATCAGAGGGCTCGAAATCTTAATAAACGAACGTGAAAACGCCTGCACCTAGTACACTTTTTAAATAAACGAACGGTAAATTTATGCTCGGAGAACTCAGATCAAAATACCGAACGCACGTTTCATGAAAGCATCGAGGATGGGTATCAATTTCCCAGCACGCGTGCCGAAGTCCGAAGTGCCACTTCGCTACCAGATTGATTGAGGATGTAGCTTAAGCATGCGCAGAAGTGAAATGTGGAAATTATCAAGCTTGTTGTGTTGTCACATTGTAGTTGTTAAAAAAAAATAAAAATCGTTTATGTGTGGATGCGGGAATTTGTAAAATCGTCGAGTAAAATAATTGATCTGATTTTAAAATTTATTAAACATGAAGGAAAAATTTTCTTGACAAAGTTAAGCAGAGGCAAAAGCATCATATTATTTATTATTGTGGAGGAATTGAAGTTAATTTATACTACAAGAAAGACCAAAGACAAAAGTGAAAAAAAAAAAATTGGAAACTTATGCCTCATTCTCACTTGCATGAAATTCGTTCTTTTTACGCAAAATTCGCTCTCTTTTTGACATTGCTTCGACAATTTGATATTTATGCATGTATCAAACGTCAAATTTTCGAAGCAATGTCAAAAAAGAGCGAATTTCACGCAAGTGAGAATGAGGCATAAAACGTTGTAAAGTCATGGTTGACCGTTATTTTGTAACAGAACAAATCAGCTGTTTGACATTTTTGCTCCGACTGTTTCGTTCGTTTCGTGTTTTTATTAATTTTTCACTCTAATCGCTCCTAGATCACGTGACAAAAATCTGTTCTTACTCCACTCCGACTCCGTTCTGAATAGCCGAACCCAGCTATAGCCCGGAATTACAGAAGCTTTGCAACACCAAGATACAAATGCAGAACCTGCAAGTCTGACTTCGTATTACAGAAGCAGAACGCATTTGAAAGTCGCCTGCAAATTTGCGCATGGTGAAACGGTCCCGCAAGTCCTTGCAATCACTTTGACAACTTTGGCATTTTAATATGGTAAATCAGTAGCGCCCAAACACTTTTTCCGATAAATATGACGAAACTGCAGATTTTTTTCTGTAATTTGCTTGTTTCTGCAAATAGAGCACATTTGCAAGTCGGCCATATTTGCAGAACTGCAAATTTGCGGATGCAGATATACTGTAATTTGGCCCATAATAGGCAAATAGAAAGATACAAACGAGATCAAAAAAATAGTTCTTTTAGGGCCGATACTTTTGCTCTCGATTAACGAATTTGATACGTCGTCACGTCAAGTAAATTAGAGGCGTTAGAGCAAATTCAAACCCCTGCTGCCGGATTCTATTTTACGAGTCGAGTCGAAATTCGTATCGAATTGTCAAAATAGCGATTCTGTTTTTCGATACGTATTTAAGGGCGGGTATTATAAAACTGCTTTGACAGTTAACTTAAAGTTAACTTTTTGAATTACATGTAATTCCAGGAGTTAACTCTAAGTTAACTCTCAAAGTAGTTTTATAATACCCGCGCTAAGCCTAGTACTCATAACCAATGAATTATAGCAAAAAACTGGAATGCGCACACAGTGCCATATCTGCCAAAAAAATGAAGCCATGAAAGACAGATGCCACAAGGGGGAATATTGTTTTTTTCTGTTGCTCGCTGTCATATGACGTTTTCGAAAGTTTTGTCATATTTCCCTTCACAGGTTTCATCGATTGGAATACGTGTGGGAAGCAATTTTCGCCATTTAACATAATGAGTGCGACAAAAACAGGTATCCCCTCCGCAGCAGCTGCACTAGGCTTCACGTTCGTCCCTATAGCTGTTTTCTCGCGGTGGAACTGGTTCGACCCGGTTCAATTAGGTTCGAACCTGTACATTCTTGCGTTGAACCAGTGACGTCACATTGAACCTGGTTCAAAAAAGTTCGAACCGGACTCATGGCTTGTTCTCCGTTGACATAAGACTGTGGTTCAAACCTTCCATTTTCTCGCGTTCACAAGTGATGACGTCATCTACAAATTGGTTTAAACCGTAGTTCGAACCATTCGCCCCGCGAGAAAACGCCTTAAGTGTTAGCATTCCAGTTTTTAGTTATAGTTCATTGCTCATAACTGCGAAATTCGCATTTTTTGACATTGCGTTGACAATTTGACGTTTTCGCATTAAACGTCAAATTGTCAACGCAATGTCAAAAAAATGCGAATTTCGCAATTATGAGTACTAGGCTTTACACAGTCGTCCGGAGCTGTCGTATTCGATATCGAGACAATTAGACTCGACTCGTAAAATAGAATCCGGGGTCTGATTATTTTTAACGGCTGTCAAATGTGAGCACAAGGCAAAACTACCGGCACTTGTATGTTAATTAATGTAGTAAATCCATCAACGGTAAAACCACGTAAAACCTATGGGTAAAACTAAAACCGAATTTTCGCGACGAATGTAGTTTATCCAAGGACGAACGTCATGAGTTTGAACGCTGGGTGGAAGCTGCATCCATGCTTCTGGGGAACTACATTCAATATGACGTCATGAGTTTCTGGCGAAAGCGTTTGTGTTTATGAAAGCATAGAAGTACTTCGTCACGAAAATTCGGTTTTTGTATGCATAAAGCAAAAGCCCGCGGAATCATAACCTGTTGTGCAAACAGCCTACGTCAAGGCGAGAAACGACATTTCCCCTACGTCACAACTGGTACTTTGGCGTGGTGGGGGGCTTCAGACACAACAGATAGGTCTTATGAGGATTATTGAGGATAGGCTATCCCGTAGTAGTAATGTGTATTATCCTTGGTTCCGACTGGTTTGTGATTTCTGTGCGAACTTACCTATATCACCGCTCTCGCTCGGAGCACTGGGCATAAGCCTAGTACTCATAACTGCGAAATTCTCATTTTTTTGACATTGCTTCGACAATTTGACGTTTGATACACGCATAAAACGTCAAATTGTCAACGCAATATCAAAAAAATGCGAATTTCGCAGTTATGAGTACTAGGCTATAGTCACTCAAGAGAACGATTGGTCTGTGAATTTTGACAGCAAAACTGTGACAAAACGATGTTCCGATATTATTTCCAGTACACTGGATTCAGTCGATTCAGTACTGAATGACCACAAGAGTACGCTGTTAAAATCGGAACGGCAAATGACAGTAAAATCAGCACAGTTTTAATCCGGTACTGAGAGCTGATAGCCGCTTTCTAGCTGTGTGCTTCAAGCACGGTGCAGCACAGTGTTCTGTGTTTGAAACGCAAAAGTTAGCAAGCTCTGGAAGCGCAGTTCGGCTGGAACACGAACACGCGCTTGAAGCATTTGCGCGCACAAAAGCTCGATTGCGTGCTCAAAAGCGTCAGCTGAGGTGCTTTCCAGTGACCCACTTGAGTTACTCCTGAGCAGCTCAGGAGTACTCCGCATTTACTGGCGCCGTTCCAGTGCTTGGAGTGTCATGCACTTGAACTACTCATTTCTGTTATCCCCTGCCCTCTCGTGCTCCTACCATTGTTCCGGTGTTTCATGCTCCGAAATGGTGCGGGATAGGAAAATTCAGGTTATTTTCGTTCGGTTTCTTCGAGAGTGTTCCAGTGCTGCTTATGACCAACAGTTCAAGAGCGTCACATTCCAGGAGCATGATACTCTTTTAATTCGTGTACTGGAAAGCGGCTGATATCGGAACATAGCCTTTTTGTCCTTACTACGAGTACGGCCTAGATGTCGCCCAAAGCGATAATATTTATTATGAATTTTGAAACGATAACCTTTTAACTTTTCCCATTAAAAGATATTAAAATTTCCTTTTGCTTCATTTGAAATTCCTATTGTTTGATGAATATTGAATAATGGTAAGTACACCTAATCAAACTCTTACTTATATCCCTCAAACTTTCAATTTTCAGCTTACAAGAAGAATTTTCTCAGCGGTAGTAGTGAAACCAAAATTTGCTCCGAATTTTTTAACAAATTCCAGAAATATGTCCGGCGAGGAAAATGATGTAATTTTCGAAGATCTAGGCGATAAAGGAGTAGTAATTTTAAACAGACCTAAAGCTTTAAATTCGCTCAATTTATCCATGGTCAGTAAAATCTATCCGACTCTCCAGAAATGGGAATCTGAGAAAAAACTTGTTATCATAAAAGGTAAATAATAATTATGCACAATAGTTGCTTGTCATTGTAGCCAGATTATGCATAGGTAATGGAGGAAAAGCATTTTGTGCGGGAGGAGATGTAAAAGCAATAGCAGAAGCAGCATTTAAAGGTCAAAAATTAGGACAAGAATTCTTCAGAAGGGAATACATAAACAACGGCCTCATTGGTTCCTATAAAATCCCTTACATAGCTCTAATCGATGGAATTGTAATGGGCGGAGGTGTAGGGCTTTCAGTGCACGGCCCTTACAGAGTAGCCACCGAGAAAACTTTATTTGCAATGCCAGAAACTCAAATTGGCTTATTTCCTGATGTAGGTGGTTCCCATTTTTTGCCTAAATTGAATGGGAGGCTTGGATGGTATTTAGCTTTGACTGGAGTAAGACTAAAAGGTCCTGATGTGTTAAAAGCAGGAGTTGCCACACATTATGTAGACAGTGCAAATCTTAAAACCATAGAAGATGCTTTGCTTCAATGCTCACAACACAATGACATTGAAACAGTTTTGAGTAGATACCAAAAGGAAGACAAGAGTGAATTTTCACTTGGGCCATATTTAGAGCAAATTAATAACTGCTTTTCTGCTCCTACATTGGAAGAAGTTATATCTAGGCTAGAAAAAGATGGATCCAAATGGGCACAAGATACATTGAATTTATTAAAGAAAATGTCTCCGACTAGCTTAAAAATTACTTATAAACAATTAGAACTTGGAAAGGAGATGAACTTGTTGGAATGTTTGAAGATGGAATATAGATTGGCTGTCAATTGTGTTGAGGGACATGATTTCAGAGAAGGTAATTGATCATGGTTAGTGATGTAAAATTTCCGAAACATTCAAAAGCTGCAAACATTCTCGGAAACTTTCCGAGAATATTGGTAACTTTCGGGAACTTATGGAAATATTGTTTTCTTTTTTAAAAATTTATAGCTAAATCAGACAAATCGTAGTTTGCTTTATTTACCTATTATTGTACTGTGACTATAGACTATAAACCAAGAATAACTCCTATATTTTGCTGGAAGATCAGCTAAAAATTAAACTATGTAATAAAAACACTTTTATGGATGGTTGAATAAGGCTTTAAAGGAAAAGCTGACCCGATTAATCCAATCTCTCAGCTCGAAGATTATTTTTAAAAAAGACAAACTGTAGGTACATCAGGTGGTGATCGGGTAAATCGGATCAGCGTTTCCGTAAAGACAGGGACTAGTCATCCACATAAATTGAGATGACGTCACTGAGACCTTGTATTCGCAATAATCTCGCATTTTTATAAAATTCTTCTGAAAAGTTCTTGAAAATATTCTCGAAAGTTCTCGGAAATATTCTTTTGAGAGTTTTTGATTGAAAGTTTCCGGAAATATTCTCATTCAGGAGAACGTTTCCATTTTTTATCGGCGAATATTCTCGGAAATTTCCCAATGTTTGCGAATATTTGCATGGGAATATTCGCGACTCGCATCACTAATCATGGTTAAAAAATCCGATTTTTGATATTTTACAATTTCAACTTTTCCTTATAACTTCTCACAGGTTCCTCCTATCAGTAAAATATCAATATCTGATGATTAATTTTTTTTATCTAGGAGTGAGGGCTTTGCTAATTGACAAAGATCAAAACCCCAAATGGGATCCAGCAACTGTAAAAGAGGTTACAGAGGACATTGTACAGCGTCATTTCCAAAAATTATCAGAAGCAGAAGAATTGAGACATAAGTTGTAAATTTGTTGAATAAATAATAATTTTATATGAGTTTGCAAACATTGCCTTCCAATAACTGCAACATTACTTTATTCACCTTTTAAATAACTTTTTTTCTCCTAATATTCTTACAACAGAGCAGTATATCTAATTTTTTTTATGTTGAACAGAATAATTGAAGCTGCATTGACACCAGTAATGTGAGAGTATCACAATCCATTAAATAAAAATCAAATTCTAGCTTAAAAAAATCTTTAATTAATAAAGAAAATTTCATTTATTACACAATATTATCTTAACCAAAAATTACATTAATTATGAAACTACTTTTACTCGGAATCGCTAGCACTAGATTCAAAATCACCAACATCAATAGCAAATTTGTACTCTTGATCACACCCTAAATAAGCATCACTCATAAAGTACAATGTATAACCGTGATGCCCAGGACTGGGAGCTACAAAGTCTAACTTTACTCTTGCTTTTTGCTGTAGGGTAAGTCTCTTGATAGACAGTAGAGAATTTGTTCTGGAATCTCCGATAACTACCCACCAACCTTCTTCACGTTTCTATATATTCAAAAAAAAAATCAATACATTACAAAAATATGGAATTTAAAATTTATACCTGTGGGAAGAAGGGAGCTATAACAGGCCCATTAACTTCATCTTCTCTTTCCAATTGTACAGCCACGTGCACAGATGATCCCGAATGAATCTTGTCCTTATCCAAAACTTCATAAGTGAGTTCAATATTTGGATATCTGTTGCAGAATCTAGCTACATCAACCATTTGGGAATCGTTCAGGCTCAACAGTTTCGTTCTATCTTCGTCTTCTAGTTCCATTATATCAAAAACAGTTTCAACTCCCTAGAATTGAAGAAATTATTATAACCTGGAAATGATAAGCCCTCTAGGTCTAAATTAATGTTTTTTTTTTTCATTAATAATATTTAATTGAAGCAATGGATCTAGTGGTGCCGCAAGACTAGACTTCGGGTTGGTCTCGTCTCGTGTCGACATCTCTAGACGAGAATGTGATTTGGTCTCGGTCTTGAATACCAAAGTCTCATGTGATTTAGTTTCGGTCTCGAGTACTATAGTCTCGAGTGGTCTCATCTGGCCTCGAGTTATACAGGGTGTCCAAAAAATAATGTAAAAACTCTTCTCTACATGGTGGAGGACCTTGCAAGGAACAAGAAACCCCAGAAAAATACTTTGAAAAATCAATATGTCAGAGAATTAAATTAAATACCCATGTAACTACATGCGACTAATTCGAAGGTGAATTTTCACATCTACCTCTTCATATTACCAAGAATAATGCTGGAGAAGGATTTTTTCAATTTAATTATTTTTCTAGGGTTTCTCAAAGGGTCCTCTACTAAGTGGAGAGTTTTTAAGCTATTTTTCGGACACCCTGTATTTATGGTTTTTGTTTTTATATTATAACGGAAGTCCAAACTCCACAGTGAAAAAGCAATTAGTGAAAAATCACAGTAAAGAGTAACCCCAATATTTAATTTACTGATTTCATATTCAAATAGCTCAGAATAGTCCAATAATAAAGCTAAGCTATGAAAGAAAAAATTTAAGTGTAATCTCGAGACTACACGAGACTCTCGCCGAGTCTGGTCTCGTCTCGTCGAGACTTCACAAGACGAGACCAAAAGCCAGTCTCGTCTCGAAAAGACGAGACTAATCTTGAGTCTCGCGGCATCACTAAATGGATCTGTGTTTTTCAGTTTAATAATGGTATATTATTTGTTTCTTACTTTTTCAGTGCACCGTTTAATAATTTCCGTATTGAAATGTGGTAATTGTTTCAAATAAGAATCTTTGCTCCACATAGCTTGAGTCACCATTTGTGCAAGTTCCATAGCAGCTACTGCAGGTGAAAGCCAACCATTTGAACTCAGCACATCTACACAAGCTTGAATGAGTCTTATCGCTTTGGCCAGTACCACTTCGGTGTCTCCTTGAAGTTCTGCCCCTAGTTGCAATCTAAAAATATCAATGCAAGTAAATAACATATTTATGTTGATTATAATAGGTTTAAAATTACCTGCATAGATGGGCCTGTAGAAGTAAATTTGTTTTCACATGAGGATCGTTAAACTTAGGTTGACCACCTGACAAGGAGGTTAGTTTATTTGGAAGTTTTTGTGCCAATTGCCTTAAAATATTATCTTCATGGTGTCTAACTGGGATATCTTCGTATTCGGCCGACGATGAAATGATTTCCAGCAAACCTCTTATTTTGGTTTTGCTGTTAAGTGATAAACTGAACAGTTCTATTGTAGTATAATTAATATAATAATAAGCAGCAATCATTCCCAAGTTCAATGGTACACAATCCATATCTTCTTCAACGCTAATACATTTAGACTGTTCCAAATCTGACAGTGTATTTTCAACAAGTTCAGATAAATGGTCTGACAAATGTCTGTGAGTGACTCCTTGCAAGTTATAGTAATTTGGATTTTGTGTTAATCTTCTATACAGAAATGTCCATGTAAGATAATCTACAGTGTCTTGTTTGTTTTCAATGGTTTTTGTGACGATTTCCGCATTGAAATGGTCATGGAGCCTATGGTCCAAGTGACTCTGGAAACAAATATTTTAATTCAAATTTTTAAGTAAGAGAAATCATTGAATTACCTCAACTGGAAGTGGGTCACTCAAGAACTTCTTAAAGAAATCTTTCTTTGAAGATTGACACATTAAAACACATTTAGCGTCATGTTCTTCAAGTGGACGATTTGCACGACCCACCATTTGTAGTACATCAGTAATAGGATAGTCTTCATATGCATGGATTTTTCCTAAAAAAAAATGATGCAAATAAACAACAATCCATAATTAAATGTAGAAAATTACCATTAAAGAACTGACTATCCATAATGATAACTAAATAAGCAAAAATGTTCACTGCCCAACACAAATCACGAGTGACTACAGCTACTTGAACAGCTCCTGATTCAAAAAGTTGTTCTACTAAACGCAAATCGGCAGCAGTTAATCCCTCGTGCATATAGGCTACCCCTTGAGATAAAGTTTCTTTGAGAGTCTAGAAGAAAAATTGTTTCAAAAACTAGACTATAGAGCAAAGCAAGATTCTTACCTTGTCTGTCATCCTATCCAAAAACGGTCTAATATCGTCCTCATCAGCATGAAAAAATTTATTGGATTGGCCCTCTGCAGCAGCATAAGTTAACAAATCTATAGCAGTAAGCCTGGCTTGTTTTCTTGTAGGAACAAACACAATTACAGGTTTATGAGGACTATGCCGTGAAATAGTATTATAGGTAGGCTTTCCCATAGCAATAAGCCTAGATGCGTTATGGGTTAAATTAAACCCTTGCACATGCAATTCTAACGGTATTGGTCTTACACTTGGATGAAAATTAAAGGTAGCATTGGCATTGCAACCTAACCATTGTGCCACATCCTTGTAATCAGTCAAAGAACCACTCAAGGCTACAATACGAATGGGCTTCTCAATCTGTGATGAAATATACCTCATCCTTGAACAAACTATCTCAATAACAGGCCCATCTTCCCCACCAAGCAAATGTAATTCGTCCACAATAAACAAGTTAATATTTTGAACATTTTTCCTTTGTTTCCATCTTCTTGACAATACATCCCATTTTTCAGCAGTAGTAATTATCACCTGTCCCTTAGCCAGCAATTTCAAATCAGTACCAGTTTCTCCTGTTAATAGGACGACTTTTCTACCAAGAAACTTTCCAAACTTATTATGCCAATCAGCAAAAATAAGCTCAGCAAGTGCGTCTCTGGGTACCAAATAAACGCATCTACCTTCTGGGTTTCTATCAAACAAACGCAAAATGGCAAACTCAGCTATTGTAGTTTTACCTGAACCAGTTGGAGCACCAATAAAAATATTTTCATCACCATTGTATACTGAATTGAAAACTTGCGTTTGAATGGGATTGAATTGTGGGAATTTATCATTGTAAAGAGCCTCGTATTTTTCATTTCTTAAAGCTGTAATTGGTAGGGGTTGTAGATCGAGAAGTTCAGTTGGTGGGAAGTTCTTTTCTGGTAGAATAAGATGCCTGAAAATAATTAATGCAAATAAATATCAATACAACACAAAAGCAAAAAATTCTTACTTGAATGAGACAGGTAGTTGTGTTTCAGCTCCAATCCATCTGTCAGAAACGATTCTCAAAAAATAATGAGGAGCCAAAGGTTCAAATATCGGCACAAAGAATTTAATCAAATGTTCGTCTTGACAATATTTTTGTTTCAACAAGAAAAATTCGTGATGTAAAATCACTTCTGAATCAACGTCTTCCACAAAAATCCAAAAAGCTTCAGCGTGTCCGTGTAGTTTTTCATCCCATTGAAAATCTGGCGTAATCGTTAATTCAACTTTAAGCATGGATCTGGTGATTGGTTGAATGTGAGTGGATAAGTCAAGTTTTGGAAATTGATGAACATATTTGTGTATGGTTTTGCCCAATTTCGGTACTCTAATAAGCTCTCCAATTTCATTTGGGCCAAGATCATAGAGCCTTTCCCAAGGGAAATATTTCTTTTCAATTTTTTTCACAATTTCTTCTGGCATTTTTTTAAATTGCCTTAACGGGGACATGGATTGCCACATTCTTTTGTCCACCATTTTGCAAAGATTTAATACTTTATCTGCAAGCTGTGCCCAGCCTCTGTGAAGTACAATTTCAAAAATTGCTCTAATTAATCTCGAAGCTGACTGGGTAACATAAACCATATCAGACATTAATGCAAAGCTTTCTAATTTCAGTTGTGAAATGTAGGCTTGCAATAACACGTTTACTTTTGCGCTTGGCTCTTCAATACTCTCCTTAATAGGAATTGGAACTCTTTCCATTAATTTTTGCAATTCACCAGGTTCACCTTCTCTTACAGCAATATTTTTAAATTCCCCTGACAAAGAAAACACTCTGAATAAATCAATGTCGCTCAAATAAGGCTTTAGTAATTGATTATAAGTAGACATAGTTTCGTGAGTGCAATAATACTGAGAAGCAATACGGCCCAATTCGGTACCCTGAAACTGACCAGTTTTACGTTCATATTTCACTAAGCCACTTCGGTCTAAATGAAGAGCCGCAGTATGAACCAAATCAGCTCTATGTTGCTCCAGAAGAGGATCATGTTTCAATTGGTCATGAGAAATTCCATAGAGAGTATGGGCTCTCAACATTCTAATGTACAAATAACTATAGCCAATCCATGTAACCGCGTCTCTCACATTTTGAATTGTTCCCAAAACTATTTCAGCATTAAGCATGTCTGGCAATTTCGATACCAGCTGCGATTCAATTGGTAGTTGCTGATTGAGAAGGGATAAGTAGTATTGTAGCTCACTGTGATTAGTTATAAGGATACCTTCTCCTTTGGTATCATATTGAGGTCTTCCAGCACGACCCAACATTTGTAAAACGTCCAGTGCTCCCAATTCTACCCATCTTCCTTTGGTGGGATCATAAATTTGTGTTCCCTTGATGATAACTGTATGAGCTGGTAAGTTAACACCCCAGGCTAATGTAGCGGTTGAAACTAATACCTGGATATGTCTATCTGCAAACAAATCCTCAACCAAAGTCCTGTCCACTCTAGTCATACCAGCATGATGTATAGCAAAGCCATAAGGCAACAAATCTTTCAATTCGTTATTCTTTACTTGTTCTGCTTCTGTTCTTAAAACTTCCATAGAAGCTGAGCCTTCTCTCAAAAACTGTCCCAGTGTGTCTTTCTCTAAGCACATATCCCTAATAGCTCTTGCAGTTTTGCCAGTTTCATTTCTTGAGTGGACAAAAATCAACACTTGATTTTTACCAGCATGCTCCATAGTTTTTTCGTAAACAATTTCATTCATTATTTGACATCTTTTGGTAGCTTTTTTTTCGGTCACGCCAATATATTGTTGCTCCAAGGCCACAGGTCTGAAACTGTTATCAAAGTAGAACAAGCCACTGTCAGGTTGCACCCTCAAAAAAGCAGCTACATCTTGGTAATTGGGCAAAGTAGCAGAAAGTCCAACTAATCTAACTTCTTCTTGAGTCGATTCAATCATTCTTATAGTACGGGCAACAAGAGCTTCAAGAACCGGACCTCTTTCATCGTGTAGCAAATGAATTTCGTCTATAATTATCAGACGTACCAGTGAAGTAAAGGTTTTTTCTCCGCCTAAAAAAATACAAACATTTAATACTATATTTTTCAAATAATTTTTTTTTCACCTTTTCTTGTAATAATATCCCATTTCTCTGGTGTACAAACAATAACCTGAGCTTCAGCAATTTGCTCTCTGGTCAACTGATGGTCTCCAGTCAACTCGTGGACGATTATATTGTAACTGGCAAGTCTTTTGCCAAAATTACCCACCATTTCTTGTACCAGAGATCTCATGGGAGCAATGTAGATAATTTTAAACTCGTCCGCGTTTATGGTACCATCTGGGTTGATATGTTTTCCAATTTCACGCATCATTGTGAGCAAAGCTACATTTGTTTTACCTAGAAGAAAGGAATGGATACTTTACATGTAGTTACTTATTTCTCGTGTCTGTGTATCTATATCAAAAAACGTCAACATCTAAAATCTAATAGGCTGCAGTATTGAGAGTCTCAATATGTATTCAAAGAGCATCTAATGTGAAAATTCATGCAGTGAAAAATTTTACCAGAAACGATATATGAACCCAAAAAGATTTTACCTGCGCCTGTTGGTGCACAAAGTAGAATATTCTCATCGCCTTCTAAAGCAGCCTTACATAATCTACTTTGAATTCGATTCAGGGTTTTGAAACCATCAAAAACTGGCTGTACATATTTGGGCAACTCTTCAATTGGTTGCAATTTTTCATCGTCTGCATATGGTTTGGGTTTTAAGGCAGGTACATGCACTTCTTCGTATCCTAAAAATCATAAGCTTGAGACAAAAATTCAAAACAACCAATTTTTTTACCTTTTCTTTGTTTTCTGAATGATCCATCTGGCAATTGACATCTCTTATTCGCCATAAAATGAGATCCTTGTGAAAATACCAAATCTTCAAAATCAATAAGTTTTCTGTTTCCTGCAACTTGATTTTTCTCTAAATCATCATCAATCTCATCTTCTTCATCACTACTGAGTTTGCGTTTACGCGATCTAGATGTGCTATCATCATCACCATTTTCTTCATCACCTGAAAATCATAATTGTATAATTTTTAAAATATTATCAAGTTACTTATTAGGTATTAACACTATACCTTTTCCAGTTTCAAGCAACTTTAATATTCTTTTTAAAGCAGGATCTTCCATCATCTTTTCCTTTAACTTTTGACGTTCTGTTTCACTTTGGGACTTGGCCAAAAGTGTGCAATATAAAACTAAAGAAAAATTAAAATTATAACCCACCATTTTTTTTTTGTAAGAAAATACTTACTTAATTTCCTATTTTTCTTTAGTTGTTTAATAAAATCAAAACAATCATATCCCAATAATAAAACAAGCTGGTTTTCCAATTCTCTATCATCAGTGGCGTCTCTTAAAACATTTAATACTTCACCAGCTTTTGCTTGAGATATCATAGCGTCATCATAGATCTTGGACAATTTTCTTTGCAACCAATAGGCATCAATATCCATGGGATGTAAAGCTTTTTCCTTCTTCAGTTCTTCTACACTTACACCTAGATTTTCTGCATGAATCGCCCCATCTTCTCTTGCTTCTTCACCTTCTTCATCTTCAAACTCATCACGTACTTCTCCATACATGTCTTCATCATCCTCTTCTTCAGATTCTTCAAATTGTACATTGATGCCATAAGTTTCATCAATATTTTCCTCTCCTACATTAGCTTTTAATTCATCTGTTCCAAAATCTGTAATTTTCTTGCCTAAATTTACCAGTAAAGCAAAACGTTCTTCAGGGATAGATCCTATTAATTGTTCAGTTTCTTTTTTCTTTTCCCTCTCTTTTAGTCTATCATTTTTCAATACTGACAGTACTTCATCTGCTGCGCCGCAAATAATGTCTCTAGGTTGGTCACCTAAAGCTTCTTGCAAAAAACTCAATAGTACTTCATAGGTCTGCCTGGTTTCTTGGGTTTTGGGTTTGTATATAATACCAACCATTTCATCTACACCTTCTGAAAGTAGTGTGGCTCCCTTCATTCTGGCAAAATCATATTGAGCTTCATCTCTTTTCTGACGTCTAAAAATGTTTGGTAAATGAGAACAATAACTTACAAAATGCACAAAACTCTTACTTGACTTTTCTCTCTTCAGCTTTTCCAGGCTTAGTCCTTTGAGCTCGGTCACCCATTTTTGTACTTGTGAGTTTTCCCACGAGGGACATAACTTCACCGGTGGCCTCATCTCTGCTTCGTCTTTCAATAAGACGTACATCCGCTTGAAGTACAAGATTAGAGTTCTGAAAATGATATTAGGTTTAACAGTTTAACAATGGTAAGTTGTATACTTTGCTATGTTTTCAATCTTTTGTCACATATAAATACATAAAGTTAACTAGCGGCTGCTACAGAACAACAAAATCGCATAAATAGCTAGAAAAGTTTGATTTTGAATTAAGGAGGCAGATTTCACTGTACCCACAAAAAAATCTATGTGTCAGATTGTGTTCAAATTAGGGAAACAGAATTATTTAATGGCAAAGAAAATCAGGTTCATTCTGTGAAATTCCATGTTGACATTGATAATGGGAATCAATGGAAATCATTTTTTGTTGTTACGAAGGATAGTTATAGGTAATTAATCATAGTTAAATCATTGTGAAAACCTCAAAATTAACAACAGAAGGTGTCTATAGTCTGGCTAGCCAAACGGCGAACTCAAATAGTATATTGTGTATTTAGGTGGAAAATCTGGCGGAAGGGATAGTTAAATTGTCATTATGGTAAAGTGAACATCTTACTGGATAAAAAAAATATAAAAATAACAACAGAAATATTCTATATTAACCAAGAGGTTATCCACCAATAGACATACATTTTTATGGAAATCGATAATGGAGATCATATGGGTTTTTTTTTTTTCGTTATAAACTTTCAGATCCATTAATGGAAGGAAAAAAGGAAAATGTCCCAGTCACAGTAGTCGGGGCAAACTTGAAACTTGAAAGCTTGGTTGAAACTATGGTTTGCACCTATTATTTCCAGTGCTTCAACTGATTTCACATAATCAACACTTCGAGCATATTAAAGTCATAAGCTAAATAAGAAAACTTGTAGGAAAATAACCTTAAAATTAACATTCTGATGAAATATCCAGTTTACAATCCACATAGGTTACTTTTCACTAGTCCTGTAATAATAATATTAATAATAATTTGATTTATGCTCTTTACTCGCTATTGGCTGGGATTCAGTTTCGGGTTCCACGTCTGGCGGGGAGGTATGACTCAACGTTTCACTTGGGTAGTTAAACATCTTAATGCAATGCCCACTATATTTTGTGTGCTTTGTATTCAATGGTATTTTAAGTGTGTGTGATATTAATGAGGACCGATTGTCAAGCATTATCGATGCTTTACTGAACAGTTCATTTTTCTCTCTATTGTTATTATTATTATTATTATTAAGACCATGATTGTAATATGTACAGAAAACTCATTTTGCCTGTAATTGGGACTTTTTCCTGTTGGAAATAAAGGCTTATTTATTTACAAAATCATTGTTGAACCTTTCACATGTCCAATCAAATCAAAATATGCTTTATTGTAAAAAGAGTAAAAATCTTGTCAACAACTTCTTATAGAGAATATTTCATTTTTTAAATTTTCCTGTCTAGTTACTTGGCCAGAGGGCTGGTAGAAGTTAACTAGAATACATGATAAGGCCCAGGAATGACTCCATTTTTGGGTAGGAAGATGTCTCAAATATATTTTCTTCCTAGAGTCCTTGTTAGACTTTTAGGCCTACAATATGGCTGGGAAACATTTCCAAATATAGGGTGTATCGTGAGGGAGTGCGTCCTGTTGATGTAGATTGTAGATAGGTAAAAACTAGACACTGTGCAAATTTGCACTGCTTTGGCAAATCCTGACTATGTCTGATGTTAGGTATTAGTTATTAGTTTATTTAGATTACCTAGATATTGTATTTACATTCTGGTAATTTATTAATTTGAAAAAAGCTTTTATATATTTATTTTCTTGTTTTTGGAGCCACTTTCGAACAGAACGAGACAAGAAGCCAAGTGGATGAACTTCGTTAATAAATAGGAACACTTACCGCTTTATACTCGTATTGGAGCTGCCTCGCTGCAGCATCCGCCATGCTCGATTCTTCTCAGAAGCAATTGAATGAATACTTTCTTTATTTACTACAAAAGTAAGTTATTTATTTCAAAAAGGAAAAAACGCACAACAAACAAGCTGAAAAATGTCGCCACCTAAACGTCTTACCTCGATAAAATAGGGTTATGTTATTCCGACTCTTCGGTTTTTGGTTTTTGATAGAGATGAGTACAGTGGTGCGTTCGAAATCACCCTGGGCGTCACACCAGCCATGTGAATAATTCAGAGCTGGTGTCAAAGATAATCCTACTCTACTAGGATTATCTTTGCTGGGGCGAGTTCAGGAATGAAATACCTAGTGTGAGTGTGAAACCGGTGCGACGCCCTAGCTGTTCAAAAATGTTAGACGGTGCTATGGGCCCAATGGCCAATTGACGATTTCAATTAAAAGAGATAGACGATAAGTATGAAAACATTCATTTTCCCGCCAACATTTGCTTGCTTGTCAATGTCAATGTATATTAGGTGTTTAGCAATCCCCTCGTTTTTATTCGAATCGGTGACTTCACCGATGAGTTAGCTATCCTTGTTAAGTAAATGGAAAATGACAAATGGACGGGTTCATCAGGACGTAGCGCTACAATAGCGATCAGCAGCAGTGTTGCCAAATTTTTACAATTGTGGCAAATTTTATCCGTTCTTCTCACCAAAAGGAAAAAAAGATGGAAAATGGTCCGAGCGCTCAGTGTTTCAAGCGGAACTTATTAATTTTAATAATTTTTGGTTAAATAAGTGAAAATATAATAGATTTATTGGAAATATAATAATGTAAATAATTAACCTTTGATAAATGTAATAGATTTGCTATATTTGTAATAAACTGGCAACACTGTTGATGATCGCTACTGTAGCGCTATGTCCTGATGAACTCGACCAATTGACCGACATAGAATGATGGATCCATGGGTAAAATTTGATATGAATGAGCGCAGGGTTTGAAATTGGAAAGAAAATGTGGGACAAGTCACTGCTTCATTCGCAGAACCTCGCTTCGGAGACGGTGGTGGATTATTTTGGAAGCAAACAGCTTCTGCCAACTAAACTTGAACGTGGATTACTTTGTATACTTGATGGGCCGTGAATTTCCCTTTCTTTTGCGGGTATCCTTTCTGATTTTGTGTATCCAAATTTTGACAAATGTAGGATTTGATGGAAACTTATGGAAAGACACGTTCGCCAGTGAATAGGAATTATTTTCATGAATAGGCACACTCTACCTCAATGGGCACACTAAACACAATCACCACTGTTAGGAAAAAATCTTGTAAAACCGAGGAAATAATAGTTTCTTTCAAAAATCTTGCCTATAAACCACTGTCAATGGCTGTCAACCATTGTTTTCATACTCTTTTGGCATCTGACAGTTTGATGCCAGAGAGAGAGGCTTTTAAATTGAAAAGGTCAATTGTCAATTCAGGCACACCCATAAAATCGCACTCGCACCCTGTGCGCTATTTCTGAACTCGGCCCTGGTGTGCACTCGGTGTGATGCCCAGGGTGATTTCGAACGCACCCCAGTAGTTCTATTCCTTTCACTACAGTGGCTAAATAAACCTTCACATACAGTGGCGACAATAGAGATCCTGCCGCCATTTTGTTCCCAACCTCTTGTTACTCTTAAATATTAATATATAGGATTTAAATGGACATCTATCATAAAAAATTGAAATCGACGTATTTGATAACTAATTAGGTCTATCAAACACGTTGTTTTCCATGTGTTATTATGGATGTTCACCCAAATCCCATATATTCATATTTTAAATAGGCAATAGGTGGGAACAAGATGGCCGCGTTTTTAATATAAATATATGGGATTTTAGAACCAATCAAAAATAAGGCAGCAATTGTCGCCACTGTGGGTAATAGAGTCACTGTACCTTTCACAACTAGCATCGATTAAACGCGATTAACCAATTGGTCATAAATGACAGATAACCAATGAAGCAAACGTCATTTGTCAACCAATCGGTAATAAATGACGTTAAATGCATTATTCATCTGTCAATATAACCGACTGGTTAATCGCCTTTAATTGACTTAGGAGGAGCTCCGGGGCACACCATTTGAAATCAATAGCCGAACGTGCTTTTTGATTCATCGAATTTGACCGAGTAAGAAAGAGTACTCAAGTGTGAGATTTTGGAGCGTTCTATTGCTCAAGTCGAACAGGTGAATCTCGCCGAGCTCCGAGCCTTTAAAACCGAACATGTGAATTCGTTTTGGATCGCTTTCTGAACAATCTGGTGCAGTTTTGAGGCAAAAGTCGAAAGTGGTATTTACCTTGCGTTCGGTAGTTTGCTCAAAGAGTAGAGCCTGCTGAGCGGAGCCGTAATCACGTGACCAGCGAGCGAACAGAGCAGTTGAAAGCTGTATCAGAGTGCTAGAAATTATAATAACCGAACGCGAAAAAGCCTGCACCGAGTACATTCAAGCTCGGAGAACTCAGATCAAAATAACGAACGCACGGTTAACTCCATAAACTTGGGCGCTGTCTTTTATTCACCGATGAATGCATCCGCTTCCATCGATGACCAGTCTATCCTTGTCTAGTTCATAGGAAATCGGAATGGCTGTCTCATAATGGTGGAATCAGCAGCCGGATTCTATTTTTACCAGTCGAATCGGAATTCGTATCGAATTGTCGAGATAGTCATTCTATTTTTCGATACGTATTACTCAATTCGTCTGGGGCTGAAAAAATACACCAGTGCACATTAATCTACCGATCGAAAACGCGTCATGACGTGTAGCTCAAATCCTTCTAGTTGACAATTGACATAAATGTCGTGACATCACCGCAACAACTGTCAATTGTGTTGGCTGTTTTTTCTAGTTTAGTTAAAAATTCCTATTAAAACCCTTTAAATTTATTAGTTTAATAATTTAATCAGGTTTGTAATTATTTATATTTGATATATCAACAATTTAATGTTACAAATTTAGCTTGCAATTCAAAAAATATGCTCAATACATTTCGAACAAAGTGACATTTTGTGTTGTCACTCGAATTCCATTCACTGTTTTTTCCAAAAAAAAATCACTTCTAATTAATTAATACGCCTTGAAACCTTTGATTTCACTATTTCCTATTAGATTTTGCTTTATCACATCACATATTTCACGTGCTTATTAGGTACACGTTCAAGTTTTTAGCAAAGACTTGAGAGAGGTCTCGAGTAGAAAAGAATAGGCTGAAAATTTTCAATTTATTTTTTCTAATTTTCTAGGATGTTCATCTGGGATTGGTTTACTGGAGTTTTAGGATACTTAGGTGAGAAATTTTTATATTGTCCTTATATAAGATATTAATTATATTTTTATTTTAAAATCCCAATAAAAGCACAATGTCCTCGATAATGTAAAGTACCTTCATTTCAATGATGTGACTTTGGACATAGTTTTACATCATCAAGGCATTAATTAGCCAGTAATAACCATTCATATCTTATACTACTACTAGCAGATATCATTATATTTATGATAATCGTTGATTATGATGCATGCGTAATAAAATAGTACATTATATACCTAGGGACTGAAGTACTTTTAACACATTTTAGTCCTGAGGAGTATGGACTTTTTTATTCACAGGAAATAAAGTGAAATTTAAAACCGGAGATAAAAGGTTACTTTTAATCCCTAAAGTGCATAAAAAAAACATATGTAGGTACTGTCTGTAGGTATGTAAATAAGTATTATAAATAAGGTACCATTTTTCAGAAAATAAAAAGTCCAATGTTTCCTTATGTTCATTGTTTTGTGCTTGCATTTTACGAATATTTTTTAATGTAAAAATCTTAGAACAAGATTTTTCACACATACAAAGAAATTAAGCATTGTGAAGGACAATCTTAATTTAGCGTATCTTTTGTCTCCTTTGTGTTTTGTCACATTGTAGAATAAATTTGCAAATACCTTAACAGTGATTTGCATTTTGTTTATCATACTTATACCTTACTTATACTTAAGCTAGATCATTGATAGGTACTAATTTTGAGTAAAATAATATTATATCATCACTCTTGTAAGTTCGTGACTATCATAACTTAACATTGTTGGATTGTTGCAAAATATTTATACAGTATTATTTATTATTGTTTTTTTTTTTGTTTATACACATAAGTAAAAATTATTGGTCTCCTATGGTGGTTTTCTGCAATTCTCATAAGAATTACATACTATCAGCAATCTAAAGATCAGCTACCATCTTACAGTTTATTATCACATTTTTCCTTGCATTGCAAAAGAAATCAATTAAATACTTGTATAGGTTTACTGCAAACAAAACGAAAATATATATTTCTTGGACTATCCAATTCCGGAAAAGCGACATTAATTAAACAACTATTGGAAGAGAACAAAATCGATCATGTTCCATACTCAATGCACTGTCCCGATTTACTGGAAACGACACAACAAAACTATAGCGGTAAGAAATCACCGACTTCACTAACACTGTTTTGCATGCAGGTTTATGGAAGAAATCTGGCAAGCTCCTCTTCCTGGGTCTGGATAATGCCGGAAAGACAACACTGTTGCATATGCTCAAGGATGATCGGCTAGCTCAGCATCTTCCAACGCTACATCCTAGTAAGAACTAATAATTTTCTATACTTTGTGCTATTAACAATATTAAGTGTTTTGAGAATTATTTACTTCCAAGGTATTATATGCAACACATTATTATTACTGTGGTCATTATTATATGAATAGAAGCTTGCCTTATTGTAAACTTGTTTGTTTTCTCTAATCTTTTTGAATTTTCTTATAAAGTCTGCTTCTCATATTTGATGACTACCTCTTGATTTTGTCAATTTTCAAAAGGTGCATCAGTTGCAGAACTTTACAGGTTTTTTCTTGCACTTAACCTTTAACGTTCTCTGGTGTAAACCTAGTACCACCTTGTTTATTCCTTATTATAATCTGAAAATCTGGTTTTAATGCATCCTAAAAACATCGTCATTCAATATATGTCAGTCCCCGACGTCAGTTTATTACAAGATTTTTCTGGATGCGGTCGCATTTTTGAAAGTGGTACACCATATATACCAGTGGGACTCGAGAAGCATCAATTATGTTGTTTTATGTACTTCAATTCATATTTTTATCAATATTTATAATCCGGAAGGGATTTTGACGAATCAAATAGGTAATTATCATCTATATATGTATACTGAATAGATATAAATTTAAAATTCTAATGCTGTACTCAGTTATTTAGTAAAAAACTATACATATTCTCAACCTGGAACTTATTTTGTGAATTTTGTGTACATTTTGAATTATTTTTTCTATAAGTTCTACTCCTAGTTCAAGATTCATAATTTGATACATGCTTCATATACATGTCTCCATAAAATATCAATCAACTTTTCATTCTGTTCTTTTTGCGCTAGGAAAATTTTTCCAAATTTTCTTTCGAATGTATACAATTTCAACATTATTTCCATGTTTTGTGGTATAAAAACGATAATGAACAATTTTAAATCGCACTAATTGTTATTATAATATTTTTCTGATTTGTTTTTGATTTTGTCAATCCAGTTTTCACAATATCTGATGATTAGGAAAATTTTAGGACCTTATTTAGGATCATATGGAAGTAAGATAGGGAATGTTCATTTGTTATAGAGTTTGATGTAATTTTGCTTTAGTTATTGTATATTTCGTTTTTGTTCTAACTCTGTTTGAAAGCTATTGTGTTTTTCATTCTGATCCCGCAGAAATTCATTTTATTATTGCATTATTTATGAAGGTGTGGTATAGGGTTTGTACCAGAGAACACTACCTACATATTTAGTCCTAAATGGTCTCTGGTAAAATGGTTTACCGCCTAATATAGGAACGAAAAAAATAGAAAACTCGATTTCTAGTGACAAATTATCTTTTCTTGTTTCCAAAAGACTACATAACTAGCATTTTCTGAATAAAATAGTCTTAGGAAAATTTTGCCCGTTAAAGGGTTAACTATAAAACAAGAAAAGATCCCAGGCATGCATTTCTATTCACCTTGGAAGTAAATACAGATACATTTTCATCACTAATACTAATTTATAATGTTTCTAATTCAGCATCTGAAGAACTTTCGATTGGCAACATGAGATTTACTACTTTTGATTTGGGAGGCCACACACAAGGTAAAATACAATATCAAATCCCACTTAATTACTTACCTAATTTTCGTTTTTTTTTTTAGCCAGAAGAGTATGGAAAGATTACTTCCCAGCAGTAGATTCAATAGTGTTCTTGGTAGACGCCTACGATAGATCTAGATTTAAAGAAAGTAAACAAGAATTGGACTCGTTACTCACAGACGAAAGTTTGGCAAATTGTCCTGTTTTGATTTTGGGAAATAAAATCGACTTGCCCGGCGCTGCTTCCGAAGACGAACTTAGGAATTACTTTGCCTTGTATCAACAAACAACAGGAAAGGTACGTATTTTAGAGGAGTCTGGAAAAGTTATGTTTAATCAAACAAATTCTTTAGGGTAAAGTGCCAAGAGCAGATCTTCCAGGACGCCCCCTGGAACTCTTTATGTGCTCCATTAAAAAAAGACAAGGTTACGGTGAAGGTTTTCGTTGGTTGGCACAGTATATTGACTGAGCCCATACTACATAAAAGTAATTTTAATTAACTTTTTTTGGTAACGGAGTAACGTGTCTAAGTCCAGAACCACCAGTGCGAAACTTTATAGGTAATTTTATTTTTGGGATTGTTTTGCAAATATTGAATTTAACTGGTTTTTCAATTATTCATTTAGCTAGGTAGCTAAATTTGTTTTGGTGTTACATGTTATCTATAATGTTTCCTAAGGCAATGTTCAAAAAAAAAAAATAGGAATAATAAATGTTTTTCAATTTTTCCCCCAGTATGTTCAAAATGTAGTCCTTGTACAGAAAAATCAATTTTACAGATTTTTATTTTTTTATTTAAATCAAAAACTTCTGCACGAGTTTCTGCAATTATCAAGCGTTTTGTAGCTGTTGTGATATTTATTTTCTGTGGTTTTTATTCGTCAAATAATTGAAGACAGTCGTGCTTGATATTACTTTTTGTTTTTCTTTTTTTAGAAACACTTGTCATATTTTTTTTTGTTAATAAAAATTGCTTTCTATAAAATATTAGTCTGATTTAAAGCTGTTATACACAGTAGAACATATTTAATTGGAATCTTGTGTGTGTTCTGGTGCGGAGAAAAGAGTTCCAGTATTTTGTTGAACTTACCTTTTACACAACTGATCATATTGTATCATGCCTAGGGATGAAAAAATTTCATGTCTGTTACATTGCATGTTACAAGTGCAAATGAGTAGAAAAAAATCAGAACAAAAAACTGTTAAAAGTCACAGGTCGCAAATAAAGATGTGTTGAAAAAAATGGATAGACATTGCTAGGGTCATAAGAGAGACATAAGAAAATATAAAAGAAGATGAAATCGGACAATCAAGTAAGACAATGAGACGGAATCTTGCCAATGGGAAGGAGGAGATTTTCAAGCTTAGGAAGGAAACTGGTTATTAGGAAGTAAAAGATTCTTTACACAATTCAGAGCTTTTTTGATTTTGCAGAACATCAGCAAATCAGGGTTCTGCGGACATTTCTGTAGAAGAGACGCCCTCAAAAATATGAAGAACAAAGCTGCAAAGATGGTTGTTATACTGAAGAAAAACCTACCAATGTAGTTGACAATATTATTTTCAGTGATTTCTGGGCTCCAGTTCTGCACAGGAAAAGACGTCGTTTATTTATTTCAGTACAAATTATAACTTTTTCGGAGGAATTTTCAGATGATCTTGAGATATTTTCTAGTATTGATTGATTTTCACTCCACAAAATTTTAAGTGAAAATAACTCATCAAATTAAAGGTGATAATGGTGAGCTTATACCATGTATAAAGTGTACATTCCATTAACCAATCTAGTAATAGTATAGAGAGTATACTACAAAGTTTATACATATTTATTAATCACGCATCCAACACGCGTGTGCCTGCCCAATAGTTAATTATCAGTAAATTAATAAATTATTGACGACTTATTTTTAACATCGCCTGATGTTATGGCAATTTTGATGCGATTGATGGCCACAGTTCCCGTGTAGCGTCATCACCTTTTATTGATGCAATATTTTCACCATAACATATATAGTTTTTTTGTTTAGAATTTATTCCTTCACTGGCACATGCATTAATATTCCTCCAGTCAAATAACGCACACTCGCTGTTTGCTTTATGTGTTCAACAGTGTTCATGCTATAAAGCTATTCAGATTTTAATTTAGGTACCTATTAGGAGACCTTTTGAACTTTTTGTACTGACTGATACTGTAGCAATTTGAAATTGGTGAAAGTTCGCAAATAAATCATTGCCATTAGTTATATTTCAAATTTGCTAGTACCTACTTCTCAATATAATTTGCCATCATGGTATTTCTTAACTCATAAAGGGCAGTTTATTGCAATGTTTCTGTATAAATCTAAAATCTAATAAATATCATTCGTACTTTAGAGTTCAGATACATGAAAGGCGAAACATTTATTGTATAGCCTTAAATATTTAGACTTCAAAAGTCCAGTATTCGTGTGATAAATGATCATTTTACACGTACGCTCTATAGGGTGCAAAATTGTTGAGATTTGATGGAAGATTATCATAATTTTAATAGTAGAGAGGCAATTTGTCCTCCAATTTTTCCTTCCAGGAGAGCTAGGTAGGTACACTTAATTACTGAGAAGAAAGGTGTTGCAAAATAACATAAACATTAAAAAAATTACAAACAATTTAACACTGATAAGAGTTTAATTATACCCAATGAACTATACCTGACCAGTAGATGACACAAACAACTTGTATTATCGAGCATATTTTGGTAACTTTCATAAACGAAAATATCAGTACTTAGATATTTATATTATTATATATAAAATACATAATAATTTTTATGCAACCGTTCACATTTTTGTGCCACGTGCTGTTTGAGTTCAAAATTTCGTTTTCCAAATAACTAGATACAAGATATTAAAAAAAAAAAGAAATGTAAATATATTTATCTATTATTCTTGTTTATGGGTTAAGTTTTCCTACAAAATTCCTAATCAATAAAGTTGATATTTACACAATAAATTAATGGTCACTTGTTTTAGTCGTGCTAGCTAATAAAAGAATCCCAATAAATTATTCCAGTCAATAATATAATTTATTTTGGTGTTAGGGTCAAGCATGTAATAATATTTCTTTAAAATTATTGCATACTTTTTATTTAGGTATTGGCTGATAAATTTTACTATAGTGTTTTGGTTTTTTTTAAACTTGAACTTTCATTGATAATTAATACATAATTAGGCAGTAGGGGTGAAAAATGATCAAGTCAAATTAATATTATTATGATGTATTGCATCTTTTAGTGAAAGAGAAAGTCAATCTCCACTATTATTGAGGGTTATTACGTATTTGGAAGAGTGATGTAGGTACTCTAATTTGGTTCTACTTTTACAATAAACCAAATACTTAGGATATATCATTAGCTATTATAATACTGACATATAGTGGTAGGTAAATTAAGTAGATGCTGCGTTTGATGATTTTTTATATATTGGCAATAGAGCTCAAAATAGAGCTTTTTAGAATATCTCAAAAGAATCTACAAAGCTACTAGAATCAGATATGAACTACAGAAATACATATGGCAGTTTTTGTTAAAACTGTAGTACTGATGAGAATACATAATGCTACTAAAGGCAACTGGTTTATGAAAAATGCAACTTAATGATAAGAAACATAACATCATAAATTTTCCGTCGTGAATGATAACACTTGCTTAGTGAATTTTTACGTCATTTCTTCGTAGACTCCACAAAGATGCATTATCTCTTGCCGGAAGCACATTGACTATAAATATTTTCACGATTTTTGATTATTCTAGAACGTATGGTAAATTAATTGATGTTAGGGGTTCTATGCATGGGGCTCATTTCTCGTCCCATTTAAAACACCTAAAATAGTACCTACTTCTTAATTTAGCCGTCACCTGCTGGTGTGTGATAAATCAGCGTTTCAAAATTAGAATCTATTTTAGTTTGTGTCTTTATATTTCTAAAGGGCAATGAGAATTTTAGTCATTTCTCAAGTAAATTCCAGCAATAAAAACCTTCTTTTCTAGAACCCCTAGAGAGTAAAAATATGTACTAGATCTCGGAAAGAGGGTAGAAAATAGCACTCTCTCTTTTTGGTTGAGTATGAATACCTACTTACTTTTTCTCCCTCAAAAGATATTGGACATTATGTCATGACAAAGCAATAATTGAAATAAAATGAATGCTTTTAAGTAATCGTTTTGAGGCAGGTCCTAGTGGAAAAATTTCTTTGCAATCTCATATTTTCATATATCAGGTTTGCCATTTTGTCAGGAATACTTTTATTAAACTCAAAAACAAAACCAAATTATTACTGCATCAAATGTATAAGCATAAAAAACTATGCCACAAAGTAAAAGCAAAACAAGGTTTAAGGAATAATAACAAATATAAAGAAAAGCGAGAAATAAACGATAACCTGTATATTGTAGATTACAGCTTATTTATGAACAAAATGAGGCTTTGATGAAAGAAAGACGTACCATACACCACAATTGATAATAAAAGTAGGCGTTACTTGTTCTTGTCTCGACAATTAAAATTAATGGAAAATTGCGCATTATTGGCAATTGATAAGTGGGTAATTCATTTTTGCAATCAAGTCTTTCGCTGTAGTATTTCTCGAACAATTTTTGGTAAAATATAATGTCATATCAGAGTCAAAAATAAAATTAATCAGAGGGCAAATGCGTTCTCTTGACCCTCCATTACGTGAGCCTACATACTTCTTTGTATAACACGACCACATTTTAAAGTCATCGTTTTCTTTTAAATTGGTACTTGGTACCTACCTACTGGGCTAGTGTATTTAGCACTTTTCAAGTAAGATTTTACATAAGATATGCCTGGAAATTATTGTAGCTCAATAATATTTTCTGTTACCTACCAATCATATCTAAAGTTTTCGAAATGTGTGTATGGCTGTGGGGATTCATTTTAAGTTTCAGGTAATATATCTTTGTAGGTATATACCTAAGTAGGATACCTATTGTTAGTGCAATCTCATAACTATATTAGATATATGACATAAATGGAATAGATGAATTGAAATTCGTAAATTAATTTATAAAGTCTAATCATAGGAAATTATGCTAAACAACAGTTAAACAAATTAATTAGTTAGGAACAGAAAAAATAATCTCGATCTTTCAGAATTATACAAAACACCTGAGCAATGCCTGGTATGTAAAAAACTCACACAAAATGGTAAATACGCTGATTGCTTGGAAGGTTAAAAGTCTGCCTTCATCCTCCATCAGTTTATTGGCGCATCCTACTGTATAAGCATTTTGTAGGGTACACCTAAAAAATAATTTTCGATTGGAACCTAGAAGTCCAAATGAGCTAAAATTTTCAGGGATTGTAGTCCGCCACTGGGATAAGAATCGCTGAAAATTTCAACTTATTATAATAAAACGATGAAATTTCGAAATTTTTGTTGTTGGGATTTTGTGTCCTTATGGTCCTTTGGGATCCCTCGAACTCCATACATTAAATTATCCCGAGATTTGGAGCCGGATTCTATGAAAAAAGGCACTCAGAAAAATTGAAAAATTGATAAATCACCACAAATTGCTTAACACAATTTTATTTCTGGAACTATAAGTCCAAATGAGTTGAAATTTTCAAGGATTGTAGTCCGTCACTGGGATAAGAATCGCTAAGAATTTCAGCTTTCTATCTCTAATAGAAAAAAAGTTATGACCTTTCAAAGTTTTCCAAAATCTAAATCATAAGGTAGGTACCTACTAGCTACCTTCCTACTAAAACGATGAAATTTCGAAGTTTTTGTTGTTGGGATTTTGTGTCCTTATGGTCCTTTGGGATCCCTCGAACTCCATACACTAAATTATCCCGAGATTTGGAGCCGGATTCTATGAAAAAAGGCACTCAGAAAAATTGAAAAATTGATAAATTACCACAAATTGCTTAACACGATTTTATTTCTGGAACTATAAGTCCAAATGAGCTGAAATTTTCAAGGATTGTACTCCGACACTGGGATAAGAATCGCTGAAAATTTCAGATTTCTATCTCTAATAGAAAGTTATGAGCTTTCAAAGTTTTCCAAAATCTTAATCATAAGGTAGCTAGCCACCTTACTACTAAAACGATGAAATTTCGATTTTTTTTTGTTGTTGAGATTTTGTGTCTTTATGGTCCTTTGGGATCCCTCGAACTATATATATAAAATTATACTATTCAATATTCAGAGTATAATTACGTGGCAGCTTTATCATCAGGGCAGCAACTTCGAATTAATCCATTTCCAGTATCATCAGAATGAATGGCTTTATCTTCTGGGCCTTTAATCCCGCAACATTCTTTACAAATTTGTAAACCATTCAACTAAAATTGAAGAAAAAATGTTTTATGCCGATTGGAGGTTTTGAGAATAAAAATTTACACACCTAAAATTTTTTCATATTCTAAACTACTTATTTATATATAATTTGGATTTTCAGTCCATTTTCTCAGTAGCTGTTTGGACGTGAACAAACTAATATAGGCTAGCACAGAAGTGAGTAAGTAATAAGTAGAATCACTTTATTTGAAGAGAACTATCATTATCGCTTTGTATGAATTACATGATTATCATGTCCTTGGTAGTTTTTTTTATTCATGATTCAAACCAAACTCACCTTATGAATGGACAACATATCTCCATCTTTATACGACACAATTAGCTTTTGTAAAAATTGCCCCGAATCTTCCATTTTTCCGTCCTTATCATACATGGAAATAATTCCCATTACAAAATCAACAAGATGAAAAACCATGGTTGTGCATAATAAAAAGGACACAGCGACAATGTAAACTGGACCAGCTTTACGCCAATATATGCCAAAGACCCCAGCGATCGCCAGCAATATCTCAGTAATGGTCATGCACAATTGTTCATATCTCGAGTCGAACGCGATAGTTGTCCGAAAATCTCTTCCACAGAAGGTCAGTAGTTCGACGCTTTGAAAAATGCCGCAACAAAATATCAATGCACAGCTTACGGTCATTACGGATTTGAAGATTTTCAGCTTCCGGTTTCGGCGTTGTTCCGCTGTCATGTTTTTGGTTTGCAACATTTTTACTTTTGGTAGGCCAAAAAGCAACAGCAGAAACAGATTAATTTATAGAGTAGCTTATAGTTTATGATGACAGTGATAAAAACTGCCAGTGTCAAGTACCTATACAACTATATGACAATCTCTGATGATAATCAACCAAGTATCATTATAATAGGAAAACTTTTTTAAATAAATAGCCATGCATTGCGTCTGTGTTTTAATTTTCCTCTAGGTTATTAAAAAAGTGATAATCTAAACACAATATAATGGGAAACCATTAGCTGACTGAACGATAGACGATAGAAGTAGTGAGAGATAGTGATAAAAAAGTCATACGATTTATCTTCATTCCCGATTCCCGGCTCTTGATTTGAATCAATAGTCCGGAATAAAACATCAAGAAGGACAACTCAGCTAGAAAGACGAAGCAAACGATCAGCAACAGAAAAAACAAAGAGCCATGTAAATCTAAGTATTTTTTGGGATAAACAAGAATAGACGAAACTTGAAAGAATGACAATCCACAACAAAAATGAAGTTAGGAATCGGAAATGTAGAGAATTCGATCATTAGAAGCTTGGAACTTAGGAAGGAAAAACAAAGAAAATACAAATAGGAAGAATCCCAATTTCCTGTTATTATTCGTTAACATATTTTTTTTCTAAGAGCGCATTTTAGGTCATGAAAGTACCACTTTTCCGCATTAGTCCTTTTCTGTTTTTTTCCGTACGGAGTGCGGAAAAGTAGAATACTAGAAATTTTTAGGTATACAGGTACTTACTTACAGGTAAACAGGTAGGGTATACCTACTACAGGTACAGGTACGAAAAAGTGAAAAAAATATTTCAAATTGATAAATATAGTAAAAATTTTACCTTTCATCTCGTAGAAAAAATAGTGTTCCTAACTCGTGCAGAAAGTGTGCGGAAAAATGGTACTTTCCGCACTAGTTAGGAAATATACTATACCCAGACGGCATCCAATATTGCTGGTATATGCCTATATAATCTGTAGGTATATTGCAATGTTCCAGTGATATCCCCAGCGATATTTGTAATATTTTGTATTAAAACATACATTCCCTGGCCTGGCATATTTCAGGCATGTAGTGTTGTAGTGTAGTTATATAGGATATGCCGCGCCGTGTGTATCATCTTCGCATATTCCTTGAATATGCGAAAGGAAGATTTTTTTACATAGTTTTATACAAACGTCGAGAAAGATGTGGTTACTTTCAGGTTGTCACACTTTTGCATATCTTTGGATATGGTCAATTTTGAGGGGGTACAGGTACGTTAGGGAGGTTTTAGGTTTTTTTGTGAATATCTGATGAATAGGCATGGAATATTCATCAGATATTCTTTAAGGATATTGCATGTTCACTGAATATTCCAATATCCAATTGCCATATATGTGGCATATTGCAGGTATATATTTTATAGTGACTTAAGTATATGCCTGGGATATCTCTGTCACATAAGCATGGGATATCTTTATATTCCCATGAAATATGCTATATGAATATTCCAACAATATGTTTGTGTCGTCTGTGTACTGCCCAGGGAGAACATCCTCCAAACAAATACAAAAATAAACTACCATATGAAAACCTGTTACATATATCTCTACAACCTTTTCGGATTAAAAACCCAATTCGAGAAGGTTGAATGTCTTAAAGAAAACAGGAAGTTGATTAAAGAGTCGTTGAATCCAGTTTAGTCAACATGCGACATAATCAATCAACAAATAAGGAAAGTGTTTATTTTGACCCAACTTGACTGCAAAGTTTAAAACAAATAATACAATCCACAAAATATAATATGTCCATGATCTAAAAATGAACGACCTCATGCTCTACCCAATAATAAAAATCCTTTTCAATCAACAAAGCTTTTTTATATCAAGCGTCTCGACGCTGCTGCCAAAAATTTTGTATAACATTTATCCAAGTACGCAATTAATTGCTGGAAATGTTCTAATGGCTAGATTGCAAAATAATCATAAGTATCCTGGCCTGGGGTTGAAAACGTGTTGACCTTTTCAAGTTCAATATGCTTAAATGAAATTTTTATTTATTTATTTATTTGCAAATAGAAAACAATCTCTCAATTATTATAAACCAATAGATAACTCAAAGTAGCATCTAGCAAGTTGATGCCTCTAACACCCTGTAAACATTATAATAGGTACCTATTATAAAATAAATAGATATAGTACTTATGTGTTCATTACAAGGTACTGTTAGAATTAATTGGTAAATAAACAAGGGTGTGTTAGAGAAAGGAGCACAAAACTGTTTTGTTTATACTTTATATTCATATAAATATACTGTTAATACTTTGAAAATCATAAAATAAACCTAATAATTACGTTTGTAGATAGCAAATTAAAACTTCTTGTCAAGTAACAGCTCATAAATCTAAAGACCATCTGTGGTAAGGTCAGTTGGGATATTAATACAAATGAAAATTGTCCAATTTTTACGCTACAGAAGGTGATATACAATGTAAAGTTTGATAAATAAATCTATTTTGATTTTTCATCTGTATCTAGAAATAGCTCATTACAGAGCAAAATCCGGGAAAAAGTACAATTCGATTCTTCTGTTCGGTCTGCTGTCTGTTCTCATACCCACCTATTTTATCCCGATACTGATCCGCTTTCTCGATTTCTGCTCCGTTTAAGGTTATTTAATTGATGGCATTCTGGAAATTTTCTTCTTTTCAAAATTCTTCATATTCATTATCACACCTACTCTTCCGATTTTCTTTTAAGTTCTTCTATCATTTGGTGTAATTTGCATCATGGGTTGTCTGTTCTAAGGACTACAGGGTTTATTAATCCTGAAAACCTTCCAACTTCTAATGCCTAAATAATTTATTCCATTTTTACAAAAAGACATTATCACAGTATAATCTGATTTAACATTTTTCGAAAAATTGCTGGCAAAGACCATATTCCAAATGGACAGGTTTTAGGCAAATCTACCGGCAGGACTAATAAAAGTTCTTGAAAGTTTTGAAGATTCAGAAAGTTTTAATTGGTAGAAACCTTTGGAAAAATCTTATATATCCATTTTGGCTAACGTCTCCCCAACTGGTGGCATTGATGGGGGAAAAGTTCGCGTACCTATATATGCGACAACTTGATATTGGGATTACGATGATGATTTTCTTAAGAGATGGATTATTTTTAATTCAGGTGAGAACTTTCCTTAGAAATAATAATCTTTATTGACATCATTATCCTAAAGTCTGATTGCATCAGCTAATAAGTTCCATCTCCAAAAATTATTCGACGTAACACCATTATAAAACAGCATCACCACATATGTGTGATATCGTGATCGTGATAGTACCTATACCTAACTTTTTAGTGGTCACTCAATTGACCATTTTGTATTTTGTGTGATTATTCGCATTGGCGCTGATAAGAGTTCGTGTAGGGTTTGATTTTAGTGGGAGAGCCGGTTTTGCCATGCGACGCCGGATCGCGACCGTCAGTTTTTGAGTAGAATTTCAGACGTTTACGCATGCTGCTCTCAATAGCACCGGTACCACATTAGTACCAGTACCCGATACATACTTTTTTTCTTGTCTACTAAATGCATCATGAAAATGGCAATTTAGATTTTATTGAACAAAAATTTAGTTAAAGTGCGCGTGTGATTAATAAAAAAAAATTGCCAAAAAAAAAATGGTCTGAAGAGAAAAATTGAAGTTTTGTGAATTCACATTGAAACTACTTACAAGATTTAAGGCGGAAAGTATCTACTTGGAAGTAAAGAAAAACTAATATAGGTAAGCAAATTTGTTGGATTTTTAGTTGGAATTTTTTTCTACAAATTGCCTAAACATATATTTTTCGATTTAAAATAGAAGGTATTAGATTTTTCAACCATATGTGTGATGCGTACCTAAAAAAGATCTACCATGGCTATACATAGCAAATTCTTTACATATTTGCAATGAAGATAGTTAATAGGTTTTGTATACGTTTGCCGGTGCCCGCATTTGATTCAAATGGTTACTTTTATTTAGTTATTTTGCTAATTTACAAAATTTCCAATTTGCATGTAATTTTTAATTCTTTTTCAACGATTCTGAGTTAGTTAAATACAAAAATGATCGAACAATTCATAAAATTTGGTGAAATAATATGGTTTAAGCCACTTTTTTATCTAATTTTACATAGTGTTACAAACTCCTCTATATTGTGGATAGAATTTCAATTTTTGGATCATCAAATGTTCCCAAATTATGTAAAAGCAACGAACTGAATTAAGAACTTTATTTTGATCATGAAGGAACTGAATGGAGTCTGTTTGAATTTAAAGGAAGCTTATTGAGATGCAATCATTTGCTTCCTCCAAGAACAACATTTTTCAGTCATCAACACATTCTGATGAGCGCTAATAAATTTACTTTTGAATGTCCGATTTTAATAAGAATATTTCACACCTAAATGGGTCTCTAAATTTGTAGCCATACTACCTATCTGAAATTGATCCATTATGTTTTTTTTTTTTAAATGATGCATTTAAGAAGCAATAAGTCAATTTAGAAGAAATTACAACAATAATGATACAAATTGAATATTAGGCGATAAAAGCTTTGTTTTAGTTCGTAAATACGGGACAATTCTAGAATCAAGCAAAACTAGTTACGCACTCGCATCAATCTCAGAACTGTTCGGAATGAATTCGTAAAAGTAATAGATAAACCAAAACGCATTTTTGTATTATGTCAGATTCTCCTATTTACTAATTTATATAGTTTCTCCTCTTCTGTGGGCCATGTTATTTCTTGACTTGAAGTTTAAAAACTAGGTTACATTCTGAATAATTAGGTGAAGGTTTCATACTTATTACAATGTTAAAACTGACCCCAACGTCTTGGAAAGAGGCAGCTTCTTGTGCTGCATACCAGACGAACTAACAAAGGCATTTTTCAGGGCATAGGTACTTTGGGAAAATCCTGTTTCCTTTTTTGGATAATATTCTGATTATTCAAATTCGATTGCAAGATCTTCAATAGTTTTTGTACATGGGCATTACATCTTCAGCATAATTTTCATTTTTTTTGGTGGTGCTAAAGAACTTCCGCTATAAGAATTGCTAGGAAGTCCTTATCACTTTCTGATGTCTCGTTGTGGTCTCGTCATCACTGCTTGAACTGAAAAGATCATATGAAATAACAAAAAAATTGGGGTGGTCACATTCCCGGTTCTATGTAATCTGTATATCGATCATTAACAAAAAAAGAAGTCTGGGAAAGGGCACCGTTGTAAAAATTTAATCGTCACATATATCCCTTTGGAAAGAAGGGAATGGGACATTGGGACATTTCTGAAAGTTAACAGAATCATCAGGCTTTATACCTTCATCCGCAAAAAACAGATACTTATTATCTTAACGCCAACACTGCCTTTTTTCAATAAGGAGTATTTCCATCAAGGAGATTTCCATTTTTTTTATCTCACCTCTACAAGGATTCCGCTACAGAGATTTCATTCCAAGGAACAGATTTTTACGTAGAAGCCACACATGAGATAAAAAAATGTCCATTTAAAAAAGTTGAATATAGATCTCTTGGCAATTTTACGCCAAACGCCTCCTATAAAAAAGCTCCACAAGAAAATCCCTTCTTCTGATTAGCCAAAATTGGGAGTAGAATTTTTTCTAATTTCGAAAAAACAAAATCCCCTAATCCAGTAGAGAAGGTGAAAAGAAACTGAAAAGGTCTTTTGGCAATTTTATGTCAAACACCAAACAAAGTTGAAACTTGGGATGCCGAAAGAAGGAAAAGGGGGTCCTATCAACATTGAAGAAACAATTTATGAAAACTGACCAGAGACCTCTGTATTCAAAGGATGGATGACAGCCTTAAGAAGAAGACGAAATAATCCTTAGGTCTTTTTTGTTTTGTCCGATTATGATCCCTACAGTTCTTTGGTAAATTGTGCTACATCCTACATCCCTTCTCACTCTTCTTGCAGGTCTGTTTGTGTTCTTAATTTATTTTCTCCAAGAGATTTTGCTATTGTGCGATACTTTTGAATTCCCTGTTGTCATTATCTAGAGTATTTGTCCATATAGTTGAGTTTTATATTCACCCCTGACCTCAATATTTAATCTCGTATGTTTAATCTGCGTGGTAAATTTGTTCCTGGTACTATTCTACAATATATTTAAATGAAGATTGTATTAGGAAGTATGTACAGGGTGTTTTTTTATGATTTTGTGAACCATTCTACCTGTACAGGTGAAAGCTGCAGGTAAAATTTGAGATAGGTATAGGTTTTTTACGTTATATTTAGGATGACGTCAGAGAACAAGGACTGACAATGTTGTCAATGCCTATTTGTTTTCTTATAATTTACCAGAATGTCATAATGAATTATCAAGACCACTGACAGCTAAAAATAACGAAATGAATCGACATGCGTTATTTATTTGAAAATGTTCATTCAAATCATGCAACATCGCGCGCCGTTGCCAACCAGAAACATCTGAAATTCCCCTACTTTAAATGCGTTAAGAAGTACTTTTAGTTTTGTTAGATTTGCAGCAGAAATTTACTAAATGTGACGTCATCCTAAATATAGCGTGAAAATCCTATACTTGGTTTCTCTGATAGTATTTTCAAAATTTTTAGAACCAAATATGTCGGAGCCGGCTCAACCAAATATAGACAAACTATAGTATAGCTTTGGAATCGGGAAATTGTACTCTTCAAGAATATAGAACCAAATATAGGGCATCTCATTTGAAAAAAGCTGAAAGCATGCAACATTTCAAATTTCTGACATTCAATTTTTGTTTCTGACCATGGATTCTAAAAATTTAGCCAATACCTACTGTACAACTTTTGTATTCACACCTTTCTTCTACTTGTAAGGCTGAAGGCTGCAGGTGGGGTGTCAATATATAAAAAAAACACTCTACTTGAACAATAACTTATTATATAAAGTCAGAATTTGTAAGATTATCCACTTTTTGTCAATTTGCCTTTTAACAGGAATTAGTAATGTTACTTTACCAAACTAGTAACATAATGTGACAAGTTATTCAAGTACAAACGAGTGGATTATTGCGGAACTTATGGGTGGACTCTGCATGACGAGCGCATCAAGTTCCGCAGTCATCTATTATTCAATAATATGTTATTCAAGTACGATACTAATCTGACTCACTCAAATGTCAGTTATTCTCATTAGTTTAAAAACTACACGTTTCAGGTGAGTGTCTTTTTTTGAATAGTTCAACAGTATATTGGTGAGTAGAGGGCTGCGGGACGAGCGCAGCGAGGTCCACCCATAAGTTCCGTAATAATCCCCTTATTTGTACTTGAACAATAACTTATTATATAAAGTCAAAATTTGTAAAATTATGATTATTCACTTTTTGTCAATTTGCTTTTCAACAGGAATTAGTAATGTTACTTTACCAAACTAGTAATATAATGTGACAAGTTATTCAAGTACAAATGAGTGAATTGTTGCGGAACTTATGGGTGGACCTCCGCGGGACGATCGCAGCGAGTTTCGCAGCCATTTATTCATCAATATGTTGTTTAATTACGATACTAACCTGACTCACTCAAATGTCAGTTATTCTCATTAGTTTAAAAACTACATGATTCAGGTGAATGTCTTACTTGAACAGTTCAACAGTATTTTGGTGAGTAGATGGCTGCGGAACTCGCTACGCTCGTCCCGCAGAGGTCCACCCATAAAATCCGCAACAACCCACTTATTTGTACTTGAAAAATAACTTATTATATAAAGTCGGCATTTATAAGATTATCCACTTTTTGTCTATTCGCCTTTCAACAGGAACTAGTAATGTTACTTTACCAAACTAGTAATATATTGTGATAAGTTATTTAAGTACAAACTTAACGAGTGAATTATTGCGGAACTTATGGGTGGACCCAGCCATCCATTCACCAATATGTTGTTCAAGTACAATACTAATCTAATTCACTCAGTTATGAATTTTTCTTATTAGTTCAAAAACTACACGTTTCAGGTGAGTTTTTTTTGAGCAATTCAGCAGTATATTGGTGAGTAGGTGGCTGCGGCACTCGCTGCGCTCGTCCCGCAGAGGTCCACCCATAAGTTCCGCGATAATCCACTTATTTGTACAGGATGTTTTCTTATATATTGATACCCCACCTACAGCCTTTACCTTCACAGGTAGAAGAAAGGTGTTAATACAAAAGTTGTACAGTTTTGGCTGAATTTTTAGAAACCATGGTCAGAAACAAAATTTGAATGTTAGAAATGTGAAATTTTACATGCTTCCAGCTATTTTCAAATGGGATACCCTATATTTCATTCTATATTCTTGAAGAGTAGAATGCCCCGATCTATATTTGATGGAGAATCTCTCATATATTTGGCTCCAAAAATTGTAAAAATACTATCCGACTACTGATTTTGTGAATCATTTTACTTGTACAGGTGAAAGCTGCAGGTAAAATTTGAGGTACTTGGTTTCTCTGATAGTATTTTTTAAATTTTTAAAACCAAATAGGTATGTTGGAGACAGCTCAACCAAATATAGACAAACTATATAGTTTTGGAATCGGGAAATTATGCTTTTCAAGAATATAGAATCAAATGATTCAAATGTAGCGCATCCCATTTGAAAAAAGCTGAAAGCATGCAATATTTCACATTTCTGACATTCAGTTTTTGTTTCTGACCATGGAGTCTAAAAATTTAGCCAATACTGTACAACTTTTGTATTTACACCTTATTTCATCTACCTGTAAAGGTAAAAGCTGTAGGTGGG